GCTTAGGTCGACGCGAGCCGCGCAAACGCTGGCTTCGCTTGGCTTTGCGCCAGACGAAACCATCGCCGACTTTTACAGCATGGGCTCCAACCCGGAGCCGATTTCGGAGCTTAACGATCCCGACTTTGACCCCTCCCTAGGCAGCGAAGCGGAACAGAGGGCGTACTATGAGCTATTAATGGGCCGGGCGTTTCCGGGCTGAACTATGTACCCCCATCGCGCCGTTGTGCGATCAACCAAGCCAACCCGGCCACGGCCTCGTTGAGGTGTGGCTATAGGATGATTCCTCGAGGATTCAGCATATGGGTTTTGAGTACCCTCGTTGGAGATGTAAGAAGATGGGTCATTTTGGTATGATCCCCAGTCATGCGTTCGATGCTGAAGCTAACCGCTGGCAGGATTGATGATGTACGAATTTATACCCGCCGATATGGCAACTTTATACTAGATCAGGTGACAGCGATGCTTGTGAAGCAGGTACCACTAAGCGATTGCATGTGGCGAAACCGCGCGCTATTTAGATTTCACAATCCATGCAATTCATCTCCAACTTCATGGTCCAAGTCGGCTTCAAAAGTGATAAATTACTCGAAGCCTATCTCTGGCGGGTATCTATCTTCTGACGCCACCTCTCCTCGGAGAGCCCGCGCCAAGTACCCCAGAGAAATGCCTGTCTTGCCTGATACCGCAGGAATGCAAACGGTGATAATAACATGAGGTACTGTATGTCCCCTCGGTGCCGTGAGGCAGTCCAGTTCCCGTCCCAAAGCCCGTCCACCCAGAAAGCCGCAATATGCATACAACACCCGCTAACATGCTTCAGAGGGAACACTCGGAAAGAGGAAGGAAAAGAAAGGAAAGGAGAAAAGGAGACAAATCCACCGGAGTACCGAATGAACGTCCAAGAATGAATGCCGACCAGGAAGGGGAAGAAAAGGTAGCTCAGCAAGCAACCGCGAGAAAGCGAACCGATCCGAAACCAAAAGGGATCAAACCAGCTCAAACCCGCCCTCCACCTCCCTCACATCCTCCTCCTCCACCTCACCACCAGCACCATCCCTCTCCTTCGACGGCCCCCGCCTCAGCACCGCCCTCGCCCTCCGCCCGCGCACCGCGTCCCCATTCCCATCCAGCACCTCATACTCGCGCTCCACCAGCCGCTCCGTGTCGCGCCCCGTCGTGTTCTTGACAAACACCTCGAGCGTGAGCGGTCGCCCGGGCGTGTCGGTCCGGTCGAAGCTGTACAGCACGTCCGCGTCCGCCGGCGGGGTGGCGGCCGCCAGCGTGGGCAGGATGCTGCCGCGCGGCAGGTCGAATGCTGCGGATGAGGGGGAGGTGGCGGCCTCGATTTCGGTCTGGCAGTGCATCTTGGCGCGGCGGCGGGCGGCGGGCATGGTGTAGGCGGAGCGGGTTTTGATGATGTTTTGGGAGGTTTTGGGGAGGTGGTTCCTGTTTTTGGGGGAGCGGATGTGTTAGTGATGGGGAGGGTTGGGGTGATGATGGAAGAGGAGGTGCTTACGCCTCGCTAGGCCGCTTGTTCGGGCGGGACTTGGCGAACATGTGGTCGGGCGCCGTGGCGCCGTTGCCGAACTGGCCGTCGATCTTCAGCTCGATGCCGGCGAGGTAGCGGCTGCCGTGGGCCCACTTGACGTTGGAGTCCTTGCCGCGGCGCCACTCCTTGTTGGCGGACCGGAGGTCACGCTCGTACTGGGTGGAGTCGGACATGGTGATGGGTTCGGTGAGTGAAATGTTGGGGTTGGGGTTGTTGTTGAGTTGCTGGGGGGTTGTCTCGGATGCCGCGGGCATGCGAGGGTGGGAGGTTTGGGCGGTGAGGCTGCCTGACAGATGGATGTCGGGCAGTTGGAAGGTGGTTTTGGAAGAGGTTTCTGGTTTATTCAAAGTGTTCTGGGAGATAACTATATCCCAGGTCTTTGTGTGTGTAAGAGAGGATGGTAGGATTCTGGAAGATCGCTGAGTCCTTCTTAATCCTTCCACGGCGTTGTCGGATGCGACAGCGGAGTTGCCGGTGGTTTCTTTCTTTGTGCGAGGAAGAAACAATCAAGGGGCTGCCTTTGTTATCGCAGATTTAAGAGCTCGTTTTAAAACAAATGGCTGGCCTCTTTCGGACGCCGGCCGAGTGACTCAGAAAGGCGTGGTTCCGGGGTTCAATGAGACGAGCGCCCTCAATTGATAGCGATAAGCGATGCCGATATGACAGAATCGCGGTGTTGCAGGGATGGCTTGCAGGTGGGATAAAACGATAGATAAAAACGATACGAGGTTGACAATGAGCAGTTTAAGGTATTTGGATAAGTGATTGGTCTTTTTTGAAGTTTCAGAGGAAGAGATTTGAGACAAGACGAGAACGGCGCAGAGAGGTTATAATAGCTTCACGGGACTTATCGGACACTGGCTTTGGGATGCCGAAGTGGCAGCTGATAGCAAGGCTCATCAGCAGGGGTGGCGTATCTCCAACAAAAACATGTGGGGCGGCCGGCAAGTGACAAGTGACGACAGCCCGGCGGATGACCAACAACGCGTTTGGGACGGAGGAGGAGCATGTCAGAGCAGCTGGCAGAATCTCAGCCAGGGGGGTGGAGTTGGTGAGGAAGGGGCGGGTGACCAGGTTTATTCTTGGCTTGAGGACGGCCGTTGGTCCCGGACCGGCCCTCGCTGACTCTGTGGCTTTGTTCCGTTTGCCGATGACGAGATGGGCCAGGAAGGTGCTCGTAACAGGGCATACTGTGTCATAACTCAGCACCTTGTTAATTACTTGGTTATTCCCGTTTTGAAACAAACGGATGCAGAAGCCCGTCCGCGTTCATCGCCAGGTCAACTCGAGCAAACCAAGCTCAGTGCAGCCATCGTCATCCCAGGTCAGTGAGCATCCCTGCCTTGGAACTGGGCCGAGGCGATGATGTTCACGATAGTTAGAGTTAGCGCAGCAGGATCAAGAACAGCTCGCTCGGAACCCCAGATGCGGCCACCCTGGCTCCCTGATTCATGCGCCTTTCCGTTTTCTGGAGACGCAAACGGGGGGCCTAACTCCCACACCATCCCATGAACCAGCCGCGCTTCAGCTTCTTGCCAGTCACACCGGACCAAGGCGGCAGTGCGCGAGTCGCGTACCAAGCCGACCACTCCATGACTACCTCTTTTGCCCGTGTGTTGGTTTCGATTATCAATGGCCGCGGCCTTGACCTGCGAAACGCCCGGATGCGCCCGGAGACGGCCGCAATTGCTCGACGCGGTGCCGCTCGATGGGCAACATGCGCCAACCCCGAGCTGCGATTGGCTAGCCCTGGTGTTGTGGTGTGCAGGTTGACGAGTTGGAGACGGGAGTCTCCCCAGACGAGGCTCTAAATTGCATGCAGCGGGTGGTGGAGACCTGCAGGAACCCCCCACCATCCCCAGTGATACCCGCTGCCTCACGTCACTGCCATCGCCGCTGTCTACTTCTTGTTAGCCCGCCGTTGAATCATTCGGGAGGGGCGGAATCCCCAGGTTTTTTTCGTCGCCCTCATGGTCCTAGTCACCTAGCGTACATCTGGTATTTGCAAAGGGACTAAGGGGGGGGGGGGGGGGTTGTTCAGGCAATTTTGCGGTCCCTAATGTTTCGGCAGGCATTACCTGGGCGTGTACCCCATGGGCAAAAAAAGCCGGACTCCAAGTGCGGGTGCCGACGAAACCTTCAACCAGAAACGAAAAGAACGCCCTTGAACTACTTTGTATTTAGTTCGATTTCTTTTTATTTGATTTACGTTGCTAGGTTTTTTTTTATATTTGTCTTTCTATAATTCTTTATCTCTTTCTCTTTTCTCTTTCTCTTTTCTTTCCTCCTTGTTTTTTTCCTAGATTTCAGTATTACGGTACTTGAGACACAGCCAGCGATTTCTAAATCCCGACCTATCTTCCTCCCGCTCTATGCACCCTTTTGGAGGACGCTTCTTGAGGCGCTTGATCAACACGACGCTGCCAAAGGAGACCGCCGGCCCTTCCTCTTCTTCAAGTTGCGGATTAACTATACTGACACATAAACGCCATGAGGTGGCGCCATGGACGTGGAAAAACAGTTGGGTACCTCCATTCGACAAGATATATGCGATGCGTCTTGCCTCACCGTACTTCTCTGCCACCATCATGAGAAGGTCAGCTGCTTCGAAGCACCCTTTGTTCAGATGTCTGGCGATAAATATGGCCGTTTAGTTCACGAAAAGGCCATCTTTCCACCGAGGCCCCCATGGCACTTCTGATGGGGTCTCATCTGCAGACCGCTCAAGAGCCCAGATAAGCACCTTTCCAGCCAGCTGAGTGATTGGAAGCCACAGATCGGACAGCTGTAAGTCCGCCATCGGAATGTGACTGCCAAGGACTTCCCCGCAAAGCAGAAACCTTGCAGTATCTCGAATGACTTGTTCATCGGATTTTAGGTAGCATGGATAGAATGTCTCCGGGTTGCACGCATCGTCCGACATACGAGTAAAGCATAGATCTTGTCCCGTGCTAGGGAAGACTGACTGTCGGCGAATTTGACGAGCAGGACATGGAGGTTGCGATTTGATGACCACCAGGTATTTTGTCGAATCCGCGGCATGATATCGAGGACAGCTTGTGTGTGTTTTGGGACGAACTCGGGGTTGACATACCACACCCTCTTGAACCAAGGTCTTTTCAACAGCCCCGCGAGGACTTGTTTCGGCCACGACGAGGTCGGGCTCGTGTTTGGCCACCGCTGGCTCATGAAATAACGGCAGAGAGTTGTTCAGTCTTCCTTGCTCCCCATTGCTTGCGATTCGGTGGCTTTTGTGTCAATCCAACCAAAAGATTCCAGAAAGGTGTCGGTACCCTCGTGGCCGGGACCTAGCCAGATGAGCACTTCCTCCGCATTTTTGTAGATGTACCCCATCTGCTTGACCTGGTGGCCCTTTTCTCTTGGATCATCTTGGTTGACGCAGATCGCGTCGGCCCAGAGAAAGATATTTTGATCGGGACGCCGAACGTGTCGTAGAGCCGAGTACAGATTTTGTGTCAAGTTGATCTGATGCCCGTCAACGAGAACCTTTGGGACGCCCTTCCGGGGTTCATGCTGAAATCCCCCCCAGTTGTATGATAGAGCCTTGTACGGAATACCTGTCTCGAGGTCGAAAAAGAAAAAGAAAAGGACGTCATGAAACCCCCAGTAGCTCAATTGTAACATCTTTTACCTGCCCCGCGAATTACAGATATGCCGGTCAGAATCAAGTCATCGTGAAAGATCGTGCTGTGAGCGGAAGGGAGGTTAGCTCGATCTGAGGCTCATGGAAATCCCCGGCGATCAGTGATGTCATTCGCTCGAGGCACACTGTTGCATCGCTAAGTGGGCCCCTAAATTTGAAGCCAAGACTTGCAGTCCACCAAAGGCAACACCTTGATGGCAAGACAACGCGACAAGAATTCCATCATCATCCGAGTTCCTCGAAACCCCCCCCCCCCCCCCCAACAAAAAAACCAAGTCGCCCACCATGCCTTCAGACAAAGCAGCCTACTTAGCAACACACTACCTCACCTCCAGCAGTAGCAAACCCTCCTCATCCTCCACCAAAAAGCGCAAGCGCAAACAAGCAACCACCTCGGGCCTCCTCATAACCGACGACGACGAAACAGGCTGGGGCGGCAGCGCCCACCAGCCCGACGCCGACGACGATGACGCCCCCCACCACAGTAGCCGGCGCGACCACCGACTTCCCGGCGCACCAAAAAATCCTGGCTGGAAAACCCTCGGGGGGGGCACCACCACCGTCACCACCACCACCTCCGCAGACGCCGACGCCGACGCGATCATCGCCTCCGCCGCAGCCGAATCCGCCGCCGCGGCCGCCGCCCAAGCCGCCGAGGACCTCGACCTCGACTCCGCCACCTCCAGCACCAACACCAACACCCCGCAAATGTCCAACGGCGCCCTCGCCGGCCTGCAATCGGCCTCCGCGCTCACCGCCCAACTGCGCAAACGGCAACTCCTCGAAGCGGCCGAACTGGCCCAACTCCAAGCCGCCGCCGCCACCCCCAACAACCCCAACGACACCAGCACGCCCGAAGTAATCCTTCGCGACGCAACAGGCCGACGCGTGGACGCGTCGCTGCGGCGCGCCGAAGCGCGGCGGCAGGCGGCCGAGGCGGAGCGGGCGGAGCGGGCGCGGCGCGATCTGCTGACGGGGGAGGTGCAGCAGGCGGCGGCGCGGGCGCGGCGGGAGCGGCTGGAGGAGGCGGCGCTGCAGCCGGTGGCGCGGGGGAGGGATGATGCCGAGTTGAATGAGGAGCTGAAGAGGGAGGGGCGGTGGAATGATCCGATGGCGGAGTTCCTGGAGGTGGGGGGGGGTGGTGAGTGGTGGTGGTGGTGGGGTTGGGGGGAAGATGATGAAGGTGGGGGTGGTGGGGAGGAGGCCGGTGTATAAGGGCGCGGCGGCGCCGAATCGGTATGGGATACGGCCTGGGTATCGGTGGGATGGGGTGGATCGGGGGAATGGGTTCGAGGCGGAGCGGTTCAAGGCGTTGAATCGGCGGGAGAGGGATAAGGGATTGGAGTATGCCTGGCAGATGGATGTGTAGCGAGGGTATCGCGGGAGGGTTGGGTTAAGTAAGGAAGGGGTTAGTTAGGTGACGTATGTGTGGACTTGATTACGGTTCACAAGGGTCAATGGTAATTAGGGACAAGGTGGGCATTTTATGATGCAAGGCAATATCCCATTTTGAAGGCCACGTCTAAGAGTGAGATTGAGCAGTTACCAGCTCTTCCCTCTGTCGGGATTACTATCCACGTCCCGGGCCGTGTCGCTCATGATCCTAATTTCGAAACTCGAGATTTCTTGCTCGAAATTTCTTCCTCGTAACCGAACAACAATGCCATTTTAGAAGCCACCTGGCGGCCAAAAAACATGCAAAACACTTCATCCTTCGAAATTAGTACCTGGGACGCTCCGCCGAACCAGGTCAAGTAGATTTACTCCTAGTGACGAATCTCTCGGTCATGGCAGATACTCGCCGGCGCGATAGGGTTTTGGCGGCTCTACCTAGCTGGCCTTGGGCCGTAGAAGCTTGTCCGGGCCGTAGACACCGTGAACCTTGACCATCTGGATCCACTGCGACGTGGTAATGTTGCCAGGCTTGTTCACACGCGTCTGGAATTTCTTCATGAGATTGGACAGACTGATGCCCTCCTTGGCATACGGAGCCAGGGCCTCAGCAATCTCTCTGGGCTGAATGATATCGACAGCCTGGCTCGGGGGTGGTGACCCGCTGGGAGTCGCGCCGCCGGTCTTGGGAGCACCCGGCCGGTTTGCTAGAGTGACGGGATCAGTACGTTCCGAGCTCACGACGAATGAACTCATCGACTCACCACCTGGGGCGGGGCTGCCAGCCCTTGAACCGGAAGGCGTGCCGCCCGGCCGCATTCCCGGCTTCACCTTGAGCTTCTTCTTGAGTTTGGCACCGGCATCCGATCCCTCGCCGGCCGTGGCTTCGCCGTCGCTCATGGCAGCGCTCAACGGCTTCGGCCGCCCGGGGATCGGAGTCCCTCCGCGGCTAGGGGCAACAGACCCTTTCCCAGTCCTGATCTTCTTGCGGACTGCTTCGTTGTCGCTCGACTCGGACATGTTGGGCGAACCGGCCCGCTTCAGCTTACCCTTTTTGAGTGCGTCGACCGTCCTCTGTTTCCCAGACGGCGTCGTATTGCCCTTGGTGTTGGACCCGGAGGCACCTTGATCTTTCTGGCCGGCCTTTTTGCCCTCTTCATCCTCCTTTTCTGACTCCTTATCTGATTCCTCGTCTTCGGAGGCCTAGCACGTGTCAGCGGCGAACGAGAGTGTCCGCGTACCACAACTGCACTTACCGATTCGTCAGTAAAAGGGTTGTTCTGGTCGGAACCAGACTCCAGATCGTCATAATCCTGCCCATGTTCAAGCTTCTTGAGGGTTTTGACGGTCTGTTTCCCCATCATCTTGCTTCGAATTTTTTCGAGCTGCTCCTCCCGCTCCTGTTGCTCGACCTTCTCCTCTTCGCCCGCGCCAAAAGTGTTGGCCGCCACCTGCTCGCGGCGGATGCGTTCCTTGGAGTCTTTGGTATCTTCATCGTCCGCCTCAAAGTTGGGCGCCTCGTCGTCGTCTTGGAATTCGTCACCAGACATATCGAGCTCAAAATCGTCCTGTCGCTCAGTTCTGCGCGCCATGCGCGAAGTGGCGCTCTCCGTCTTGACCCGCGTGGGCCCGCCCAAGAACCGGCGAGTCTCGCTCTTTTCTCTTTCCATAAACTCCTGGTCTTTCTGCTTCATTACCCAGCGCTTGATCTCCTTGACCTCGTACATCATTTTCTCGGCATCGTCTAGCGAGAGCGTATCGAACTTCGGCTTTTCGTCGAACTTGTAATACCTCTCAAGTGGGATCATGCGGAAGCGGGCGCCATCGATGACTAGCGCGACGTTCAGATCCGACAGGCTGGCAATATACGAACCAACCCACACGCCCGCCTTGCCTTCGGCGTCTTCCAAGTGCCACGGCCAAGTTTCCTCGTAATGGATCTTGGATTCTTTCTTCTGCGCATCCGAGTTTCTCCCGTAGAAGGCGGTTGGCTTCTCCTTCTTGTTGTTTGGCTTGGGTTTCGGTTCGTTGGCTCTGGCAACAGGTGCTATCTGTGCTTGATCCAAAGCGCGTTGCGCCTCCTTGTCGGCCTTGAGCTGGCGGGCACGCTCGAACTCGGCAGCCTCGGCGGGATCTGCCGGTGCCGAATCCTCCTTCACAACCATACGGTGGGCAGGAGGAAGCCGCGGGTCGCGACGCAGTAGGGTGACTGGACGCGGGAACTGGTCTTGGTTCATGATGTCCACTATGGCATCCCCCTTTGCTTTGCTCGAGTCTCCTTTCGCCTTGCTTAGGCGCATGATATGGTGGCGCAGACCCTCCAGCAGAGACCGCTTGGTCACCACCAGCGGGAAGTCCTTGTAGTTCGCTGGTGTTTTTTCCGTCCAACCCCCGTTCTCTTCCCGAATCTGCGCGAGCTTGCGCATTGAGGGATCGTTCATGTCATTGAGTATAGGAATTTCGTCGTCGTCGATATCGCCCTTCCCTAATCCAGGCCTTTTATTTGGCGGTTTGGAGAAGACGGGGGTCGGTCTCTTCTTCTTTCTTGCTACGAGGGGATTCGCAGAGGCGGGTTTGCGCGGCACGAACGGAGGACGACCGGTTGGGCGCGAGGGGCCACTGCCTGCGGGGGGAGGAGCGCTCATGACGGGCAGCGAATCGATGGGGTCTGCTCGGTAGGTGAAGCCGGTGAATGGTTTCCAACCTGCAGTGGTCGGCGGAGAATGGAGGTCCCTCAAGCAAGGCGCGTCATCAAGTCGCGTGAAACGACTTGTATGTTGATACCTAGGAGAGATAAATAGGAGAGAGTCGTGTGATATTTACCGCAGGATGAGGATCGGTCGAGGGTGAGGTTGTCGTCGTTGTAGAAGTGGGATGGTGGATGGAGGAGGCAACGAAAAGGCGATTGCAGTTAGGTAACGAGGTAGTTGAATGCGAGAAAGGAAAGCTGGGGTGCTTGCGGCGATGACAGCCGGCCGAGAACAAAGGGCCCACTGAAAAGCAGCCGCACTTGTATCCAAGCCTGCGCACAGACCAAGTTTAAGCTTGGCAAGTTTGGGTAACCATTATTGGCGAATTCGCATCCTTCGATTGAAAAGGTGGTATTAGTAGGAAGGCAGGAAATAGAAATGCCATTCACCATTCTGGCCTATTGTAATCTGTACATCTTCCTGTGCTTTCATCCTTTCTATCCCTCCCACGTTATCTCCTAGGTACTCACCTACACTTGGTATCTTCACGCACAAGGCTCTGCCAAGTTGGTCTGGTGTGGAGCAGGCCGAGCTACCTACACAGTACGAATACACAGGAGTTCCGTCCCGGGGTTTTGTGGGCCTCATGGGCCTCGACTCAGATCCCGAATCATCAACCCGCATCCATCTCAGGCTTGTCAACACAGTGCAGCTGCGTCACCTAACTAGTTCTTTGCAGCTCCACATCCTGTCGACCACGGGAATGGAATTAGGCCAAGGTACTGATGCGAAATATCGGCTCTACATTCATTTTTCTGAACAATCGTCCCGGATCGCTTGGTAGCTCAGTCAGTTTGTTGCGGTGGGCACGTGGGGTCCCGATTTCACCAGGCAAAAACTCCACCAAGAGCAGCAGCGTGCAGCAAACCATCCCATCGCCGTTTCTTAGCAAACACTGAAAATCACCATTGGTGTCCTTTCACTTAGAGAACAAGAAACTGCTGCAACTACCCAGTGCTCAATTTCCCCATTCAAAAATCCCAAAGACTTGCGCAGGTGGATGTCACCGCGCATTCTTCGCGCTCACTCTATTGTTCTCCGACTTGGTTCTGGTTTCCGTTCCCAGTTCCGTTCTAATCTCTCCAGCAGAGAGTTACGCAGCGGCACCGGGGTATATACCTCATCAACTTGTTTCATAACTAACGAGAGAACGATTAAACAACAATTTCAAGCAGTGCTGGCAGTGTTTCAGAGAGTGCTACAGTTCCAAGTTGCGCCGCTTGTTGGCATATCAGCTGGTTGCAGACAAGGCTGGGCTCGTCTTGTTTGGCCGTATAAATTTCGGCAACGTTCATCCCATCCTCGGGACTACAGGAAAGCACAACCGACAGAAGAAACGCAGGAGTGCATAGTCTCTACTTCCTAATCAACAAAGTTAGCGCTACGATGGCAGCACATGGCCAACCCAGTACAGGTCCCCTCGAGGACCGACTGCGCAATCTGATACTCAATCACTCTGATAAACCCCTGGAGCAACCGATACAACAGCCGGTTTATCAATCGCCACACCAACAACCTGTTACGCAGGATGTGTCCCAGCTAGGACGGGATGCACTACCAGGTCCGCCCACACTAAGCAACACAGGCGGCCCGGCTTCATTAAAACCTTCTCGAAAGCGGCCAAACCAAGCGCAGCGTCGTCAAATGTCGGCCCAACTCTCTATTCCGGTTGACACACGACCTCAGTTCCCGCGCGCAGATGGCCGCCAGGAACACCATCGCGGGAGGGGCGGGTACCGCGGGGCCCGGCAACCGCACTCTGCCACTTTCCGCCCACCAAACCAAGACAATGTGATCTCGAGCGCTCCTCCGACCGGTACACCGCAGCAATTCCGGTCCCGTCACCAACCTTCACTTTCATACCATGGCCCCATGTTGACGCCTAACCAGCTTGGTTGGCCACAGTCTCCTATGCACCACACAGACCCGAGCCTGCAGTACACGATGCAAGACATGCGGCCCATGCCGCCTATGCCTCCCTTGCCTCCATTCGATGCTTCAACAACAACGCATCGGGCACAACATAGTTCCGACTTTAACCACGGAAGGCAGTTTTACCCCAAGCCGGACGAGTTGGTGGCACAGGCTGAGCTGCTCGAGGGCCTCTGCAACACTATCGTTGCCGATGCTGAGATAGAGTCAGCTGAGATTATGGAGAAGGAGACATTTCGTCTGATGATTGAGAAAGTTGCCAGAGCCGCCGTGGCCGAACATGAGAGGAACCACAACGGTTTCGGCGACTTCCCTCCCGAAAGCGTGCAACTCAAATGCTTCGGTAGTCTCGCATCCGGCTTTGCTACCAAGGCCTCCGACATGGACCTTGGCATCCTATCACCACTGTCACGCGTCCAACCCGACGCCCCCGGCTCCATGATACCCAGGCTCATTGAAAAGGCCTTCCTTGACATTGGGCTTGGTGCCAGGCTACTCACCCAGACTCGCGTCCCGATCATCAAGGTCTGTGAAAAGCCTCCAGAGGCTCTTCGCCTGGCGTTGTTGGCGGAGCGGGCAAAATGGGAAAGAGGCGGGACTGAAGACGCTGATGAAGTGGAAGCGCATGACAGCCCAGATCTACACAAGGCTGAAATTGTCCCAGTCGCCCCGGAAGCTCAACACGAGGAAGAGACAATTCCACCGGAGAAACGGTTGCAGGGGCTCAAGCAGGGCGAGACAACCAGCTTGTCTAACTATTATATCTCCGCTAAGCGCCTGCTCCGGAAGCTCGGCGGCCACGACATGACCCATTCGAACGCCACAGATTTCAAGATGGACCGTGTCAAACTCTTGAACCAAGTTTGTTTAGCGTTTGTTGACGGACTGGCTGACAAGGCGCTGCGCGATCGCTTGTTAAGTTACCACTCCCTCAACCGGTACGACCTGATCTCTCATGGCAATAATCCCCGTACCCTGCTCGGATTGTTTACCCAGATCGAAGGAGAGCATATGGCCTTGCTTTGGGACTCTCGGCCCTTCCAGGAAAAGGACCAGTCCCGCGAGGCTGCTGCGGAGAGCGTTGTGAGAACTTGGAGGGCCGTTCAAGAGAAGCCCGACTTCGGCCGGGATCCGCTCGGCTTCCAAAAAGAGCTGCATTTTGCCGCCGAACAGCTGAAGAAGATAGCTTCCATTCAGGTCTTGCTTCTTTCTCAGGCTCACGGGGAGTCTGCGGCAAGCTACTGCGCCAGAGCCTTGCGGTTGTTCAATGAGCTAGGGGGGCACGACTCGCGTCACAGGGCCGATACTATTCTACCAACACTTATACACCATTATATCGGAGGTATCTCGAACCAAGAAATTCGGGAGCAAGTTCAAGAGTTCCAGCAAGCCCATGGCGTTAATCATCTGCGGGCCATCGGTCGCAGACATAAGTGTCTACAGCTCGCCCACGAGTACGAAGTCTGCCTCACAAAGGGGCTGTATACAGACGAAGCCGCAGCCAACGTCCAACGTTATGTTGAACTGTTGCGGGCCCCGATAACGCAGCCATCTGCCGGCTACTCTCATGGCATGATACCCCTTACACCAGATTTGGCCTCGCTTCTCTCCGAGATCCGCCTACTCGGCGATCCATCACGGGCGGTGCCAAACCAACCGCGGGACCGCTACAGCAGCGCCCTCGAGTTCCCCAAATCCGGCGTCGGCGTGCAGTGCGACATCAACTTTTCCGCACACCTCGGGGTGCAAAACACCCTCCTCCTGCGCTGCTACTCGCACTGCGACCCTCGCGTGCGGCCGCTCATCCTTTTCGTCAAGCACTGGGCGAAGGTCCGCCGCATCAACTCGGCCTACCGAGGCACCCTCGGCAGCTACGGTTACGTTCTCATGATGCTACACTACCTTGTCAACGTCGCCCAGCCGTTCGTCTGCCCAAACCTACAACAACTCGCCCGGCCTCCCGATCCGAACCTCACCCCCCCGCAAATCGAAGAGATGGTCTGCTGCAAGGGCCGGAACGTGCAATTCTGGCGCGACGAGGCCGAGATCACGCGTCTGGCGCGCGACAACGTGCTCACACAAAACCGCGAGTCGGTCGGCGAGCTCCTACGCGGCTTCTTTGAGTACTACGCCAAGGGCGGCTCACCCATGAGCTCCCTGCCCTGCCGCACCTTCGACTGGGGCCGCCAGGTGCTCAGCCTACGCACCCACGGCGGGCTACTCAGAAAAGAGGATAAGGGCTGGACGGGTGCCAAAACAGTCCTCGAGGTCCAAAACGTCCCCGCCGCGCCTCCCCCCCATCCCAGCAGCACAGCGGCGACTCCTACTCCTACCCTCGACGCGGCCCCCAATGGCCCCCCACCCGCTCCTCCTCCGCCAGGCGGGGACGAACCCCAACCTTCACCAACAACCCAGACCCAGACCCAAAACGGCGCCCCCAGCACGCCCGCCCAGGTCAAAGAGATCCGCAACCGCTACCTGTTCGCCATCGAAGACCCCTTCGAGCTGGACCACAACGTCGCGCGCACCGTCACACACGTCGGCATTGTCAACATCCGGGATGAGTTTAGGCGTGCGTGGCGGATTATTAAGGGGGCGGGGAACGGGGGGCAGGTGAAGTTTGGTGGTTCTGGTGGTCACGGTGGGAATCAGGGTGGTGGTGGTGGTGGGTGGAGGCAGGAGGAGTTGTTGGAGGATGTGGGGAGGGCGGAGGAGGTGAGGGAGAGGGAGGCGTTTGCGAAGCTGTTGGAGGAGATTCATGGGGTGGGGGTTCAGGAGGAAGGGGGTGGTGGTGGTAGTGGTGGTGGTGGTGGTGGTGGGGAGTAATTGATGGATAGAGGAGGACAGGTGGATGGGGGAGTGTACGATGGATTATATGTGCGGGTTTCAAAAAGGATCTTGCTGGTGATATGGTCTCGTGTGCTTCGGTTGCCTTTTGTAAGGGGGTGTATATTGGGGTCGGGGGGTCACTGGCGCGTAGGTTTAGGGTTGTTGGACATGGCGGTGTACCCTGTTTGCAGATGGGAGCCAATGAAGTGTTGATTTGTTTGCTGTTTGCCGATGGTGTTACGGTGCGCGTGAGCTATCATCTTCTCAACTGACACATGCTGAGCTGGGAGGCGTTTTCACATTTTGCTTTTCAATAATTGTCAAAACCCGAGAGTATGCTAAACACAAAGTGATAATTCAAGACCTAGCATCTACGCTATGTATCCAAGACACTTACGCCGTGCCATGCCTACGGGATGAGCCCCTTCCATACAGTAAAAACAAATAGTCCTTTCCCAACCCCATTACACCAAATTCCATCCCTGCTAGCCACCTCCTAACCCACACAAACACTCCTCAGTCCCCGCCCCACCACCCCATACTCCTCCTCTTCCTCCCGTCATCTTATCACATTCACCCACTTCACTTCCCACACTCCTCCCCCCCCCCAACTCAAACCTCCTCCCCCCACCCTAATCTGCCCACCACGCGCCTCCCCCCTCAACAGCCGCGTATAGGTCTGTATGTCTCCCTCACAATCCCTAACGCCCCCCACCATCCCGTCGACGCTCCCCGCGAAGGTTTTGTCGTTCCTCCGCGCGAGGGCTTCGGCTTCGACTGCGACGGCGGCGCTCGGAGGGCAGGGGACGGCGTGGTGGTGATGTACCGAGGGCGCGGCTATGGGCGGCGGTGGTGGGGCTGGCGTAGGAGCTGAGTTGATCGGGCGTTCTGTATTGCTTGGGCATAGCCGGGGTGGTGTTGGCGTGGCTGACTTGACGGGGCGGGAGGGGGTGGTTGAGCATGCCGGTGGCGGGGTCGCCGTAGAAGCTGAGTTGATCGGGCGTTCTGTATTGGTTGAGTATAGGGGTGGCGGGGTTGGGGTTGGTAGGTTGATCGGGCGTGCTGTGGGCGTTGGGTGTGGTGGTGGTAGTGTTGGTGTCGGTAAGTTGATCGGGCGTGGTGGAGAGGTTGGGTGTGGTGAGTACTGGTGGCGGTAGTAGGGGAAGAGTGCTTTGGCTTGGGATAAGATGGGAGGGGCCAGCTGGTCCAGACGATTGGAGGGGGAGAGGGGGTTGTGGTTGCGGTTCAGGCTGAGGCTTGTCGGCGGCCTGGATTCTGAGGATGTCGGCACACAAGCACCGGAGGAGGGCGAGCTTCCCTTCAAACGTATTGTTGGATTTGCAGGGTTTTGAGGTGGCGTGCTTGGCAAACTCTCTGCGTATTTGAAAGTAGCCCCAGCAGGAAGAGCAAATGACGGGGCTGTTGTGTTTGTGCTCGTTTTGGAGCTCAATCAAATCGGTGATATTGCTACAGGACTTGCATGGGTGGGATTTGGAGTTGAGGTAGTGTTGGTTGGTCGGGCAGAAAGTGAGGTAACACTTGAGGTCGTACTCGGGGTTCCAGCTGGCTCGGATTAAACCGTGCTGTGCTTTCAAGTGTGCTCTGGTGGCTTCATGAGCACCCACCATATATTACCATGCTGACCATGAGGAACTCACAACAGACGCGTGTAGTCCTTCGTTTTCACATTACACAAGGCAAAGAAGCAATCCTGTCTGTCATTATGCCCGGGGGCTGTTCGGATGGTCCTGAGAAGTGACAGATCATCGCCCGGTATCCATGGCGGCGCCTGCTGATGCCCTTGCTTATCCGCGTCTGGTAATCCGCTTTGTCCTTGAGTATGCTCGGCGTGTGTGGCTCGGCATGTGGCTCGGCATCATCGCTATTTCCCCCCGATTTTTTATCTGGAGGAGATGAGGAGACGAGGGGCAGGCTCTCTACATCGGCTTTGTCGATATGCTTCTTAGATGGCTGCATTGTGTAAGTCTGTAAGTTGGGGCGTTGATAACAAGTATAAGGGAAACATAACGACGAGGGAGGAAGAGAAGAAAAAGAGGGTCGCGCGACAGATGGATATATAAGGTAGTTGAGTCGGACGCGCCTGCGAGTTACATGCCGAGAAGTACAGCAACTAACATGCAGATGTTTCACTAGAACGAGGGCAAGTGCATCCGGAGTTGGGTAAAACAACGTTTATTTGACCTGCTGTTTGCTTCCTCTCTCAGATAAAAAGCAGGGTTTCGAGATACGGCTCCGACTAGGTACTAAGGTACTCGCTCATAGCGTACCAGTTTAACATGACACGATGCACATAGACATGTACCGAGGAGTTCTCTTGCCCCTTGCCCACCAACCTCGCGGAAGTGACTCCAGATAGAGTCGGGCAAAGGGCCTTCTGTCTCGGATGGTCCCGGAGGACACATAATCTACCAACGTTCCGTTAAGAGACATGCCCTGGGTTAGGCAATGCTCCTGCTGTCGTAAGTGACAGCATCGCTGGGGGGATATAGGGTTTGCAAGGATGAGGTCCGTTGCGGATGTCTGGAAAGGGGATTCACTGGCGGATAGGCCACTCACCCTGACAGAAATCGTCAATTGGGTCTATTCCTGCTTCCTTGTGCAATGTCAAAAAAAGGAAGAAAAAAAGAAAGCAGCCAACCGATACCGCCCTACGCCAAGGCTTGTAACCGGACGCCGCAGGATTTACCAAGGTACAGAAAATGCCTCCGAATGGCGACAAAAACCCAGGAAAAACAATGAGGAAAATCATGAGAGAGAACCTGCCAAGGTATAATTTAATTTATGAGGTATGGAACAGGGGACGACATTGACTCGCCGTAATGGTTCCGCCGAATCGCCTCGGCCAAGAGGAACGACAGGTCGAGAACCACTAGCTTGCTCGCATTGCGCGCCTTGTCCTCGGGAATAGGATAGCTGTTGGTCACGACGATTGTGTCGATGCAGTCGCAAGCTTGCATCTGCTCCAGGCAGTCTCCTCCAAAGACGCCATGCGTGGCGATACAGTAGACCTTGCTGGCACGGCCGCGCTTAACCACCGTCTCTGCAGCTGCGATCCACGATCCTGGCTTGTCGATCATGTCATCGACGATGAAGACTGACCGGCCCTTGACATCGCCCACTAGCGTTATCGTGCGTTCGACTTTGGGATCCTTCAGGATGTCGTCCTCTTCATCCGAGCTCGCCCCCACGTCCCCAGAACCGCCGAGGGCGTGAGGCTGGGGCGCAAAGAAGGAGGACGCATGCGACAAAGTCATTGGGTCATCGTCCGGCACGTTTGTATCGGCCACCGACGTCGCCGGGGAGGGGAAATCATCAGGGACGATGTGGCCCTGCACCAGCCGGCCGTGCGTCACTTCATGGGCTCGCTGATCGTTGTATTCCAGTCCGTCTGCCTCCGAGTCCGCCTCCTCGTCCAGCTCATCAATGACGGACGACTGCGACAGCGTGGTCTGTGAGCGTCTTGGGGGCGACTTGCGGTGGGCCGAATTCCGCAAATGAGTGCCATTAGCACGCATCCGCGGCGATCCTTGACCATCCGCCGCGGTGCGGGAATCTTGGGATTGGGCCCCGTCGGTAGCGGAGGTGCCATTCTCAGGCTCTGACGAGTAGTTGGTACGCACCTGACTGCTGATGGGGTCGAGCGCCGGCTGCCGCTCGATCCCGTCCAGCGGGTACGAGATCATGCTGGCCGCCATGCTCGGGCCCGGGCCTCTCTTCTTGTCCGTCGTCACCATGCCAAAGTTGAGCTTGAGGGCGTCGGCCAGCGAGGTAACCCGTTTGGTGCCGCCCGCGTTCTTGGACACCACCACCGCCTCCTGCCACCTCGGTACGTTGCGGCGGATCCAGCGAGCGATCAGAGGCTCCGCGTGCAGATTGTCCACCGGGCACTTGAAGAAGCCTTGCATCTGAGACGCGTGGAGATCGACCGTGACGACGTGCTTGACGCCGGCAACCCCGAGAAGGTTGGCCAGCATTCTTGCCGTTATAGCGCCTCTATGCGACTTCTTCTTGGATTGGCGGCTGTACGGGAAGTACGGCAGCACAGCTGAAGCAAATCCCGGTCAACCTTTTGAACCCATGGTCGAGAACGGTCTGCGAATTGCGAATTGTGCATTGCGGCATTGACGCGACGTACCGGTGATCTTGTTTGCAGAGCCGCCCTTGCAGGCAGAGATCATGATGAGCAGCTCCATGATGGTGTCATTGATCTTGGGGCTGCCCGACTGGACGACAAACACGTCCTTTTCCCGAACACTAGTGAGGATGCGGACGCTTGTTTCGCCATTGGAGAATTGGGTGAGCTCGGCGTCAGCCCGCGCCATGCCCAAGTTGTGACATATCTTGTCTGTGATATCAGGGCAGGAACTGCCCGCGAAGATCAATGTGCCGCGCATGTCGGGGAGTTGGTGCTCAGAAGAAGTTGCGAGAGAAGATTGGGAATTTTTTTTTCGGTTGCCCGAGAAAAAGCGGTTGACGAGCGAGTGGGCCAGCCAGAATTTCAATTCAAGAAGACCCGCAATTGGTGGGGTGCTGCCGATTGGAGTGTTGCCGGATCTGAGCCGAGTGAAGGGGAAGAGCGAGATTGGAATGGTGATGGGTAGGTATGGGTATAAATGGCAAACGAGATTTTGAGGATAAGGAATGGATGTATGGTCGAAAGTTCTGAAAGAGCGGTAAATAAAAGTGAGTGATGGATGGAGAGAGGTTCCGACTCCGGGGAGCCTCATCCACACTCGGCTGGCAGGGTGCTGGGCGCATTTGATAAGCGGAGGGCTAACCTTGGTTCCCTGCCGTGGCAAAAAGGGGATTGAATCATGAATGGGAGGGAGGGGTTAGGGTTTTGGTCTCCTCGGCTCCACCAGTATTGGTAATCGAAGTCCCCAACGGTGGTAATAACATACCACATTACATTATCTCGTTGCCTAAACTAGGATGCGATGCACTACAATAAGCCAACCAACCCATCCATCATCAGACCTCGAAAGCCATGTAACAAAACCATCTCCAAGCTATATTTTAAAATTCGAAAGGTTTCCGCAGCCATATTTGAAGACCATTGCCATGAGTCTCTTTGGGAAGCAACACAACGGCCTGGACGCTCTCCTCCACCGACCACGACCAAGTGTTTGGCAGCAGTTCCTCGAACACCCTTGCATCTTCCTTGCTCGTCAGCTTTACACCTGGCGACAGGCTGTTCCCGCCCAGCCGCTTGTCGACCCGGTATCAGTGGTCTGCGTCTCCGACACGCACAACACCCAACCCGTCCTCCCAGACGGCGACGTCCTCATCCATGCCGGCGACCTCACGCAGTCGGGGTCGCTGCGAGAGCTTCAAGCCACGTTGGACTGGCTACGTGCCCAATCCCACCCTGTCAAGATCGTCGTTGCCGGCAACCACGATCTGCTGCTGGACGCGGGCTGTGACGGCCAAAGAGGCACCGCGAACGAGAATGCGGTCGCCGAGCGCGGCCTCATCGACTGGGGCGATATCATCTACCTAGAGAATGCCGAGGCCGCCGTTACCTGCTACAACGGCCGCCAGCTGCGCGTCTATGGCAGCCCTCGCTCGCCCCGTCACGGTAACTGGGCGTTCCAATATCATCGCGCTGAGGATGTCTGGGCAGGGATTGTTCCCCAAGGCATCGACGTGCTGGTGACGCATGGCCCGCCGCGGGCACATCTAGACCTGCTACGACTCGGTTGTGGGCATCTCTTGAGAGAATTATGGCGGGTCCGCCCAAGGCTGCATGTCTTTGGGCATGTCCACGAGGGCGCGGGCACCGAATGGCTGCAATTCGATGAGCTGCAAGGCGCGTATGAGCGGACTGTGGTCGCAGGTGGTGGGGTCTGGAATCTGCTGCGGACGGTTAAGGCGTTTGTGTATTCGCTTTTTCGCCCGCTTGCGGAGGCAAGGTCTTTGCTCGTCAACCCGGCAATTGTCGGTGGCTTACGAGACAACGAGCGACGGCGGCCGATCAAAGTGATGATTTAATAATGGTACTAATTACATTTGTAGAACAGTTGTTTCGATCCGGCCTCATGCGATTGTGACCCAAGGGGTTTCTATTGCTTATACAAACAGGATGTGGGGTTCCTCCGCGATGATGTTCATCTTCAAAAACCGCTTGCCCCTAGCCGCGTCTTCTGGCGCGTTGTTGGATTGATCTGGTATGATCAGAGGCTGGGGCAGTGGTGGGACCTTGGCTACCCAACTCGGTTCTGCCTCGAGTACCACCTTACGCCTCCTCAATGCCTCCTCTGCCGCGTTGCCAGCAATAATTGCTGGACTCCCTCTTGGTAACCCGCGCTCAATCAAGCGGTTGAAAGCCGTCACCAAATAGCATGGCAACACAGCGAGGATGGCATACCGCTCTGGGTCGGGGTCCTGGGGGTCGGGAATCGCCGAGACGGCCCACGATGGCTGGTTGAAGAAATATTCGATCTCTGTTCGCAGGCCGATGATGTAGCCGACAACCAGATACTCGTACATGCGGTATAAGGAGGCCGTGGGCGTGGCGCCCTTTGCTCTAAGCTATCTGGCCCATGCGCCTCGTTGCGGTGGGCTAACAGCCATGCCCACATCGGGAGGCCTTTGGAGAGGTTGCTTGGGCTTTGTGTTGAAGTCTTGCTGCCGGAAGCGCTCCGGGATGAAGCGAGAGAAACCAGGCATTGTGTGTGGGGAACGGGGGGTTGCGGGCGCGATGTCGTTAGAGCCGAGACGATTGTTTGGTGGTTTGCGAGGCCAACGAAATGCCTGAAAGCACGGTCCGCGTGCCCGTAAAGTATGTTAGATCGCATTTCGAGCTACCTAGTTGTGCCACCGTCAGAACCTAAGGCTTCCACTTCGTCAGCCTCATCCAGCAGGAATCCGGGTTTCCACTTGTATCAGTCTCTGGCCACGGCCCGTGTTCCTATGAAAGCCATCCGTATCCACTCGATATAACAATCCTCGGTCCGCGTTTCTCTAGAAGGCTCCAGTGTGGGCGTCCAACAGGTTCCGAGGTATGTCTCTCGTGTTTGAGCTTTGCATCGTGCCCCACCAGAGGCTCTAACATCATCTTCCTTGAGGTGTCATGATGGCATCCTCCCGGCCGTGGGAACAAGGACAAGCCATCGAAAGGCCGAATATACGGCTCCTGTCCTGTACTAAAGACATACGTGGTCGGAGTTGTATAAGATGCCTGTTGTCGCGCAGGCAAATTCCGCCGATACCTACCATAGATCCCTTATAGCAAGCAATTCACCGACAAACATCTTCTCACACACTACACCACGCAAGGCATCTCTTTGCACCCATCCAAGCCTTTGCCAAGATGGGTCAGTCCTGGGTCTCAGTTCCAGCACCGCAAAAATGCCAAAGCCCTGCTCGAACTCGCACCGACGGCGACGCCAGGCCGTAGCGCCCCCTCCCCAACCTCGACCGTCCCACTCCTCGAGTCGGCTCTGACGAACGTCGGAGACTATCTCACCAGGAAGAAGAAGACAATAACGGTAATCGCCGTCGGCGGCGCCGTCAACACCATCTTCCTCAAGAGCCGGACGTCGACGCACGACGTCGACTTCTACAACACCGGCTGACGGTGGCCGAGTTCGGCTACCTCATGAGCGCGGCCAAGGACGCCGTCGGGCGCGATCCCCAGCTCAACGAGGGGTGGTTCAACAACCACACCGTCTTCTTCATCCCGCAGGCGCAGCGCGACGCCCTCACAGACCAGGCCTTTGCCCAGAACGAGGTCATCTTCCAGCACGGCGGGCTGCGCGTGCTGGCGGCGCCGTGGAAGTACGCCTTCTGCTGCAAGATCGACCGCCTCGCCGGTGGCGGTGTCGCCGCCGCGCAGAGTTATGATCTCTCGGACGCCGTGCACTATCTGGCCCGGTACCTGGCTCAGCAAAAGTTGACGTCAGTGCCGCTGGCGACGGTGAAGCAATGGTTCACGGGGTATTCGCTGCGGTGGACTGCCAACAATGACGGTGTGATTAAGCGCCTCAATGCGGCTTACAAGACCAAGTACGGGGTGGAAAAAGTTATTACTTAGATGATGCGTGGACAGGAGAGGCTGGACTTGGTTTTGTATGTCGAGTTTGTAGTCTGTTGTAAGTTTATGGAGTTATGGTTATGGAGCAAGGACGGAGATGAAAGCAGTACGAAATATTGTCGAAAGTGTAATATTACACATTTGGGCGTAACATTTCTGTAAACCTGAAACCCGCCGTGCCCCGAATAGGCCCAAATTTCACAAGGGCATCAAGGCATCCCACCTCACCGAAACATACATAACACGACGATTTTCTTTTTTTCGCCCCGCCACAATGGGCATTCCTCAACTCCGGCGACAATTAGAACCCTATGCTGAGAGGGCCGTCATTGCAGCAGGAGCTGTCGTTCTAGATGGCCCAGCACTCGCATACCATGTCCTCAACCTCTGCTCGAGGATAACCCCCAAATCCAATCCCTTTGAGCAGCCATCTTATGAGTTGCTCGGGACAACTGCGATAGAATGGCTGGATAAAATACAGAAATGCGGTCTTTCAGTGTAAAGTCGGGCTCCTGGAGCACATGCTATGACCTCGAGCTAACAGCCCCTCCTAGCTCGGCCATTTACTTCGACAGTTATCTGCCTAGCTCAAAAAGGCCCGAGCGGATACAGCGCCTCATCAAATTGACTGGAGGCCTGATCAGGTACCAAGTAGGGTTTCAAACGGGAGTGCCTAGAGCCATCAACCCCCATCGCATTGGTGAAGCCAATGTGGATTTGTTTCCTGATACATGGCCATCGGACAAGAAAGCAAGCTTGAGGCCGCCAGTCCCGCCCTTTCTCGTTCCCGCCGTCATTGACGCGCTGAGAAACTCACCAAAATTTGGGCCCTTGATCAGCTTGGTTCCTGGAGAGGCAGATGGCTTCTGCGCTCAGCATGTCCGGGAACATGGCGGAATGGTTCTGACGTCTGATTCCGACCTGTTGGCGTACCGACTGGGTGAAGCCGGTGGTGTCATCTTCCTTACAGACATTGATGGCGATATGGAAAACCGGACGCTCAGTGCCCCTCAGTACCGCCTTGCGGATCTCTGTAGACGGCTGTCCATCAAACCGGATACCGGCATTCAGCACCTCGCTTTCGAGATTAGCAGAGATCCTCACTTGACGTTAGAACAGGCAGTTGAGAGGACAAAAAGGGGCGAGGCAGCCTCGGTGTCCGAAGAGGAATATTCCAAGTTTATTAGCGAATACCTCTCGCCAGAGGTGGCGTTGACGTCCGAAACAAACCAAGCGTCGGCCCTTGACCCACGGGTTTCCGAAATCGCCCTCCGATCACTCCAAACTTCAGGCATTGTAACATTTGCCTCAAAGGATGACTCACCATCTCAGGACCCCAAAGATTCCAGACTGGAAATGTATTTGCCTTTTCTCCTCGATTACCCGTCTCGGACAAGCGCATGGGAAGCAAGCAAGCGCGTAAGACAACTGGCTTACGCAGTCTTGCTGTCCTGCCGGAAGAACGACAACATACCGACAGTATTCGAGATGAGGAGGCTGCAGTCTATATCCTCAGGCTTGGAGATTGAGGTCCCAGCGTCCAGTGAGATTGACAGCCTGGGTACTTCACTGCTAGCTCTCGTTTCCAAAATTGAGACGAGCATGGGCAAACCTGAACTTAAATGGGTAATTCTGGCTATTTACCAGGACATTGTCATGACCATGGACCGTGAGGGTTATCCCCTCAGTCTCGAGTTGCTTCGTCAAGACGCGAGGGGAAAGCTGGACCCATGCTCATGGGACTTCATCCATCTTCTGGCACAGGTCCAAGCGACTTACTACTCACTCAGGATGCTTCACCAGATCCTCGAGTTCTCAAAGCACCGCGCAGGGGCCCTGACAACAACACTGTCAGAGCTCTCGCAACTTCTGTCGCGGCTTCCGCCATTGACAGACTTCCCCTCGCTGAGAACTTTCGAGGGGACCCTGTCGTCGGTGAGGGAGGAAGAGTGCCTCTCTTGTCTGGAGGCTCTCTGTGCAGACTTTGAGGATGCCATTTTCCTCATCAAGTCTGTTCGGCAACCACAAAATAGCAGGAATTCGAAGAAAAGGAAAAACATGGCGTCAGATGAGGGTGAAAGCAAGCCCCGTCTGAGCAACCCCCGTTCGAACAATCCATTTGACCTCCTGGCGGGGACCGGGGACTAGAGAGCAGCATTGGTTTGTCTCTGGACGGTTTCAAGTAGCATGATAAGGGCCAAGGAAATTAATACCGTGCTATCTCCCCTCCTGTAGTATGTTTTCTTCTACCATTTTACTTGGTTTCTGTTGTGTTGACAGCCCCTGATTAGCACTAACAAGCGGGTTAGGGTTATAGCATATCCCCGTTGTCCCGAACCACAAGGTAGTCCAGATGGATAGAAGGACAAGGGATCCTATGAAAAGAAGAATATGCCCAATTGAGAGAATGAACTTCCTTTTTTTTTTTCTGATTTGTGCTCAATCAGACATCAGGTAAGCGGGAAAAGGAAAAGGGGTTTGAGTCTCGTCAAAAGCTTTATGATTTAACGAATAATACTCCGTAAAAGACACGCTTTCCTAACGCTGCAAGATATTGATACAAAGCCCAAACCCAGCCAGCCGCATAGCACGGCAAAGACACCTAGAAGTACAGACAAAAACGCCTTAAACCTCCTCCCTCAAATCCCCCACCCATCCCAACACCTCCCTCTTATCATCCGTCACCCTCCCATACTCCAACAACAACCTCAGCACATAAACCGACATATCCTCCTTCCTAAGCACTTTCGCCGCCCACTCCCTCCCCGCCATCGCAATCCCCTCCCCCACCCTATCCCTCCCCTTGGCCACTCCCCCTTCCCCCCCACCCCCCAGAAAATACCCCAAAATCCCCCACCAATCCCCAAACCGCCCATCCATCGGCACGAAATGCTTCCACGCCACCAGCCGCGCATCATGCCACTCCCGCCACAGCGTCGCCTTCACGGGGACGCTCGTCGACCTTAAAAAGCCCAGGTACCGCCCGCTGAAGGAGTTTCCGTCGATATCCGGCAGGTATTTGTGCTCGAACTGCGTGGCCATGGGCACGCCGGCGGCCGGGGTGAAGTAGGCGGCCGTGTAGTCGCACGAGGGCGAGAAGCCCTTGTTGGAGCAGGCCATTTCGGTGAGCGCGATGTCGGTGGTGCGCGCGATCCAGCCAGGGAGGTCGGTCTGTGCGGCGGCGGGGAGGGCGTAGCGCTTGTCCGGGAGGACGAAGTTGGGTGGGGGTTCCTCCGGGTTGGCTTCGGCGTGGGCGAGGAGCGTGGGGCTGTTCATGGCGGCGAAGCGGTGGCGTTGGAAGGCGCGCCAGTTGGTGGCGGTGTTGAGGCCGCCGGTGGCTACGCCGCGCCAGATTGCCGAGGATTGTTTGGCGGTCCAGGGCGTGGCGGCGGCTTCGGCGCCGAAGAAGCGCTTTTCTTCGCTCCAGTAGATGGCGGCGGGGAGGAGGATGTCGTTGTTGCGCGAGAGCTTGGAGCCGCCGAAGACAGGGATCAGCGATTTGGTGGCCGCGACACTGATCGGCTCGACGAAGATGCCTTCGAGTGCTTGTAGATCTGGCTGGTGGCAGTAGTCGGTGCTGAGGGTGTAGTTGGCCACATAGCCGTTTTTCATGTGTTCCGAGGCTAAAGGGGCTAGCCATAGAAGGCGGTTTATCGAAGTCAGTAATAACCTCAGCTAGGCGGAGCTGGGCTATCAGGCGGGCACCCGCGACGTGCGATAAGCCAGTAGTGTTCTGTCTGGTTAGTGTATTACTCTGAAAGGAGTGGCCAAGGTTAACGTACTGTCCCTTTCCCACTGTGCGGGAAGCATATCGCTTTGGTCCTCCTCAGGCGCTTCCCCGGTTCGTGAGCTGAACCTGGATACTACACTCTCAACAGCGACAATGCGCATCGTCTCAGCCGCCTTCTGCATATATACATCTATATCCTCCCAGGGTACCACCATACGTGGCTCGTCCATCGGGTTTACAGCAAGATCCATATCCGGCAGCAGGTGCTCGACAGTCTGGATCATCCCGAGCCAGATCTGGGTCCAAAACCAGTCGCTACTAGTCGACGCCTTGCCATCGCGAATCTGGATACGCATATCAAAGTCGCGGGCATCCTTGCGGATCTTGGCGGGCCGGACGCCCCAGAAGGGTTCTAGATCCTGGTAGATCTGGTCCCAGAAATCCTCGACGATGATGGCTCCCCGTTCCGTGGCAAACTCGTACCATTTGTCAAACCCTGGAGGGGGGTGCCGGCCTCGTCGCTTTCGGTAGGCGGCGGCGGCAGCTGTGAGTGTCTGCGTCGACTTGGAGAGTTTGGCTTCGAACTCTTTCTCGGCGTTTCGGATGAGAGGATCGATGGGGTGTGGTGTTGCGCCAGCCAAGGGCCGGACCCAAGATGCTATTGTGTCTGATTTTGGGAGGAGGTAGAAGGTCAGCGTCAACAAGAGTGCCCCCACAAGGTAGCGACGAAACGTGGTGCGCCGGCGGGGGATTTTCATCTTGCAAAAGTGTTGCGGCCGAGGGGCGGGAGGCGGTTTCGCAGGATGCCCGGGTTAGTCAATTTGCAGCGCATGTCAAGCGTGATCAGGCCAATTGTCGTTGGGATCGGGGATGGCCATGAATTAAAGCGCCATGGGATTGGCAATGGCGAAATGTGCGTGGGAGGAATGCAAGCCCGCGCAAACAAAGCGCAAAGCGACGGATCGAGCGCATGGAGATGGGAGGCGCCCGGGGAAACAGGGGTACCACGTTAAAACCAACCGACATGAGAAACTGGGGCACTAACCGGGGACCAGCCGATAGGGTCAAAGCGAGCCGCGCGGGACAAGCCACAGAACCATTGGCCCGACAGGCGCTGATCATCGCCCGGCAACGACTAACAGTGACGGCCCCCAAACCTTCATTTAACTTCCATGTCTCTCGGAGCAGATGATGCCGTTTCAGGGCGACTTTACGCATCACCAACACCGACCAGATTCGTTATCTACAAAAATCTCCTTTATTTAGGTACCAAGGGTAAGTAAGCACTTTGGCCGCCCTCTTGTTAGAACTTCCTGCTATGTACCGACATCCATTTAGCATGTACACCATCCCATTACGACCGTGTCCGGCGAAACCAGCCCCTTGCAAACAACCCCGGACTACATTATCTAGTCTCGACTAGTGTACAGATGTCCCTACCAAAAGTCTTTGCTCACCGCCCATTAAACTGTTAGTGGTTATGAGCCTTTTTCTGCCAAGCAGAACTAGTAGGATTTGGAAAGCGGTCAGCAAAGACTTTTGGTAGGGACTTCCGTACTCTCCCACCTCGTTCCCGGCAATTCAACCGGTGGCGTAACGGGGCATCCCTGGCCGATTTCGTACACCCCACGCTCTCCATCGAGCTCCCCCAGCGGGGGCTTGTAAAGCCCTTGCGCTGACGCGACAGCAGCGCCATCTGTTGTTGCTTCTCCCATTGTTGTTGGTGTTGTTGCGGCTGTTGCAGCAGATGTGGCGCGAGTGCGCCGGATGAGGAAAACGACCACGACGAATATGCAAATGAGCGCGACGCAGCCGACTGCGGCCCCGACTGTCATAGCGGTATTGGTGCTGTTGCTCGTGTTAGTGTTACTGTCAGTGTTGTTGGTGTTGTCAGTATTATTGGTGTCGTTGGTGTCGTCGGTATCATTGGTGTTGCTGGTGTTGCCGGCGTTGCTAGAGTTGTTGGTGTCGTTGGTGTCGCTGTTGTCGTTGTTGTCGTCGTTGTTTGCCGATTCTGTGGAGGCTGCGGTTTGGGCAGCGGCTTGGGAGGGGGAAGTGCCCGCGGTAGCGATTTGGGAGGTCTGTGGTGGGGTGGGCAGCGGTTTGGGTGCTGAGCTGGACGAGGCTGAGGGTTTTGCATTGGTGGTGAAGACCTTGTATTCTTGCGTTCTGTCCGGTCTGTCGCCGTAGGCTAGGTAAGTGACTGCGCGAGGGGAGTCACGGGAAAGGGTCAGGAGGTCGGTCGAGCAGTAGCGGGCTTTGGATCCGGCGCTGTAGCGTGTTGGTTCGTGCTCATTCTCGGGCAGCCTGCGTGGATAGAGGCATGGGCATGCTGTGGAAAACCTACCAGGTCCATGTTTTCAAGGCCGGATTCCCAGATCCGCACCCTGTGGAACAGGAGAATTTATCAAAACAGGCGCCGCCCATATCGCACAGGCTGGGGTCGTTCGAGCGGCAGAATGCCCAGGCGCTGTTCACGACGTCAACACGAATGTCGTAGCCGCTCTCGGCGGTCCGCCTGCGGGAGGCATCCCCGTCGCGGTAGATGACCGAGTAAGTGGTAAAGATGCTAGATCCCCCCGGCTTGTTGAATTCCATTGCTGTTCCGCCATCGGATGACGGCCATTGCCGACCCAACAGAGCCGACGCTGTCACCTCTTGAACGCTGCTGAGGAGAAGCAACAGAAGAAGGGGAAACATAGCCATTGGACCACGAGAAGGGGTTCACTCTCGCAAGAAGAAAGGCCTGTGACGAGAAGGAAGCGTGGATGAGAGACGAAACGAGGAGAATTTCGCAGAGGGGAGAGCACATAGGCCATCAACCCTGTTAACCCTGCTAACCCTGCTAGCTAAACATACAAACCATCCGTTATTCATGATGTCCCATCCCAGCCCTTTCAGTCCCCCATGCTTGAAGCGTAGCAGTGATATCTCGCTTGTGACCTTGCCTTGGCTGCTGCGCCGTACGTTTTTTCGCCGCCAAACATGCTGTGAGAGCAATCTGGCAGAGTGTGGGTTTGGTTCTGTCCAGGGAAACATGGCTGGCCAAATTACAAGTGCGCGCATCCCCGACTTAATCCCTAGCGTGTTGCAAGATCACCAACGTGCCAGGTACCTCGTCGGCGGCTATTTTGCCGCTTCGCGTTGTTGCTAGGTGGGACCTAAGCGCAGCCCCCTTATCGTTATCAGCCAAGAGTGCCCCTCCAAAATTTCCAACAGCCCCGCGCTCTTCAGCGTGTCTCCGTCGGACGACTGTCGGCTCCTTGAGTCCCGTCCCACATTCCACATTCTCTAGAAAAAAAGGCTCAAGCCTCGTAGCCTCACAACTCTCACCACCAAATCAATAACCAACTAACCTCACCACCTCCAATTCAACACAAACCATCCCCCCGTCAACGATGACCGCCCCAACGACAACATCCCCCTCCTCGGAGGCCACCACCACCACCACCACCACCACTCTCAACACAATCGCCACCCTCCACCAATCGCTCACGACCGAAACAACCCCGCTCCCCGTCCGCTTCCGCGCGCTCTTCTCGCTCAAGCACGTCGCGGCCACGCACCCGGCCACGTCAGCCGAATCACTGGCGGCCATTGACGCGATCGCGGCGGGGTTCGCGTCGCCGTCGGCGCTGCTGAAGCACGAGCTGGCGTACTGCCTGGGCCAGACGGCGAACGGGGCGGCGATCCCGTACCTGACGGCGGTGCTGGAGGACACGGGCGAGGACGCCATGTGCCGGCATGAGGCGGCCGAGGCGCTGGGGGCGCTGGGGGACGTGGCGAGTCTGGGGGTGCTGAAGAGGTTCCGGGATCGGGAGGGGGAGGAGGTGGTGGTGACGGAGACGTGCGAGCTGGCGGTGGAGAGGATCGAGTGGGAGAATGGGGAGGGGAAGAAGGCGGAGAAGTTGAGGGCTAGGTATGTGCATGCATGCACGCGTTTCTGGTGGTGGTTGTTGTATTGGATTAGGCGGGGGGCATTAATTACTAACTGCTGCGGCTAATCTAGTGATTTCTCCTCGGTCGATCCCGCGCCGCCTACGGCTCAGGGCCAGGAGGAGCAGACAGTGGAGGAGCTGGGTAACGCCCTGATGGATACAAGCCTGCCGCTCTTCAAGAGATACCGCGCCATGTTCGCTCTGCGCGACTTGGCGTCGCCGCCTGACCTTCCTACCGCTGTCCCTGCCGTCCTAGCCCTGGCTAAGGGGTTCGCCGATTCCTCCGCCCTATTCCGCCACGAAATCGCCTTCGTCTTTGGCCAACTAGCACACCCAGCGTCCATCCCTGCGCTTACCGAGGCCCTGAGCAACACTGAGGAGGCGAGCATGGTACGGCACGAGGCCGCCGAGGCGCTTGGCAGTCTAGGAGATGAAGAGGGCGTCGAGGAGACCCTGAGGAAGTTCCTGCACGATGCCGAGGCGGTCGTTCGCGAGAGCGTAATCGTGGCCCTGGATATGGCTGAGTACGAGAAGAGCAATGAGACCGAGTACGCGTTGATTCCGGAGGCGCAAGGGACTGCTTAAGCGGGTTGTATTTTGGCGTTGGGGTCTCAAAAGGTATAATACCATCAGGTAGCACAGGAGCTCGGTATAGATCGCTGGGATCTGATTTCGGGAATCGTTGTCGTTATATGGCCATGGGCCTCAGTTGTTCATAGTCCATCTGGATGCCACGTTAGCAAGGGGCCATAGACGCAATCCCAGTATTCCGCACCTTTCGCCGCAGTCACAGTTGTAAATGATGGTTGAGCCTTCATCAGCACTCCTCTGTTGCACTTCGGAATACCGTATCCCGGTCTTGCCGCATTTCGGGCACTCGGTATTGGAATCGATGCGCTCTGTTTGCACCTTGTGCCTTTCGACGGTCTGAACAATTGACAATTTTTGTCGGAGTGCCGAAGGGAAATCAGAGGGTTTCGTCCTCGTGGTTACAGTCTTCCACGGGTGATCTGCAAAGTTAGCAAACCTCCTCGGTGGTTCTTCAATTCACACCCAGACTAACCTCTGTTTTCTGCTCCGCAGCAGTCGCAATGAAGGATGTTCTTCTCGCTGCCCATGGACGCGGGCAGGAGATTGCCACAGTCAGTGCAAAAGATCAGGGAGCCAATTGCGGCCATTTTGTGGTTCTGGTAAGTCGTGAGAGGCCTGCTTGGAGAAATTTGTTGTTGAGTGTACCAAAACAGATCAACTTCCAGGTTGTTGGAATTCTTCGGCGCATTGGATTTGAGAGCGCGCATGCCAGAAAATTTAGCGGGGCCTGCCATCCCCAGAGAGCGAAGCACGGGCCATCAGTACCCCAAAAACCCGGCAGGCTCATTGGGCCGAAAAAGGATTGGCTGCTTGGCGGTCTTCTTGGTCGTGCAAGGCTGCCTGCGACCATGGTGGACCCTAGCCCGGTTGCAGTTGGGATAGACTTCAACAACCCTCTCGGGACATTTCTTCGACAAAACACCAAACGCAGACATCGGCGACAACCGTATGCCCGACAACACAAGGCAAAGGGCATAACAGGGTCAGGGGATTGCCGCATGGATACAACAATATCCAGCATCTACCTACCACTCTCAAGCGCCAAACGAGGAGATTAGTTGGTCGAGCCAAGTACCGGGCGAAGTCCAGCGACTCCAACGACCATGTCCCGTCCCCGACTGTGATCCGTCCTTTTCACGATGGCAGACCCGAGGCCCGACATTTATAATGGCCATCCTCACGGCGCCCCGAGCCCTGGCCCGCCGGCCGGGCAGCCGCTACCAGCCATGGGCTTCACGAGACCCTTCACCCTCGACGAAGCCCTCCCATACACGCCCTTTTCTTCAATTGTACCCTTCAACTCGGGTAGGGATGCTTCCACAACCGCGCTCTCGGTTTCTAGAGAAAATCCAACCTCTAACCCATTTATCTTCTTTCTATAGGCGTACTTCCGTCGCCATCAATTGGCTCAGCTACACCGGCGCCGCCAGTCACTGACCTCATACCGGGCCACGACTTTGCAACGTTAAATCAAGAGGCTGCCGCTCAGAAGCCACCCTCCAGGCGGCTCCAACAAACTGTCAGCCAAGTCCAACATTTACTAGAGCGAGGAAATATCCCCGAGTTGTATGTTCTATTTCAATTTGGGCAGGGTCATCGCTAACAACAAGAAGCAAGTTCAAGACAGGCCCAAGGATTCCCTCAAGCTCCTCCAACACTCTGAGGTCGCCCCCGCTTGCCGCCACCCTTAAGCCATTCTCCAAGATGGTCCACGATCAGATCGCGATACCCTTCCGGTATTCAACACCCGATACGCCGTCGCCCGCGACAAACAGTCTAGCAAACGCGCTGAGCACTCCGGTCCCGGTAAAACAGCGCGCCCCAGTTTCGCAAAAACCGGTACAACCCAAACAGCAACAGAGCCCTGTGACGCCAATCAATCGGCAGGCGCATACTCACAACAAGGCCCAGTTCGAGATTGTCCTGCCGACTAAGAGTCAGCTCGAAGCTGCAGCTGCGGCGCTCGATGAACCCGCTGTCGATTCAAAAACCGTGGACGCACCCACTTCTATCCGGCTTGCTGACATACCACAATACCCCCAACAACAAGTACCACCGTCAGCATCGCCTCGTCCGGTCGACGGTGCGGAACAACCGGTCCCGGATGTGCCAGCGAAGACCCCATCGTCACAGGCGCCCTCAGCTTCCCAAAAGGCCGCCATTTCTATTCAACTTCCCAGCGTAGATAAGTTCAATACGGATGAGTACCTGGTTGTTCAGGATGAACCTGACGAGCCGATGAACCCATTGCTGAAGAAGCAGAAGCGAGAAGACATCGACGGCGATGACCTCTACGGAGACAGCCTAGACATGCGCCAGAGAGCCGAGGCGGCTATGCACGAATTAAGGCTCTTTCTACACAATGCGTTCCAGGCTGAAAGCCACGCCCTCGCGCAGCAATACGGCAACGAGATGATCCTACTCGTCGCGGACAACGAGGCCACCCTCACCGCGGCCGCCCAATCCAAGGCACAAACCCTTCTCGCGAAGGTTATTTCGCTGAACTGCTACAAGCGCGTCCCGCTTGACCACCTTCTCCGTCTTCTCCGGCTCTCAGAGGGTGCGCTCAGACAGGTCGAGTCTCTGGAAATCAAGGTGGACGAGTCGTGGGGCGCCCCTGAAGCCGAACAGTGGTTTCAGCAGCTCCCCCTCCTTGAGATTGCTATGCGGGCGGCACGGACGTCATTGAGGATGATGTGCGGTGACCGAGAAGACAAGCAGCTTTACCCGGAAGACGTCATCGAGCGATGCCTCAACTTGTGCAAGCGCCTCATCGACGGCGTCGTCCTACCTATCGTGGAACTGAGAAGTACTCAGAACACGGCCGAGCTATTTAGGGCGATATCTTCCAGTAAGAAGAAGATCGTCGCCCTTTTTACGGACTGCCAGAAGCTCTTCTCTCTCATGTCGACTTTGATTTCCAAGGTCGACACTTCTGATACCGTTACCAACACGCTGGAGTTTGCGGCATCGCGCCTTATTTTCATGGAAACTGCCAACGCCGAGAAGGATTCTGTCATAGACACACAAAAGTTTGACGGTCTCCGCCTGGTCGCCATGGACATGCTTTCGCAAATTTTCCTGCTGAATCCCTCCCAACGCCAAGGGATCTTTGATGAGATTCTCACCTCCTTAGAGAAGCTTCCTCTCGGAAGGCGGGCCCGGACGTTCAAGCTCGTTGACGGAAACAGTATCCAGCCTGTTTCCGCCCTCATCATGCGTCTTGTCCAGACGAGTGCTGGGAAAGTGGGCGAGGGCAAAGGCAAGACCCGACGTGGTATAGTTGCCGAGGATGAACAAGACGTAAACGGTGATCGCCAGCATGCTGCGCAAGAGACCTTCACGATTCGTGACGAGGACCATGGCGCTTCGCAACACTCTACCGCTATTCAGGAGCTTGATAGCATTGCGACATCGCTATTAGACACCGCCAAAGCCAACGCTTCGTACGTCGTCAAGTTCATCGTTAACCGAGCGCTCAAGTCCACCAAGTCCGGTGACACACCCTACCGAAATCTGCTAGATCTTTTCGTTGAGGACTTCACAACCTGCCTCGACAACCCGGATTGGCCGGCCTCTGAGCTGCTCCTTCGGCTGCTCATGGTCATGATGGTGAATTTGGTAGAGAACGACAAATCGGGTGTTCCAGCCAAGAACATGGCGCTCGAGCTTCTGGGGAGCATGGGTGCCGCAATCTCCAAACTCCGTGGTCACGTCAGGAAGGTTGCAAGTGCCCTGGATGCTAGGGATGCAGATGAACTAGGGATGTTCCTGTCGGAGCTCGCAGCCTCGGCCCTAGAGCTAAAGTCTCGCCCGGAGCACATGGTGGCTTGGACCGGCCCCTATCGAGCCACGCTCGAATACCTCGAGAGTCGCTTCTCCGAGGACCCACACCTGGCGAGCGCTATCTCGTTCATCATATCTGACTGGGGCACCAAGGTCTGCCTTTGCTACGACTCCTTCGACGACGATTTCCGTGAGCGGGATCAAGAGTTGGGTCGGCTGGCATACCGCCTTCGGGAGATGGTCCAGGACCGCCGTTGGTTGTCCAACGAATATTCGTTCAGAAATGTCGGAATCAGCCAGGCCAAGCTGTCTTACTCGATCACTCTTCTTCGATCCCAACTTTGCGAGGCCTTCAGCGGTATCTTGAACATCCTCCTGAACTCGATGGCTAGTGACCAGCCGACTGTGAGGAGCAAGAGCTTGAAGAGCATTAACCAGGTCCTGGAAACGGATCCCTCTATCCTGGATGGCGACTCGGTGGTTGTGCAGTTGATTCTCCGGTGCTCTAATGATTCGTCCACTCAAGTCCGCGACTCTGCCCTGGGACTCATCGGCAAGTGCATCGGCATGCGACCGGCATTAGAAGAGCGGATGACGGAGACTGTGGTGGACAGGTTCTCTGATGCCGGTCCGGGCGTACGGAAGCGAGCCATGAAGTTGGCGAAGGACATTTATCTTCGTAACAACAACAGGGTCCTCCGCAGCGCGATCGCTAATGGCCTGCTCCACCGCGTTCAGGACCCCGAAGAGAGTGTCAGAGACCTTGCTCGCCAAGTGATTGAGGAGATATGGTTTAGCCCCTTTCATAGCGGCGAAAACTCGACCGCATCTCAAATCTCACTCGCCGAACATGTTTCTCTCATGGTCCAGACCGTTAAGAGAGGGAGCGTTGCGACCGTCCTCGACAAAGTTCTGCAGACCCTCCTGGCGCCAGAGTCGAAGACAGCGGCGGCATCCATGGAGGTGTGCACGAAGCTCGTCGCGAGCATGTTCGATCTCGTTGACAACGGCGATTCCAACGACCCATCAACTCCATCTGGCCGTGACGTCCTCCAGGTGCTGATGATTTTCGCCAAGGCCGAAGCCAGTCTCTTCACTTTTGAGCAGCTGCGTCTCCTGAAACCGCACATTACAAGCATCAGCAGCAGCGAAGACTTGGCTGTCTCCAGGGCAGTGGTGGTTATCTATCGCCGTGTCCTCCCACAGCTTTCAAGCGCCCACGCCCAATTTCTTGCGGACGTGCGCAAGGAGCTGCTGCCCGTTGTCTCCAAGGTTACCCGTGCTTTGCTTGACGACGTCATGGCATGCCTGTGGATCATCAGCACTCTGCTCGAGACTTCGGAGCACCTTGCCCGGTTAGTGCTGTCCAGCTTGACCGCCATCCAGAAACTACGCATCATGAGCCAGAGAGATCCTCTTGACCAGCTCAAGACCCGCCAGTTCGACCGGTATTCGCTTATCGTGGGTATGGCCGGGAAGCACTGTAATCTCGACAGCCATCTCGAATTGTTCAAGAAGGGTTTTCCCAAGTGGAACGGAGATACCGCATCGAAGCTCATGGTCGATGTCGTGGTGCCTTTCGCTGCTCCCACCCAGCCCCTAGACGTCAGGAAAGCAGCGCTCGATTCGGTTGGCCTAGTCTGCCAGGCATCGCCGCGGAACTACGTGTCTGCCAATGTCTACACCACGTTCCAGCAGGTATTTGACGACCAAGTTCCGGCTCTAGAATCCATGATCCTGCGGTCTCTCAAAGAGTTCCTCTTCACTGAGGAGACGCGATCCGAGCAAGCGTCCGAGGCCCCTGCTATCAACGGCTCCAAGTCCGAGAAGAAGCGCGAGCTCACGGTCATTGGCGGCACTACCTACGACGACGTCGCAAGTGCTACTACTCATCGGTTCCTAAGAGAAGTGACTCGCATCGCTACCTCTACACAGGACGACCATGCCTTCCTCGCCGTGGAGGTACTTGCCAGCATCAACCGACAAGGTCTGGTGCATCCGAAGGAGACCGGTGTTACATTCATCACTCTCGAGACGTCGTCGAACTCGCGCATTTCGGAGCTAGCCTTTCTCGAGCACAAGTCTCTCCACGGAAAGCACGAGACAGTTGTCGAGCGCGAGTATGTCAAGGCGATACAATCGGCATTTGCGTACCAGCGTGATATTGTTAAGGACCCGCGTGGCGCTACCGCTAATCCCTTTACGCCCAAACTTCATCTCCTCATGGAGGTGCTCAAGATCAGCAAGTCCAAAAACCGCCAGAGGTTCCTCGAGAAATTTTGCACCCAAGTCGATTTTGACATCTCCAAGCTCGACATCTCAGAGGAGATCCCGCCTCACGTGCAGTACTCCCGTTTCATCATCGAGAACCTCGCTTTCTTTGAGTACGTCACCGTTGGCGAGCTACATTGCATAGTCTCCGCGATGGAAAAGCTTGTCACCTCGACCGGCGCCACCATCGCGCAGGCTATCGAGTCCGAAGTCTTCCAAGTGCGCATGGATGTCGTCGAACCGACTCCCTCCCAGCCACAAACCCAGTCTGAGCTTACCCAATCCGGCGGGGAAGCACAACCTCCGCCGGAACCTGCGGCCCTCACCCACCCAGAAGTCACCATCGACCTACCACGACTGCGCCAGCTCACGGCCGGCTCCATGATCCTCCTCGCGCTCTGGGAAGTCCGCACCTACCTACGCCGGCTCTACGGCATGGGCACGACAAACCGCCGCGAGGGCAAGGGCAAGCTGCAGTCCAAGGACCTGTCCAAGGCGCCCATCAAAGTTCAGGGCATCACGGGCGAAAAGGTGTGGGAGGAGATGGCCGCCATCATGACGGGGTTCACGGACCGCGGCCGCATGATGGCGACGTGCAAGGCGCTGATCGAGCTGATGAACGTCGACAAGGAGTTCCTGGTTCCCGCGGAGGAGGACGAGGACCTGGATGCGGACGCCGAGGCGGATCCACTGGGCTTGGAGAGTGGGGCCGAGGACGATGGCATGGTTGACCAACAGCCTGTCAGTAGGGGCAGGAAGCGCAAGGCTCAGGGGGGCAGCGCAGGCCCTAAGAAGAAGAGGGCGCGGTCGAGCTCGCAGGGGCCTAGGAAGAGGGGGCGGCCGAGGAAACAGAGCGGTGAGGCGTTGCAGCAGCCGCAGGGGTTGTTGCAGGATGAGGGGGATGGGGGGTTTGATGAGGGTAGCTGGTTTTGAGGTTGTTTTTGTTATGGTGGTGGGCTAAGTTGCTTCTGTGGCTTCATTTCGTTTCGTTTCTTTCGTTTCATCTTGGGGGTTGGGGCAACTAGTCAATCGCTCCTGCGTTTTTTTTCTCCTCCCACGACGGATATTTTACCGGCGCGTAGCATTACATGGCGTGGCTAGATGGATGGGAGGAAGCTTGCTGGCGTTGGCATTTTACTTTTGAGCACACGGCGAAACGGTGGTTTCGGCCAGGACATAACATACCTTACGATATAATCAGGCGCCTAGCAGGCGTTGCTTTCTGCTTTTGCTCGGAAGGGCGGTTTGTTGTCCGATATGGACGGTGGATGGGCAAATGGCAAAATGGCGTTCTTGGGGAGTGATGGATGGGCTGGGTGGAAGAGATGAGATGGACAAATATGCATCTTTATTTTATTTTTCTTCGAGCTGCTTCTGTGGGATGTGTTGGTCGGGCTGGAGAATATTGCTCTCTTACCATAACATAACTACGGTTGACTTGCCCGAGTCGAGAATGCAGCAAGATGAAGCGAAGCAAAGCTATTTGGCCCATGGAGAGTAAAGATTAACACCCCGGGCACTCAACCGCTATTATTATGTTAACTCCCATCAACTTACTCCCGCACTCTTGGTATGTTTTTTAGCATGGACCTACCTACAATGTGTATGACATCTCATACCCGGGCTGTCATCGAACCGGTCCGTCGCTCTGCAATTCCATTTCCCAAGAACCATATAAGCATTAATAGTGGTAATGTTCTTATCACATAGTCCAAATAAATTAACTAAAGTGTATATGCCATCAAGTCACCCGTCACACGAAATTGGAACTTTTCAAGGTTTCCTCCCGAAGTTTGCAGCAGAGGCTACCACTTGGGCTCAAGTTCCACAGCACAACTCCAACAATTATCAGCCCGGTTAGCTCAGCTGGTTAGAGCGTCGTACTAATATAGCTCCTAGTGGTTATACTAAGTAATGCGAAGGTCAACAGTTCAATCCTGTTACTGGGCATTTCCTTTTGCACTTTTTCCGACTTTTTTACGTCTGTCTCTTCACATATTTATTTATTATCTTCTACTCTTCTGGGTTTCTTTTTGCCTTTGCTCATTTATCAGGGACAGAAACAACTGGATTTCGACCCCAACCGGCACGGTGTCGTCGTTCCTGTTGCCCCCCGGGATTGAGTTGCCCCCCTGCCTCCTGAAGCAAGGTGCTCCTTTCTCACAAAAAAAAAACATTTTAAAGCGCCCAAGATGTGTCAAGAGTGGTTTTGTATTCCGCTACCCCCCCGCTATCCGACCCGTTGAGCGTCGCAACCCGCCAGTAACCAAGTTGAGGTATCATACATACATTCAGACATTATGAGATCTCCGCCCTCCATCCCTGCTCATGCAACCATCAGAACGTAACGACATCCCCCAAAGTAAAACAAACCCAACCCAAACAAATGGTACGTATGTATGTACACACACCCCGTCCTTCAAAGCTGATCCATCGGCATCCCGCCCGTGGCAACCCCCATGAAATCCCCCAAGTCACTAAAGTCAAAATCCATCTGCTGCATCACATCAGCATCCATGGCATTCATCTCCGACGGCGCCGAGAAGTCCATCCCACCCGTCGAAAGCCGTCGCAGCTCCCATCCCAAACCCCAACCCCAACCCCCCATCCAAACCCAAACCCTGCTGCTGTTGCTGATGTTGCTGCTGCTGCTGCTCTCCTCCCAGCCCCTGCCCCCCCTGGCCCCCCTGGCCCCCCAACGGCAACAACCCCAACCTTCTCCTCATGACCTCGCCAAACCGCCCTAACAAGACCTTATCATCCGCGGGCGTCTTCAGCACAGCCCCACCCAGGAACTGACGCGCCCGCTCGCGCAGCGCCTCGTCTGAGGGGAAGGCGGCCGCGCCCCCGCCCCCGGCCAGCACGGCGCCGGTGACAAAGTCGGCGAGGGCGTTCTCCAGCTCGCGCGAGCAGAATACAGAGGCCGGCGGGTCGTGGCGCGTGGGATCGCCGAGCCCGCGCACGAAGCGGTTGGCGGTGGCGCCGGCGGCGGGGATGGGCTTGCCGCCTTCGCGGATGGTGATGTTTACTAAGCCTGATGGGGTGGAGTTGGTGGTAGTTGTGGTGGTGGTGGTGGTGGAAGTGGTGGTGGCGATGGTGGGGAAGGGGGTGAGTTGGTTGGCTGTAGCTGAGCGAGGGCAGAGATAGGGCGGGGAGAAGCCCGATCCGCCCTGGGCCATGTTCCAGGCGAGGGTGTTGGGGAGGCCTGGAAGGGTGGGGTCGGTGAGGAGACCGGCGTCGCGCTTGAAGCGGCGGAGCCATTCGAAATTGTCGGCCGCAGTTTGGTTCCAGGGATCGTCGCTGCGTGGTTGTTAGTGGTGAGGGGAGAAGGGAAAAGGGGGTGGGAGAAAGTCTGCTTACTCTTCGTAGACGATCCATCGAGCTTGGTGTTGGAGTTCCTCGTCGCTGGGGACGTGGCAGTTGGGGTTGTTGGGCGACATGGTCGACGCGATCCATTTCTTGAGCTCGCGTGCCAGGCGCTGGTAGCAGTTGGCGTCGTTGAGGTAGAAGGTGCGGCTAGCAGGCTTGTGGATGGGTTTGTGAGATGCGCCGCTACCACTGCCGCTACGGCTACCACTGCCACTAGAAAAAGGGGACGGGGTGCGTAAACCGGAGGAACCCCCTTGAGCAACGGACGGCCACCACAACTCTGCCGTCGTAGCAATGGGTAGCGGGGCATTGCCCAACAGGTCACCGGCGGTGGAACCAGCCACGTGCCGCTGCTTGAAGGCTGCCAGCCAGATTGGATCGTCGGCGGCAGTCTGGTTCCAGGCGTCGTCCAACTCGTAAATGATCATACGAGCCTGCTTTTGCAAGTCGGCATCGGTGGGTTCCACACCAAGCGTCCTCTGCACGCGTACGTACTCGGCGAGCTCAGACTCGAGCCGACTGAAGTTGTGGACCGTCGAGTCAATAGTGGACGGGTCCTTGGATCGCTTTCCTGGGTCGGCGAGGTCTTCAGACCGCGGCAGATGAGCCCGCTGCCGAAAATCGGCCAGCCATTCAGTCGAGCTCGAGGCTAGGCGAAGCAAGAGTTGGACAACGTGGTTGGATGATTCGCGGGAATTATCATCCATGTGGCGGATGATTTTGCAGGCTTCAGCCTGCAGCTCACTATCCATGGCGGTCAAGCCCAGCAGACGCCTCGCCTTGACGTAGTCGTGGAGCTCGGCCTCCATTGGATCAAGCTCGAAAATGTTGGTCTTGCCGTTGATTCTGAGCTGCTGCCAGCAGTCGATCCCCTTGACCCTGGTCCACCTCGCCTCTTGTGCCAGGCGATCAGACGAGAATATCAAATCCCGCAGCCATGAGACTTTGGGGCTTTCGGTGGCGCCTGGAACATCTTCTGCGTCGTATATCAGAGTGCACGCAGCGCGCTGCAGTTCCTCATCCGAGGGAGGCTTGCCCTCCCTCTCACACCAGTCATCAACGTAGAATGCCAATTCTGATTTGATGAGCTCGAAGGCATGTCGTGCCGAAGCTGTCGAGGGTTGTGATGCTTCGTAAGGATTTGGCGAGTTTCTTTCGTCGTGAATGAGATCTTCTACAAGTTAGCCATGGCCAAAATCAAACAAAGAACACGGAGCAAGACATACAGGGAGGAATGGAATTCTCGACCATGTCGAGCACGGGACTGTCGAAACCCCAGCCACCCTTCCAATCCTTCATGGATTTACCCTCCTTGAAGTGGGCGGCGAGGTGGTCGATACGGATGGACCAGGTATCCATGACGGTGCCGCAGAAACCGCAGCGGGATCGGATCTCGGGAGTCGTGGCTTTCCACTGTTCCATGGACCATCCGGTGAAGTTGGTGCCGTGGACCAGCTTCAGGTGCTGGCGTAAGTGGTCCTTGCGATAGAAAGTGCGCTCTCCTATGGTCCGCTCTTGACAGGCCGAGTAGTTGTGGCTGTCGATGTGTGCTTCATCCGGGTTCGGGTCCCCACAGAAGACGCACGACATTTGCCCGTTCTCAGGGTTGAAGGCCTGCGCACCGTTGGGGGAGCACACCCATCGCTCAAGTGACAAATGTAGCGACTTCTCGTGACGCTGCCAGTCGTGCTTGGTTCTGAAAGTTTCGGTGCAGAAAGTACACTGGAAGGTCTTGGCCGGGCCAGTGTGGGTGGTGGTTGTGGCGGCTGGGGCCTTTCTTCTCCTCCGCCTGCGTCCGCGGGGAATCGAGCTTCCGGAGCCAAATGAGCCGCGAGATCCGTAGGAGTAGGCCGACGCACTCGACTGTGAGCGCGATGTGTTGGCACTGCTGATGTTGGAATCGCAGAGCGAGCGGCCAGAGCCGTCGTCAGTGAAGTTTGCGCTGTAGGGGCTGTTGAGACCGGAGGAGACGCTTGAGGCGGAGTTGACGGCGCGAGCAATAGCCGTCACAGACGCGGGTTCGTTCTCGGGGGGAGAGTGTTGCCAACGCTGCAGCGGATTCATGTGCTCGAGCGATCCCGGGGTTCTCCGTCTCTGGGGGATGTCGATGGGGTTCGCCCAACTCCGCACACCGGGCGACGTCGACCTTTGGCTGACGGCGTTCTTGTTCCTGCGTCGGGTGTTGGCGAGCCAGTTTGTGATCTGGGTCTTGCTGAGGCCGGTCTGCTTCTGGAGCATCTCCTTCTCCTCATCATTGGGATAAGGGTGCTTGCTGTGTGTCGACAACCAGTTCTTCAATATCTTGACAGACTCTCTGGAGAAACGGGCGCCAACTTTGTTCTTCGGGCCTTCATTGGGGCAGGCGTTATCGGCACCGGACGTGGATGTGAACCCCGGCATGTCGGTGGCAGAAGACGGAGTGACCTCGCAGTTTTTTCTCCTCCCGGAAGCATCCTAGGGGTGGTTCTCCCCAATAACCGGGCCATGGAGTTGGAAGGGAAAAAGGCACGACAGGCCGAAGCTGCATTTCACAACGGAGGGCGACGCAGCTTGTGCAGTAGCCCTTGTACTGAACCCTCTGGGATGCGCTTGCACTGGTAGCCACCCAACTGGCAGTTGTGGCACGGGGGCTTCGGCCATCTCCAGGTGGTCCTCGAAGGTCCGGGTAGATCTGTCGGTGGGCATGGGGATCTCCTCGCTGAGGTTCATGGTGGGCGAGACATTGTTCTCAAAGTGTTGCAATGCCCAAAACGAGAAGTCATCGCCAGCGACGTTGGCCAGCGCCAGATCAATGTCGTCCAGCTGCTGGCCAGTGGACGGCAGCATGTCGACGCCGGGGATGGGCTCCGGGTCGGCCTGGTCCCAGTTGACAAACGTCCATGTCTCCAAGTATGCTGACAGTAGGGCGCTAGTCGGCCGAAGCGGAGAAGGGCGTGACGGAGTGGCCAACACCGGCTCACCCTATGTCAACCGGGAGGGAAGGAGGAAGTACCTGTCAAACCGGTCAGACCAAGGGCGCACAAAGAGGGACCGGGATACATTACTAATATTCACGCGCGATTCTCCTTATGTGGTGGCTACAGGCTGCTCGGAGTGGTGGCCGGCAACCTGTATATAAAGGAGGCAACGTTGCCTGCTCACTAAGTCCGATGTCCTGTCGTCGTCGGTTGGCTTGAGAGGAATCTAGGAACCGAGAACGATAAGCTAGCTAGCAATGGGATGGTTGTCAAGAACAACGTAAGCAGAGAGACGGCCAGAATTGGAGGGAACAGTTTTTATTTCAGTGACAACCCCCCCAATTCCGGGCATGGACATGTGTTCTTGTTCGCATTGTTGAAAGCCAGTTCCCACCTCCTTCAGCAGGCTTTCCGCCCAGCGAGAGTCATGGGTACGGGAGAGGATTGCCAGGGTTGCAAAAAAAAGGTGGGCTCGCGCCTTTCGATTGACATGAAATGCCAGTGGAGCGAACCAAAGCAAAGACCAGGTTGGCCCCAGAGTGGCCCAGGCCCACAGGCAGCCAAGCCAGTGGCTTGCAGAAGAGGACCCTTGCTCTTGCCCTGTCACCGCCCACGCGGCCCCGCCTGCTACCCCGCCATCGCGGTCTGGGCAAGAGTTCGTGATGCAGCTTTCCGCGTGCAAGTCCACTCAGTATTTCCCCGAATCTCACGACTCCACTATCGAATGCCATGGCTAACCCCGACTGCGTTCCGTCTTTTCAGCCCCAACAGCCGGAATTGCGTAATATGAATACGCCAGTTCGGCTGACCGGCCTGGAGCGAAGTGATAAAGACCAGGCTTGCCGCCGTTTCCCACGTGTCACAGGTCGAGGCGGGGTTCTCGCTGTCTTGGGGTCCTTTTCTCGTCCGATGATAACGAGGCGACATCCGACGGCGGGCCGAACTGGGCAGCCAAATGCTGCATCATGAAACGAATCCGTCTCCCCTTCCACCTCCGTTCCCTCTCGGTCTTGTTGGCAATGCCGAGGGCACCAGGAGCAGCAACCGAAGATAGATACCCAAACTTGAACTGAGCAAGTTCTTCCTCCCGATGTCGGAACAACAAATGACACCTACCTATATATCACACGACGCTCAATTCCCTTTCCGATCACCATTGTCCGTGGCAGGGCTGGGACGGGAAAAGGTGTTCGGTGCAGTTGCTCGTCGAGGCTCAATTCTGCCGCCACTCAGCTTACTCGGCACTCGAGTTACACCGATTGATGATGGTCGCGTGTGGGGGGTGGTCAAAGTGTATTTTCCAGGAACGGCAGGTCGCGAGTCGGCCCTGGCTCCGGGTCCGGAGCATGTCCGGGGCGGAACCGAAGTCGGCTAGCATCGAATCCGCTGTTTTTAGGACTATCGATTGCCGAACCCCGTCTGGTCGGTTATGCAGTTGGAAGATGGTGGCTCTTGGTGTTGGGGAAAGAGAGCAAGTTTGACGTCGCTTGTTTAGTGATCGGGCAAACGCAGGGGGTTTTGGTAACTTTGCTCAGGAGCTCGCGTAAGAGTGCCAAGCAGTCCAACTCCTCCCCGGGGAGAGTTGCAAAAGTTGAGGAGCAACTTCCTAGGTTTTGCAACAGGAGCTCAACAGTAAGTTTACGTATTGTAAATCTCGGGCCGAGGCCAATTGAACGGTCTAGGGAGCAACTCGCCACCCAGGTGGTTCTAATAGCATCGCATCATATTCTCGGTCTGGAGCCAAGATCGGATAACTAGCGCCCGGTAAGTCGCTTACTCAGTCCCAACAGGCACCAAGAAATGCGCACAGTGCGTGATGCCTGCAAAGCCAACAACACCATGATGATATCTTAAACTGAAAATAAATTAAAATATTCCGTTTTCCCCCATTCCCAAATCCCTCAAAGTTCATATCGGCATCAAAATGCAAAAATAACAAAAGTCAGCCAATGCCCCAAGCTCCTTCGCTCGAAACAAGAATAAACCGCAGAGTCAAACCAGACAGCCAAAAACCAACCAGCCGTCGCCATTTAATGGCATTCCTCGCTGCCGATAGGTAGCCAACCCAAAATGGATTTGCGATCTTCCTCGCGATCCATCGGGTAGGTAGGTCCTCCCTCCAACCCCCAGCCTCGATCCTCCATCAACCTCAATCCCCCTCACACCCCCGGCGTAAAAATCGCCGCATGACAATCCACCCCAATCTCGGGCACATTCAGCCCCGTCTCATTCTGCGGGCCCCCCTTCAGATAACAATTCCCGGGGGCACCCCCGCGCTCGGCCGTCAGCTTGTTGGTCCAGGCGGGGATGAAGGAGACGGCCTGGCAGATGGCGTCAACGTCGGCGCTGGTATTTCCGCCATCGCTGCTGTACGTCGCCGGCACATACTTGGTGTAGGCGGCGCACGCGTCCATGCACGTGCCGAAGTTGGCCGTGAAGAGGGAGAGGAGGGGCGGGTTGGGCGCGTCTTTGTTGCAGTAGCGCGTGAATTTGAGCGCGCCCGAGGACTGGTTGTTGGGGGTTATGATGAGGGAGGGGAGGGGGTGGTATGGTGCGAGGGGGGGTTTGGCGTACCGGAGAAGGAAGGTGTATAACGTCTTTTCGACGCTGTCGAGGTCGCTTGAGCAGCCGTCGTCCATGACCGCCTGCGGCGGTGGCTCCGCGCCCGGTCGCGCTGGCTGTGGCGGATGCTGCTGACGCTACTGAGAGCGCTGAGGGCGTCTAGGCTGGACGAGGCCGCTGCTTCCGCGCGCTGCGCTTCGATGCCTGTCGCTGCGGCCAGACCGATCACGGCGGCCGAGAGGATGGCGATGATGCACGAGAGGATGAAGACGAGGAGGCTGCAGCCGAATATTGTCCTGCCGGTTCGGGACGGGGGCTCGGGCTGGGCTGCTGCGGGCTGCGCGGCCGCGCTGAAGGGTGATGCGACGGTCTGGCCGCCGTACGACGACGGCGGAGCCGGGACCGCGGGGTGTTCTATCTTAGGCGCCGGCACCGTCGGGGGATCGTAGGGCTGTGAGTAGTATGGCTGCGGTTGTTGGTAGTGGTGGCCGTATCCGTGCGACACGTGCGTGACTTCCGGGTAGTCTTGCCGAGCCGGCTCCAGGCCCGCATGGAACTGCCCAAGCAACGGTCAGCATTGGTGGACCCTCCGAGTGGATGCCGGGACGGCCAGGACCGTCCTGGTGGTCTTACCCCCGAGGCCATCTTGTGAGGCCCTTACGAAAATGTCGCTGGCATGAGCGGAGAGTTGGGACAGTGGTGGAAGAGATGGTGAGTTAGGAAAACGCGGGCGGAGGTGACGGAGAAAGGTTAGGAGTGTGTGGCACAGGTTCGAGATTTACGGCCCATGCTCCCTCATTTTGGGTCGGAAACTTGAGACCGTGTCACCCTGAGACAGGGGTTCATTAGCACGACCCAGCCAATGGCCGAATGCTACAGTCAGCCGCAGTGCTCGCGAGAAGGTTTTAACTCCGAGCGCGGCATGGTGGCACCAAAGTTCCTTCGTCTTTTCTTCGTCAATGTAAGTTACACTAAATTCTATGTGCTCTGTAGGGTAAGTTTTGATGATGAATGGTTCTGTTGATGGGGGGCTACAACTTGGTGTTGACATCAAGGATCGCCATCCGAAAGGCACGGATTATTAATTGAAGGATGGGGCAGCGCCAGCGATGAGCCTCACTCCTGGAGTGAGCGGCCACCTATTTTAAGGTAGCTTTAATAAAACATTATCAATGAAAATAATCATTAGAAAACAAACAATCGCTGTTCCAGAACTTATAAGCGGTGATGATATGAATGAGGATCGAACGTTGTGCAGCTCCCCCCTGAACCCTTTTCCTCTAGCATAGTTAGTCTCCAGGTCTAAATCCAATTTCAAACGCAACCCTCAAAGTTGTATCCCGGTTTCTTACTCTCTAATAAGTACTGGTCCTTCGATCCTGCGAGGATAATCAAGAGGACTGTGATCCCTGGATCGGAGCTTTATATAAGCCCCGCTCTGAAGATCAAACATTAAGAGCAGGAGGTCTAATCCGTGGCGGAACTGTATTGTGTCAAATATTGACGACGCAATAGAATACTAGACAAGGATGTGCTCATGATCTTAAAGTATTAGGCACATCCAACACTCGAGCACCCAACAACAATTCCCATACCCAACACACAACCACCTATCTTAAACGCAAGTAGCTTAACTAGGGGCCCAAGTACCAACCTGAAGATAGCCAGTCCTCCTTTCACCCTCCCCAACAACCACCACCCCAACCACACATAGACAGCCCTCCCAACCCAACCCCCTTAAAGTCACCCCCCGACTGGCACAATATTCTTGCAGCTGGGCGCCGAACGCGCACGTGCCGTACTGAGCCAGGGTGTGGTGCGCCGTGTCCCACAGCGTCCACGAGCCGTCGCCCGCGATGTTGTTCGTGCAGCTACCAGCAGTCGGAGACCAGGTGGTGAGCCGCCACGGGATTGGTTGGATGAAGGTTGAGTCGTCGCAGTCGATTGATGGCGCGCGCGGCGAGCTTGGGGGTGATGGTGGGGATGTTGAGGGCTTGGAATGGGGTTGTGTTGGTAGCGTTTGATTTTGGAGGACTGAGGTCGATGTCTGGCTGGTGATCTACAGAGATCAGATCGTTGTAGGCCGACGTTGGTGCCCTCGTTATATTGGAAGTCTCTTCTCACCTCTCGGCTGAACGCTTCCAGACCCCTTGGAACTTTTGTGCTACGATATTGAATCTTTTGAAATGTCTGCAATGGGATGGAACGGGCCAAAGACTGAATGATTAGGGGTTGAATCAAGTGTCAACGAATTACAGCACCACAGAAGCTTCGGAGGTTGCCCCGTTTCGTTTGTGGCGGCAGGGAGACCAAGGACTACATAGTATCGAGGCGTACGTAGGTAGAGGTCTTATGTCTTTTGTAGCCTGCAGTCACGGAGTCGGAAGTTCGTTTGTAACTTGACAATCACTGTAGATAGTTAGAGGTCGGCGGCTCCAAAACACCGTCACCCGCGTCTACTCATTATGCCAAAGTACCTAGGGTGCTGTCGCTGATCACGGTTATTCGGTGACAGGCCACAGCCTCACAGGTGGTGGACGCAGCTTTGCGCCTTGCTCCCGCGTTCTTCTCCTCGTCCGTAGCAGCCTTCAGACCCTACTATCTAACTATAGCAACGAGCCCTAGTCGGTGATAAGCAAGATGGTCTTGAGCGAGAATCTCCGGCCGCAGTAGTTAAGCCGATCCTCGAGCAACGGGCCGAGGGTGTTAATAGCTTCATCGTGAGATGGCAGGCGATGCTACGAAGTGAAGGAGGCCCGCCGTCGCATAGAAGTTAGCCTGCTGGAAACGCGGGCAATGACGGGAAGCGCTCCTACGGCCCCACCTCGTTGCGTGCAGCCAGGCGCTCGGCACCGAGCCATCGAGCGGATCCAATCCCCCGCACCGTCGTTATCCCTGCAAGCCGCTAGCTAGGTAGTGGCGAGGTACCTAGGTGAATCTCTTCAAAACGGACTTCACGAAAACCAAGCCACAACTCGCAATCGTAACCATGTCGAAAAGCAAAAACAAGAAGAGAAAACAAAATGACTTGGCCAGCAACCTGCCAAACAAGCAATTCAAAACGACCAACAAGCCGATTACGCCGCCGCTCGAAGGCGACCACGGCAGCGATGACGGCGTCAAACCAAACGGTGGCGAACCCATGAGTGTGCACGCCGTCGTCTCACCAGAGGAGCTGGAAATCGCGACTGAGACGCTCGCCGAGCTCGCAAAACATCCCGCCTTGCTCAAATCCCGAGCCTGCAAAGACCTCCGCGTCGCCGTCTGGGATTTCCGCCAAGCATGTCCGACCGGCCTCAACAGCACCGGAGCCACTTCTAACTTGACCGGCCGCATCACCGCCGCTCTCGCCGATGGAAAATTCACCGACGCCAAGGTCCTCCTCGCTGAGATGAGAATCCGCGGCGATTCGCCCAAGCTCGGCGCCCTCTGCCGCTGGGTGCGCGACCTCGACGTCATCAGCGGCGTCTCCACGGGCACCCTCCAGGGCGAAACCCCCACTGGGCGCACCGCCCGCGACAAGGAACTTATCAGCGTCCTCGACGGCGTCCTCCGCGTCTGCGGTGTCATCGATGCTAACCTTTCCGCCCACTTCGACCCCTCCTCCACGCCCATCTGCGTCCAGGAAACCTGGGATCTCCACTCCCTGTCCTCCGCCCCGACCCTCCAAACCCATGCCTCCGTCCTTGACGGCTCCATCTTCCTCTCTGCCCCGCCTAACCTCCGCGAGTCTCTTCGCGTCATAGAAACCACCCCCGGGCCCCTCCGCAAGCCCCCCAACCACCACGACGCCATCCTCTACACCACCAAGCCCGGCGGCGTTCCCCTGTCATCCGTCTCCCCAGCCATAACTTACCACCACCACCCCGTCGTCCCCAACCTCTCTCTCGCCACGGGCGTTCTCTCCCCCGCCGAATGCCAAGCCATCATCGCCGCCGGCGAGACCGCCACGTTCCTCCCGGACGCGCCCCTCCGCGAGGACGGCGACGTCTCCGTCCTCGCGCACAACTTCTACTGGGTCGTCGACCAGCCCTTCCACGACACCCTCTGGTCGCGCATCTCCCCCTTCGTACCCCGCACCGTAGACGGTCGCATGGTACGTGGCCTGAACCGTCGCTTTCGCGTCTATCGCTACGTTCCCGGCGCCGAGTACCGTGCGCATATCGACGGCGCTTGGCCGCCGAGTGGTATCCTGCCGGATGATACGTATGTGTATGATGCGTCGCCCGAGGGCCGGAAGCAGAGCAGTTTGTTCACGGTTTTGATCTATCTGAATGATGAGTTTGAGGGCGGCGAGACGACGTTTTTCTTGCCGAGCGCGAGGGATGGGGTGTTGAATGCGTATCCGGTGCGGCCGGTCATGGGCGGGGTGGCCGTTTTTCCGCATGGGGATACGAGGGGGGCGCTGTTGCATGAGGGGACGGGCGTGAGGAAGGGGGCAAAATATGTGATTAGGACCGAGGTGGAGTATGATGTTGAGGCGACGGTGGGAGTGGTGGGGGAGTAGAGGGGAAGGGAAGGCGATGGATAAGATAAAAAAAAGTTTTGAATTTTGTTGTTTTGCATACCTATATGAAAGAGTTGCATGGGAAACACAGGATGAGCGAGAACGGAAACAAAACGAGAACGGAAACAAAACCAGGACAGAAATACAACCATCGGAGTGACCACCCTGCGAAGCTTCTCCAAATGAAGCTTCACTTTTCCCGTTCCGTTTCGATCTCCACGTCATCCTCACACCGAGCCTTTCGCCTCTAATCTCCCGGGCACTGTCCACACCGAACAGCATCCCAAACCACGACACACGTTGTCTGTATGGAATAGCGGGGCCCATCTTTCACCATCATCGCATCACTTGACAGTAAGGGTATCATTCTCATTACCATGGTTCCATGGGCCACTATTAGTCCAAATATAGATAACTTCAATCATCACCACGTGGGCGGCGACAGCAAGTCGGCGTGCCTGTCCGTGTGTGGCCACCGCCGCGGCGGGCCATGAGGGGCCACTAATCCAGCCGAAGTTGCGGCCGTCGTGTTATTTCTTGCCCGCGATCTCAATCTCATTCCCCGGACCGTCGTCGTCACGATTCGCCACGGTAATGGAGACCTCGCGCGGGGCGCGCGGCCGGTACTCCTCCACCCCCCTGATGGCCGCCTTCCCCAGCCCGCGGACCTCGGCCAGGGCCCGCTTCTCCACATCGTCCACGGCGTGATCCACGGCGCTGCGCGCGGCGTCACGGCTGTCCTCAGTCGTCTTCTCCATCTGCTTCGACATCCTGGCGAGCGTGTCCTCCAGGCTCCGCAGCTTGACCGCCACGTCGTCCGACTTCTCCTGGATGCCCCCGGCGGCGGAGGTGGCGTGGCCCGTCAGCTTCCGCAGCTTGTCGTCGAACCCGCGCAGCTTGCCGGCGATGGCGTCGGCCTTGGTCCGGTCGACGCCGATGTCGTACCGCCCCGGAGCGGCGGCGGAGCTCTTGGCGTTGTAGGCCTCCGGGTTGTTGATCTCGACATCGCGCTTGGTCGTCTCGTACATGTCGCGCACGGCGTCGATCTCCTCGTGGACGTCCAGCGGGCAGCTCTCGAGCGAGAAGTCGCGCTCGCGGTGCTCGACAAACTCGCGCACCTTCTTCCACTCGTCGGCGCAGTACTTGAAGCGGGCCGGGTAGCCGGAGCCCTTGAGGTAGGTGAGGAAGCCGGCGATGACGGTGTTGATGGCCCCGAAGGCGGTGATGGCCCTGTTGTTGGCGCTGGCGGCGCCCATGGCGGTCAGCGACGCGGCGACGATGATCTGCAGGAAGTAGCACGCGTTGATGACGAGCGAGAAGATCTTGTAGTTGCTCTTTGCCGTCTGCTCGTTGTGCACGACGCGGGCGTAGAGACCGACGTTGTCGGCTGGGCGATGGGCGGACAGGCTGAACCCCAGATGCGGTGCTGCTGTGATGCCCAGCGTTAGCCGGAAGAGCGCCAGGGCATCGTCGGCGGGGATGCGGTTGCCCGTGTGGATATGGCTCGGCGGCAACGTCGATGATCCAAAAACAGACTCGGCTGTTGTTGTTGCTGCCTGTTCTTCGTCCGGGCGAGCCTTGGTCGGGCGCCCGCTCGAAAACAGGCCAAGGACAGACCGCACAAAAGACGCCATGTTGTGGAATCCTTGAGAGAAGGTGAAATGGCCGCCAAGGGTAGAATAGAAGGCGCGGACCAAGTGGGTGCTCCCGGCTTTTCAGCGATCTCCCCATGCAGTTTGCCCGCCGCGGCGATGTCGCACATCACGGGCTGCATTCTTCCCGAACGCAATCCCCCACTCCCATCATGTCGGCATCCCTAACCCGGGTAGATCGACGGCAGGCCAGTGGCTGCTAGCTTGATACCAGGGACTGTCCGGGCCGCCATTCGCGATTGAAAATCTATGTGGTTAGGCTCATTGGATACTGGCGAGACTGTCAGGTAACCTTTGGCGACGATCAATTTCCTGTGGGGGATGTTCAGCTCAGACTCTGATCGCTGCGATTACGGGATTCGGTTAGTGGGAAGGACTGGCCCGCTCCAAGGCCTTGTCGGGTTGCAGCAAGCTTGCAGCACTGACCGCAGATTCCCAAAGGAAGAAAAAGTTCAACAACGTGGGTGGGGGGAGGGGGTTGCTTGTGGAGGGCGGGTTCAGGAACCCTGGACACCTTTTCCCCCAACCCATTCAAGAGATGCGCTGGAGTGCCCGTGTGTTAGGTACCTCGAGGATGCATCCAGAAACATGTCATCTGAGGTCGAAACACGCCGCGCGAGATGCCCGAGTTAGGGCTGACTTGGCGTGAGCCTAGACCAGCCGACTTCTGGAGTGGATGCAGCGATGCAGGGATGGAGCTCTTGGCTATCGGGTTTTGTTACAAGACGCAAGCCACCTGCATGTATGTAAATTAATTCCCACATTTTGGGCAACAATCGCAGGAAGCTCGAAGCTGCGACCCCCAAACTGGTTCCCGGGCGGGCCGGCACTGCTAAATCGATTACACAGTATACGCTCCTCCCGCTTCCCCACAGAAGCGGCAGAACACGGCGGGAACCCCGCAACACAGTGAACCCTTGTCGATCTGACCGCCGCTATCCGATTGTTAGATTGACATCCTAGTTTCTCGTTTCCTTTCCATGACACCAGAAGAAGAAAGTGAAGAACGTGAAGAACAAGAAGCGAGAGGAGCGGTCTGATCACTGCGGCACAAACCCCGGCTTTCTGTTTGAGAAACAACCCGGAAGGCAGTTGCACTTTCGCGGTTACACGAGGAAACCGTGCTCTGATTTTGGCTCGGCGTCGTATGCAGCCCCTTCCCCTGCTTGACAGCTGCGACAATCCACGTTTTGACATCTGTGGTCGCGCCCAGATGCGGTGCAAATGCGCTTAACGAACTGAATCTGGTTCGGCAATAGCGACATAGGCTAGGCAGAGCTCTGCGCATTAAGGCCCACCATCGCGCCGTTCCGACCGTGTCTCCCCTGTTCCTCCCTGGACCTTCACGAGCATCGTCAGGAAGAGTATTTGTCATGGATAGGAAGACTTGGACTTGACATTATTTGCCCCTGGAAAACACACCTGAGACCGAGATTCGCCATGCCGACATACCTCTGCCACGGTTTCCGCTGGCAGCGGCGGAGTGTGCGGGTGTATGTGATATTGCAGAATCTCGACGACGCATCCCCCGAGTGGATAATCCCCGCCAAAAGCTCACAATGCATCCTCAAGTCCTTCTATGAGGTCTTCGAGTTCCTCCCCTACTGCAGCCCTAAAAGGGGCCGCTACACTCCCACGCGGGAACTTGATAGTGGCGACGACAACGACCACAGCCGTGTTCCCAATTCCTCCAATGGCTCAGCCAAAGCCCGCAGTCAGAGCCGCGGCCGTGATCGCTCTCAAAGTCAGAGCACACATCAAAGCCGCAGCCAGAGCCGTGCAAACCATCAACAACCATTACGATCCCTTCCCGCGACTACCGACGACTCCAGCAGCGCTTCCATCTCGGCCGAAGACGACTTCAGCGCTCAGTCCTGGTCTGCCATCAAGCTCCTCGAGGAGTACGATCCAAACGACTTGACTGCCGTCTCACGGCCCTACGCCTACGTGGCCGACTATGCCGTGCGCATCGACTTGTCCTGTTCCATAATCGACGAGATCGCAAAGTACGAACAGAAGCAGCTTCAGAGCGCCCACCCTGCCGTGTCCATCCCATCCGGGGAGTCTCCGTCCGGGGGCCAAGGATGGTTCGAGGACCTTCGCGATCAACTACAACACGGCGAGGAATTACGTTGGTATGTAGTCGTCAATAATGACGAAGTTCGCGATTGGGCGGACGAGGGATCTGAAAGTGCAACTTCCTCCGGGCCACCGGAGCGTGGATACCAGCATCAGCCGGACCAAACATACCAGCATCCATCTCAACAAGACTCCTCTCATCCTTCCGAATTTCAATCCCAACATCAACCTCCAGACCGCCCGATACCGTCACGAGAGCAGAGGCAGCACCATGCGCAGTATATCCACCAGCAACATATTTTTGAGGGCAGCGATCGGGAAAAGGGCCAAGTGCAGGAGAAAGTGCCAATGGAACGGGTCAGCCAGGAGGGGAAACGCGGGCGACAGCAGCAGAAGCAGCAACAACAATTAGTGTTCGGAGAAAGCGACCAACAACGAAAACAAGACGAAGAGAAGCGACAACAGCAGTTGCTTTTCCAGAAACGAGAGCAGCAACGGAAACAAGATGAGGAAAGGCGGCTGCAAGAGTTGGAACAGAGCCAGCGGCAACTGGAACGAGAACGGGAGGAAGAACAGCAGAGGCTAGCTTGGAGAGAAATGGAGCTCAAAAAGGCACGCCAACGGGAGCGAGAGCGGCAGCGGCAGAGGGAGAGGGAGAAAGAGCTGGAGCGGGAACGGGAACGGGAAAGGGAAAGGGAGCGTAAGAAGGAACAGGAGAAGAACCGGCCGCGAGACCACATCCCACCACAGACGAACGGGATAGACACCAATGGAGAACCACCAAGGGTACCGGAGAAAGATTTCTTCTTCCCCCGGCCCCCGACCGCAAAATCGAATGCAAATACCAATACCACAAGTACACCACCACCACCACCACCACCACTCCGACCGAAAATATCCCTCGATTTCGGGAGACCAAAAACCCCGGGAGGGAAAGGCGGCGGGTTGAGGAGGCTATTCTCAAGGACGAAAGTGCCAATAGACGGGCGCTTTTCGCCTTGACGGATGGGGGAGGGGGGCATCTCTCTCGTCCGAAATCCTTCTCAACCGAGATCGGCGGTCAACAGACGCCATGGACCAGTTGTAGCACCGCATTTGGGCGGCGGCCATTGATACCCCATCAACCGCAAGGAATATTTTTAACGCACCATTGTTCCCATTCGCTATGAGTGATTTCTGTGCCAGACAGTACTACCAACATGAATCCCGTGTCATCATCCCTCATTGGCAAGCAAGCAAAACTCACCGATTCCCAGAAGTTGTCATGTACCGTCCCGAACAGCGAAAAAAGCAAGAGACGCCGGCCATCCATAAAATCCCCTTCCTTCTCCGGCCATGCCAAAATGCATCTAGATAACAAAACACAAACAAGACAAGACGCCAAACCCACCAGCCAAGCCAGCCCAAGCAGTTCGCCGATATGCAGCGCCCAAACCCTCCGTCCCCCTCTGGAAAGCCAACCCAGCGCCCTTTGCGAAAGAACAACAAAACGAAAAAAGCTGATCGACCGAGCCGGTTAATCATGGGTATCATGATGCACCACAACCTGTCCCGCCCCTTCCCTTCCCTTCCGTCCCGTCCCATCCGTTTGCCCATAACCCCCCTCCAGCATCCATCCCCAACCTGCCCTGCCTCCTCTCAACCGGCGACGCGGCTCCTGTCATGATACCGGCGACCGGATACCACTAACCCGCCATCCAAGGCAAGCAGTCAGCGGGCCAGGCCAGTACGTGAATAAAAAAAATCAGCAGCAACCCCTCCGGCCCCTGCCCCTGGGATCACCATTCCGCGCCCACTCGGCCTCCTCCTCTGCCGTCCCACCAATAACGGGCGAAAACCCCGGCGAGAACAACCAACTGCGGCGATCCCTCCCAACCCGAAACCCCGCCCTCGGATTCCCATCAAAATACCCCCCACCACCACCGCCCCCACCACTCCCATACCCATCTTCCCCACCCCACCCCGAGCCATACTCCCCCCCGCCACCACCACCGCCATGAAAGCCATCCCCGTTCCCAGCCATCGCCCCCGTGGCCGCCAGCGCCGCGGCCTGCATCTTGCGGTTCTGCTCCACCAGCTTGCGCGTCACCACGCGAAACACCTCCTCCACCCCCTCCCCGGACTCGGCCGAGATCTCGTGGCACGCGTCCCACCCGACCTCCTGGCCCCAGAATCCGGACGAACCGCTTGCTGCTCGGGCTGCGCGGCTCACAGCCACCGCCGCCGCCACCACCACCACCACCGCTGGTAGGGCCAGGGCCAGGGGTGGGGGTTGGCGTGTTGGTCATGCTGATGCTCTGAGAGAGCCAGCCGCCGGCGCTGGCGGACGGTTGGGGTTGCGGGGTGGTGTCGGACGAAAACGACGGCCCGCCGGCGGTGGGGGGCGGGGTGGAGCCCATGCCCGGATTGAGGTTCTCGGCGACGTAGGCGATGCAGCGCTCGAAGGGCACCTCGCGGCGGGACGGGTCGCGCGCGACCAGGTCGGCCTTGGTGCCCACGACGTGCAGCACGATGTCGGGCGGCAGGTTGCGCCGCAGCTCTGTTAGCCACACGCCCATCTCGGCGAAGGAGGCCGCGTCCGTGATGGAGTAGCAGAGGATGCAGGCGTTGGCGCCTCGGTAGTAGAGCCGTGAGATGGAGCGGAAGCGTTCTTGGCCGGCTGTTTTGGAGGGGGCGGGGATACGGGTTAGGTTAACTGGGCGGGTGAGGATTGGGGGGTGGTGGGAAGGTGGTGGGAATGTGATGGGAAGGTAAGTGGTAAGAGAAGGGGGAAAGGAATACAAGTTGGGTGGGGGGGTGGCTCGGTATCGCGGGGTAAAGGAGGGAGAGGAAAATGAACTCACCAGTGTCCCAGATTTGCAGGCGCACAACCGTGTCGGTATCCGTGTCAACAACACGCTTGGTCAGGAAACTAGCACCGACGGTCGACGTGATTTGAGACGGTGTAAATGCGCCTTTGCAATATCGCATCACCAGCGACGTCTTACCGACCCCCTGGGAGCCGAGCACCACGATTTTGGCCTCTAGTGACGACGACATGGTGTGGGTTTGTCTTTGTAATCGATAGCGACAACCTACGATGTCGATCGGTTGGTTGCGACAGCGACAACAACAACAGCCCGCATGCGGTCGATGCGATGCAATGTGCGCGCGCACAAATGCATGCGTGAATAGGTCAAATAACCCTGCGCACGTGGATACTCTTGTGGTTGGTTGTTTGTGTAATTAACGTTTGGTTGGTGTTCGGGTTTGTTGTTGCACTCGACGTTGCACGCACCAAAGTTCAAGATGGTTTCACCTCCGAGGCTGTGCGCGGGGATCTGGATCGCTATCAAGATGACAGGCATGCAGCTGCCACAGTGATTTGATTCGGTGGCCCGTGACCTGATATGGGACGTTTCTGTGGGCCGAACCTGACGTCACCGGCTGTATGAAGCAGAAAACAGGGGGCCGAAGGCCGAGGAAAAGCGAGTTTCCCCTGATCTGAAGTGAAGTGTATACTAACTAACTAGTTTCAGAGTTGACCTTGCACTTCAGCTGAGTAAGAGAGTCATCTCCTGCCATTGAGTCCCGAAATATTTAGGTTGGGGGGTTGCCCTTTGTACCGAGTTCTTGCATACCAATGCGGCATTGTGTAGTCTTGAAAGAAGCAGCCCATGTTTGTACATACAAACGCCAGGTCACAAGGTCGACTAAGCCCCCCTGATATTCTCTTTTGGAAGTGGAAGGCTGGCGCCAACAATGCCACCCCAACACGTCGCCTCTAAAAGCTGAGCTATCAGGTTCCTGGGTATGAGGAGTAACTAAGTTTGTAGAAATGACAATGAACCCCCTCTATCCAACAGGGTTTATCCAACAAGAATGGGACGTTTTGCATCACTTTCTATACACATGCCCCAAAACCAGCCCCTACATCTATCTACAACTTCGCCTTCTCGGGCTTCTCCCCCGTCACAGCCAGCCTCTGCGACGGATTAACTAGCGGGTCATAGACAGCATGAGCGAGCGAGTCCGAGGGCGGCGAGGCGTGGTTAAACAAGCTCCTCGCATCCACCATGCCGGGGTTCAGCTCGGCGATAGTCCGCGCGCCGATCAGGCGCATGCCCATCTCCATCTCGTCCTTGAGCAGCTGCATGGCGCGGTCGACGCCGTCCTGGCCGTAGGCCGACATGGCGTATAGGAAGGGGCGGCCGATACCAACGCCCTTGGCGCCGAGGCAGAGCGCCTTGAGAATGTCGGTGGCGCGCCGCACGCCGCCGTCGACATAGATCTCGATCTTGTTCTCCAGTCCCAGCTCGCGCAGCACGGGCATCGTCTCGGCGAGCACCTCGATGGCGGAGCGCGCAAACTCGAGCTGCCGCCCCCCGTGGTTGGACAGCACCACCCCCTGAACGCCGGCCTCGGCGGCCTTGACGACATCCTCGACGCGCTGCACGCCCTTGAGCACGATGGGCATCTTGGTGATGGAGCGGAACCAGGGGATGTCGGCCCAGCTCAATGACGGGTCGATGAAACTGCTGATGGCGCGGGCGGCGCCCTGGCTGTTGTCGGTGGCTTGCCCGTTTTGCACGTTGCTGCCCTCGTCGGTGAACTTCATGCGCATGTCCTTCTCGCGGCGGCCGAGCTGCGGCGCGTCGACCGTGATAAACAGGCCCTTGCAGCCGCGCTTCTCGGCGTGCTGCACGATGCGCTGCGTGATGGCCCGGTCCTTGTTGACGTAGAGCTGGAGCCACTGGACCTGATCGGGAGCGGCGGCATCGACGATGTCGTCAAACGAGCACGAGGCGAGGGTCGGGATCATCTGGACCACGTTGTGCTTGTGCGCGGACCGCGTGAGGACCACCTCGCCCTCGACGTGGCCGAGCTTGCCGAGGGCGGTGGCGGTCACGTAGAAGGGGATGGAGCAGGGGGTGCCGAGCATGGTGGTAGAAAAGTCGACTTTTTCGACGTCGATCAGTATGCGCGGGCGGAACCAGATGCGGTGGAAGGCTGAGTGGTTTTCGCGGAGCGTCTGAGTTTGGGTTAGTATGAGTACACGGTGTGTGTAGTGTGTGAGTGAAGCTGACTCACAATCTCGTCGTCGGCTGCGCTGGAATAGTACCCCCACGCTGTCTTCTTCATCACTCTCCGCGCGACGGCTTCGAAGTCGAGTAGGTTGTAGCACTGCTCGAGGAGGGGCATCTCCTGGATGCGCTTCATTCGTTCTTGTTCCTCTGGCGATTCCTCATGCTTCTCCTTAACCACCGTCGACATGTCTACCGGGCCGAGGTGTTTGGACTTAGGCAGGTACTTTTCCAGGGTGTCAGGGGGGTGTATCGGGTCGAATTCTTCGGTCGCATCTTTGCCCTGTGGGGGTCAGCAACAATAAAAGCTAACATATCATCTGTTGCTTAGGGTTACGGGGTGTCTCACCGCATATTTGAGGATGATCTTCGTTCCCCCCGGGTGTTCTATGACTGTAAGCCTCTGTCGTGATTTATGAGACGTATGAATCGCGTACCAGGTAGGAATTCTGTGACATCGTATGCCCTCCCCTAGAATGGGCTGTCAGTGGTGATCTATCAAAAAGGGGAAAATGCGGCTTACATGTACAATGACCCAGCAGTCATCCGACTTGTTGTGTTTGGCAACCTCGACGCCTGTTAATTGCGCCATCGTGAACGGTCTCCGAAGCCGGGCTGTGCCGAAGATATTGGGATAAATTCGATGTCAAGAATGACAAAAAGTTACAAGATGACGCAGCAAGTGGCGTGAACGGTGTGTGCGTGCAGGGAGATTTCTCCAATGGCTTCAAAATTAAAGTGAATGTAGCTTATAGGTATGGATACAGTGATATTAATGTGAGGGAATACAAATGCCGAGGAGAAGAGAACCCGGTCGTTTCATCAGGGTGGCTGGCGCGAGACGGATTGAGAGCGAAAGAACGAAGTCGGGAACTGATTGATGAATACACAATCCGTCTCGGGAATATCCCGAACGCATTTGCCAATCCGTCCTGCATGTGTGGCCAGTTCGGCCAAGACTGCGGGGAGTGTGGAGAGCTCCCGACCCCACAGTACCGAGGGACCCGTTGGTCCGATAGTTACAGGGGCAGGCAGTTGGAGAAGCTGTAATTTACACGTGAAATTGAGAACGTGATTCCGAAGTGTAATTCAACAGATCAAGTCCGACCACCTCGGCACCTGTGGCCGCCTTTGGGACCTGCTTCTCAAACGGCGTCTCAGATCTTACTCAGGCTTCCACATAATAATGAGAAAACGATATAATAATCACCTAACCTCTGACAACTCGGACTTCATCTGGCTGACACGCCACAAAATGTTGCCGTATCAGTACAATCCAAGATGCGACATATGGCCGCGGCCATGTCGTAGCCTATAGCCACCGTACCTACCCAACTAACATTAGAAATCTGTTATGTATAAGAGCAGTCAAAGTAGCACAACATACGCATAGTCTTGTTTCATATTAGTCTTTCACCTTCTATAACTCTAAACCCAATTCAAGTCTACTCGAAACCAGTTGAGACTATCCCAACGCCAACCCCAACCGCCACTAGCAACTTCTCAAGATGTCCTTCCTCAAGCGCAGAGGCCGGATCCCCCCCGGCACCAAGGTTAATCCCCCGGAGCAGCCGCCGCCAGCACCCAAATTCCCCAACGAGTACAAGCTCCGCATATACTGCACCGCCTGCAACGCGGCGCCGGGCAACGGCAGTTGCTCCACGGCAAAACAGCTGACATCCAGCCTGCCCAACCGCATGGCGTACCACGACCCCAACTACACGGGCACCTTCCTGTGCCAGTGGGAACTAGGCATCGACTTCTGTTCCGCCAAGGCCAAGACCGCGCCCACCACCAAGGCCGCCGTCACCGAGGTGCTGACGCAGGCGTGTGGGACCCTCAAGCAGCCCGGCGCGGCGGCGCCGGCGGTGCCGAAGAGGCTGGAACCGTTCAAGGTCGACGATTTGCTAAATGGGTTGAAGGCTAAGGGGATTGCCTACAAAACCACGCCCTCCGCTTTTCTCTGAGCTGTTGCATGGTGCATATTACGACACGGCTGTGCGCAGGTGTCGTTCTGAGCAACAATAGACTGAGAGTCCATCTCCACTCCACTTGTTTCACTCCCTGTATGTGTTCTTGACGAGTTCGATAGCTTTCTTGACCATATCCCGATCCATCTGGAACGTCAGCTTATCCAGCACATCCGTGTAACTGTAAAATTCCACCGCGTATCTGTCCTTCTCCTGTGCGGCCCGATCCATTGGCGGTGTCTCCTCAGCCACGGCGGCGGCAAACCACCAAATGAGCTTGACCCGGCCTTCACCCAGACGACGGATTTGCAGGGTGAACGGCTCGCAAACGTCAGTGTGAAGCCGGACCCGATCATCCACCCACTCAGTCCCAACCGCTGGCGGGGCACGAGTGTGCATGTCCAGGGGAAGAAGGCGGCAGGCATAACCCGTTTCTTCGGTGACCTCGCGCAGGGCTGCCGCCTGGCGGCCTTCGCCGCAGTTGCGTCGCCCCTTGGCCAGAACATACTCGTCACGCTCTAAGAGACGAAGCACGCAGATTTCCCGAGAAGAGAGACGGAACAAAACTGCGCCGGCACTCTCGACGAATTCTTCCGAGGTGTACTGCTCGGATTCGGACCGAGATTTGGCCATGAATAATAAAGGCTTTCAATCATCAATCACCAACCAAAAAAAAAAAAAAAAAAAAGAGAGAGAGAGAGAAGAAGAAAGAAGAAGAAGAAAAAAGAAGAAAGAAGAGGTACTAATGCTATAAGCCGCGGATTACTCACCTTGGTGTTCCTCGACGTGTTTGAAGTAGGTAGTGCACGTGTCAGACCCAGGTTATTCCTGATAAAGTGGCTTGGAAAAAAAGCTAAAATGATGTTACCAACCATGTTACACAGGGACTACAGAGAAGCAGAGATTATGGGAGAAAGAAGCAGAAAAATTACATCAACGTATTGTGTATTGTAATTTACCGTCAATTGGATGACAACCCGCATCCAGGGGTGTCTCGGCACCCATTACACCGACCAGCCCGAGTTGCAACTTGGACTTACTACTCGTTGACTCGCCTTATTTCTCACCGTTGGGATGACGTGCCAACTAAGCTATTAACGAGGATAGAACGGGAGAATTTGATAATAAAAAGAATGTGACGAACCTACTTCAGGACCCTGTCCTGTTAGGGTTCAGCTTCGGTTGAAGGTAATCTCTCAAGGGTGCTGAGGTTCGGTGCAGCCTAAAGGTGCACAACAAAGACTTGTCTCAACAGTAGGCTTCCGAGCTTGTAGCGAACTGTAGCTGTGATTGCTAACTGGAGAACTCCCAGAGCTCTCCAGAACGAGTGACTATATACTAGCTAAACCATCAAGTACCTTGTACTTGATCTCAGTGATCTTTGTTGCCCTCATCACAGATCAAGGGGATAAGTCGGTGCCCTGTGTCCCGTTCAGTGATCTCCCAGAGATCACTGCGGGTCACTTGCACCTTGTTTCTATTGGTTAGTACTGTCGTCTAACTGATTGGTCCAGGGCACTGCCAGCATGCCCCGCCGGTCGCCTGCATGCGGCCATAATCGTGACAGTTCTTGGATGTTCGAAGGAAGTGTTACTGGTTTGTCGTCCCGATTCCACTGCGCAAACACACCAGCTTTATAGATCAGACGCAGGCTACGCTTGGTCCAGTCCTTATGGTTACAAAGGATCGTCCAGACGATCGGTACAAGCGGCTGGGGATCTCCGCGTAGATCGTATGTGACCCTGACACATGTCACTCAATTGCTACGTGTACGAAGGACACCTGGCTGGCCCCTTTCCTGTGATCACACTCGTCGTCGGCATGGAGATCAGCGATGGCTGGTGAGCTCAACAAGGTTGGCCCGATCGCGATCTTTGGGACCCCAGCTGTCGATTTTGGCTGCAAGCGGGATTTAGCTTGAATGGGAAGAGCTGAAAGGGATAGTTTGTGTCTCGTCCAGGTCTACACTAGTGATCAATTCGCCGGCCTTGAGCTGCGAGCGGCGTCTCGATGTCCGCCAAGGTACTCGAGCGCCTCCCAGAAGTCAAGGAAGAGCGCCAGGCGGTCAAGAACAAGATGTCCAGAACCTGACAGCAAGCTGGAGACGGTATCATAGCCTTGGCATCTGGGCAGGGTAGGCCCAGCGCAGAGACGTCGCGCAGGGAAAATGGACCACCTTTCGTGCTAAGGAAGGGGGGATTCGGACGGTTCTCTGCCAACGGAACACCAAAGGAAACTTTGTGATTTCCGAAGAGCCGACCACCTGTCCTCTCCAAAGCTTAAGGTTTATTCGCAGCCGTCTACACAGCCCGTCAGCATGTAAACGGATAACCCAGCATCACGGCATTCTTACCTCAGCAATCAAGGCCCTCCCAACCTGGATTGTCTCACCAGCCCCTCGCTGGCGCTGCCAAAAGCTGCTCACGATGTTAGTCACGCCCACGTCCTCTTCGATTTCAAACCCTGGGAAAAGAAGAAAGATAAAATAAAAAGGAAAAGAAAAAAAAAAAAAAGGAAAAAAAGACTCACAGTTGTTCCGGCCTGCCTTCCCCCACCACCGAAAGCCTCCTCGCCTCCTCCTCCAACACCGCCCTCGTAATCTTCTCCCCACCACTGACTCCCGGCCCAGCCGTCTCGGCACCACTCACATCCCACTCGACCATCTTCTCCAGCAGGCGCTTGCGGATAGCATAGCGCTCGGAGCGCTCCTTCTGCAGGCCGGGGGAGTCGAGCTTGCGGACGACGCCGCGGACGACGAGCTGGACGAGCAGGTACAGGTGCTCGGCAAAGAGCACAGCCAGCAGGAGGGCCCAGGCGCGGATGTCCCAGGGGGAGCCACTGGGAAAAGCGGTGCCGTTCTTGAAGAGGAAGACGAGCGCGGCGCTGGTCAGGCTGCCTAGCCACGACAGGAAGCCCAGCGCGTCGAGCCAGGGGCCGATCGAGTCGGCGCGCCAGGGGATCGGCCGCTGGCAGTTGGTCGCGATCTTCATGGCGTCGGACCGGGCTTCGACCCAGTTGTTGACGAGGAAGGAGCAGGCGGTCAAGGGCCACACGACGGAGAAGAGGGAGAGGTACCCGAACTGTACCACCATCTCGCGGTAATCGATGGTCACATCGTATTCGTCTAGCTCGGCTTCCTCGCGCGCCCGCTCTAGGAACTCAGCCTCCTCGGGCTCGTCGGGGCGCCGCGGTTGGTTTGTGGTGGCCTTTCCCCCTGCGGCGGCGGCGGCGGCGTTCTTCTCCGAGAGCTCGGATTGCACGCGCTCTACCGTGCGGAAGATCTTGCGCTTCGCGTACGGGACAATGAACTCGGTGGCGAGGTTAACCACTTGCGCCGTGACGGTCAGGTAAATGACTTGCTTGGTGAGCCGGTTGGGGTTGATCTCCCACTCCTTGGTTGGCAGGGGCTGCCCTTCCGCGGTGAAGCGCTGCACTGTGAGCTGGAACACGTCGAGGTAGGGCACCAGGATCTTGCCGAACGGCACGTAGATAAAGGCCGTTAGGAAGATGGGTAGGTACGAGGTGATGAAGTTGATGACGAAGATCTTTTGGACAAAGGATGCTTGGTGGGCTAGGGAGAACGGGGGGTTAGCGAATGGGTTGTTCGATAGTCAAAACGGCATGCAAAACACATACCATCGTGAGTCCGGTAGTTCTCAAACTCAGTCAAATTTTGAGCTAGGCGGGTGAGCAGCGTGGTGAGGGTGGGGTTGAGGATGGTGAGGAGGATGGTTGGCAGGAAGGCCTGTCACAGGTCAGCAGCAGCGTCTTTTGGCGCAGAGAAAAGCCGCTCAACTCACCAGATACTGCTTAAACGGCCCGTTGTAAACCTCGTTGATGAAGATCTCAATGGAAAAGCAGCTGACGATCAGCCCGCCCAGCACCACGACACACGCCAGAGCGAACGGTCCCTGCAGCAACTGCCTCGCCAGCCGTTTGAAGGGCGAGTACACCTTGACCACCTCCCCCGTGACGGAGTCGATACCCTCTCGTTCAAACTTGAACTGCGACCGTGGCAGCTGGATCCTGCCGACGCCCCTGACCCCCCACTGCACAGCCAAATCCACCTCCTTCATCTTCCAATGCTCAAAGAACACCACGGCCCACAAACAATTCACCACGGCATAAACCCACGAGAAGGGGCCTAGCAACAGCCAAGCCGCAAAGCCAAGCGCAGCAGGGAACACCAAAAACAAGAAATACGACTGCAGAAACGCAAAATAAAAAGCAACGCGCTCGCCAAACCGGTCGCGAATACTGCCGATGTCGGTCTCATCCAGATAGTACTTACGACTCCAGGCGGAGATCCAGGCACGGTTGAAGGCGCGGTCGTGCAGCGGAAAGATGCTGGCGACAAAGCGCCACTGGCCGCGCTTGGGCGTGATCCCCGCGCCACCCTCGTTGCGCGGCCGCGTGATCAGCTCGTAGGCGAGCCGCAGCCGCTCGGCCTCCGTCACGGGCTCCTCCTCGGCGAAGTAGCGGTTGATGGCATCGGTTTTGTTGTCGGGAGAGGTGTTGTTGCTGTCGGAGGGGGCGGGGGCAGAGGGCCGCACGCCAAAGAGCCAGTCCTGGACGCGGGCGCGGTAGATTTGGGACTTGAGGAGGGAAGGGGACGCGAGCTTGACGAAGACTAGAAGGGAGGATGCCGTGCGGCCCGGACGGACTTCGGTTGCGAAGCCTACCGCCGAGAGGGCCTCGATGAGTTGGGTGAAGGTGGCTTCTGCTTCGGCGGATTCTGGTGGAAGGGGGGTGGGTTAGTGATGTTGGTGTAGTGCAGGGAGGGTTGGTCGGGATAGGGGGGCGGGGGTATGGTGGGTTATGGTGATTGCGAGAGGGCGAGTAGCAACCTTTTGCGGGGATATCATAAGCAATCACATAGTCGACGCTGGGTATCAATTAATTTAGTATTATTTATCGTCGAACCGTCAAAACGAAGAAGAAGGTGTATTCAGGTAGCTAAACTCACTTGAAATTGCCGTGCGACTGCTTGTCCCTGACCGGGCTCTGAGGGGCGGCCATGGCGGGCAGCTTGGGATTGATTGACGCTGTAAGTTCAGAAAGCCACTGAACACATACAGGTCAAAAATTGGAGGTTGTGGTGATTTAACTGTCACGGTTGGTAAGGTGGTAGCCGTGGTGTTCTTTCATGAAAAAGCGGAACGACGTCACGATCGATGCCGCCATGTCACCTTGCAGGGGCTAGCTCAGGCCCAAGCTGAATCAACTAAACCCAGTTCGGACGAGTTTCAGCTGAAGTGCGTTCGGGCAGATTGCAATAGGGTTAGGGTACACCACAGCCGAGACCACCCGGTTACCCCTTTTTCGAATCCACATGGGAAGACAGATTCCGGACTCCATATCGGTAATACCAGGTATGTCAGTACGTTACCGTTGGATTTAGACCGGATATTGTCAAAAATAACTTACAGCGGACTTTCTTTCACCCCGCAACACCAATCATTATCATCACGACCATCCCCTTTTTTTATTACTTTTTTATTTTGTAAACTGCAACTCAAACTTACCGTAGTTGTAAAAATTAAGTTTCTTACACCAAAACTGTCAAGATGGATGCCCAGGAGTTCCGGGAAGCCGCAAACGCAACCATTGATGAGAGCAAGTCCTACCCTCACAACTGAAACTCAAACTCACTCATGAATTAACTTTTTTTCTCTGTTCCAGTCATCACCTATTTCGATACCCTCGGCTCCCGCAATGTAGTCTCCACGGTCGAGCCCGGATATCTGCGCCAGCTGCTCCCGGACGAAGCGCCACGGGAAGGTGAGCCGTGGGCCGCCATCCACAAGGACATGGAAGCCAAGATCATGCCCGGCATCACCCACTGGTATGTCCACACAAGGAACAACATCCGCACCATTCCCCCTCCCCATCCCTCCCTTCCCACACCCACCCACAAAAACCCAATCCCCAACCTAACCTCCCCCCCCCCCTTCACTAGGAACCACCCAGGCTTCCACGCCTTTTTCCCCTGCGCCAGCTCGTACCCCTCCCTCCTCGGCGAGCTCTACTCGGCCGCCCTAACCACCGCCGCTTTCAACTGGATCTGCTCGCCCGCCGTCACCGAGCTCGAGACCATCGTGCTCGACTGGCTGGCCAAGACCCTCGGCCTGCCCGCCTGCTACCTGTCCACCGGCCCCACCCGCGGCGGCGGCGTCATCCAGGGCTCCGCCAGCGAGGCGGTCCTGACGGCCATGGTCGCGGCGCGCGATAAGTATCTGCGCGAGACGGTGCCGCCCCCTGGTGGTGGTGAGGGGTCGGTGTCGGAGGAGGAGTATGAGGAGCGGGTGATGGTCAAGAAGTCGCGCATGGTTGCGCTGGCTACCACGCTGACGCACTCGAGCGCGAAGAAGGCCGCGCTGATTTTGGGCTGCCGGTTCCGTGCCATCCGCGTGCGGGAGGAGGATGGCTATGCGCTCACGCGTGAGGGCCTGGCCGTGGCGCTGGCGGAGTGCCGCGCGCAGGGGCTGGAGCCCTTCTTTTTGGCCGCCACGCTGGGCACCACCGATGTGTGCTCCGTGGATGACTTTGAGGGGATTAGTGCCGCGCTGGCCGAGCATGTCCCGCCCGGTGCGCCCGGCGAGGTGTGGGTGCATGTGGATGCGGCGTATGCCGGGGCCGCGTTGGTGTGTCCTGAGGTTCAGGAGTCGACGCGCATCGCGCTGGTCAGTCGGTTTCATAGCTTTGATATGAACATGCACAAGTGGCTGCTGGTGAATTTCGATGCCAGCTGCTTCTTTGTGAGGAACAGAGAGTGGCTGGTGCAGGCCCTGAGCGTCAACCAGGCCGTGTACGGGAACAAGGCGTCGGATGGTGGGTTGGTGACCGACTACAGGGAGTGGCAGATCCCGTTGGGGAGGCGGTTCCGGAGCTTGAAGATCTGGTTCGTGCTCCGGTCGTATGGTATCAAGGGGTTGCAGGAGCACATTCGGCGGACCATGAAGATGGGCGAGGACTTTGCCGGGGGGCTCAGGGGCAGGTCTGATCTATTTGAGATTGTATCAGGGCCGAGTTTTGCCTTGACCGTATTCCGGTTGGCGGCCAAGTCTGAGGGCGCATCGCTCGAGGATAGGAATGCACAGACGAGGGCGCTGTATGAAAAGGTGAATGCGACGGGAAAGATGTGGCTTACAAGCACCGAACTCGACGGCCGTTTCGCGATCCGGCTCATGACGGCGGTGAGGACGACCGAGACGGAGCACATCCAAACGGCGGTTAAGACATTGGTTGAGATCGCCGAGGAGGTGCTCAGGGGGTGATGATGGGTCTAAGAACTGTGTATAGCATACGTGATAGACTAGATATACCCAACGACTAGACGCCACGCGCTCTTCTTAACTTCTGATATAACTTCCCAAGCAACCGCCGCAGACATTCATCACACTACAATCAACCAGGCAACGACCAGATACACCATCACCGATCGTGTAAACCCCCTTTATGAGAACAGCAACAAACAATATGCAAATTACAAGGCAGTGCAGCGCTATCTATCTCTTCGCCAACCCAAACACCCGGAAATGCTACAGCCATACTTCACCTCGCTCATTACACCCGACGAGCACCACCAAAACCCCACTTTAGATACTGGCCCTCCTCGGCGCCATCGTCCGCCTCAACCCCTTCTTGCCACCCATCTCCTCCCCAATCGGCAACACGCCGCCCCTCTCCCTCAACTTAGCCAAAAACTCCTGCCCATACTTATACCCCACGCCATAGATCTCCATAAACTTCCCAAAGTCCAACGTCCCATACTCCTCGATCGGCGGGCGCATATAAATACACCCCGGCAGGGTCTTCGCGCGCTCGAGGGCGTCGACGCTGCTGACGTAGGCGAGGCGGGCCTGGATCTCGGCGAGGGTGGGCGGGTTGGCGACCGAGGAGAAGGGGTTCCAGCGGTTGAAGAAGGCCCACATGCCCGAGAGCGAGTCGCCGAAAGGCCTGCGGGGTGTTGTCGTCGAGGGCGCCGACGTCGACGGCGAAGATGACGTCGGACCCAAGTGACTTCATGTGTGACACGGTCAGGTTGGTCCACGTAGCCGCCGTCGAGCAACATGCTGCCCTCGTCGCACAGCGGCAAAAGCAGGCCCGCGAGTGACATGGACGCCCGCACGTACCACCACGCGTAGCCGCTGGTGTGGAACTCGGCCCGCGACTTGGAGATGTTGGTCGTGTTGCAGTAGTAGTCGAGCCAGAAGTCCTCGATCTGCGTGTTGCCAAAGGCCTTGAAGATGCCGCGGTTGAATTCGTGGCCCGTCGTGTACGACGCCGACGGGTACGTCAGGTCAAGCGCGAACCGCCACATGCTGGCCATGCGGCCCGAGAACTTCTTGGCCGCGTTGACGATGGGGACAAAGTCGGCGTGCCGCGCGTACAGGGCTCCGATGAAGGCGCCGATCGATGTACCGCCCACAATGTCTATGGGGATGCCGGCCTCTTGCATGGCACGTATGATACCGATCTGCGCGATACCCCTCGCACCGCCACCACCAAGGACAAGGCCTACGGATTTCCCGCAGAGCCGCCGGGCCAGACGGTGGAAATCGCCTTTGAACGGCGCGTCTGGAGAATAGAATGGGCTGTGTCGTACTTTCCTAGATGTATACTTCTGAATCTCAGCCTGTAAAATTTGCACTCTTTCTCTCAGCGTCGGACCGCTAGGTTTTGCGGGCGGATGGATTGGAACTGCGTTGGGACTGTAGGTCATCTGCACGTGGAAGTGGCCACCGTTGATCCAGACCCGGTTCTTCAGCCATTTTCTGGTCAAACCCGAGTTGGAGTAGCGTTCCTGATGGAGAAGAACCAAAATCTTCCTCGCCGTCGACTTCATGCCAAGCATGAAGCGTTCATACTCTCCAATTTCCGGGGAGCCATCAGCCAAGCCGACCATGAGGACGCAGTCAGCCTGGGCGACGCACGTCTGCGTCCACGGGGCATTAACGTTGGTGTCTGCATGCAAATTAGCGGTTGAGCATCGTATGAGATACAATACCAGAAACACTTACCCGCAACGTAGATGACGAGCCCGTACTTCTCCTCCAGGTCGGCAAGATACTGTGACAACTTGAGTTTGCCCATTCTGTTAAATGCGTGCTTCCCAAGATGATTCAGAACAGCCGCGCTATTTAGCGACGTGGCGCCGTTGGGGGCCCCAACTTCGGTCAGCGCGCTCAGCAGCCTGTTGCTAAACTCGACCACGGGCACGCCCGCCGAAACCGGCAAGACGGCAACAGTCCTCAAGTTGAGCGTGGTGGAGCTCTTGTTGATCGAACTTCTGCCAGACGAGTCCTTGATTCCCAGCATCGTCGACGGGTCGTCAATCAGCGCTCTCATGCGTGAGGCGATGATCTTGGAGATCTTGATCGTGATGTTGGGGTGTTCCTGGGCCAGACTGTTGAACAGAGTACGGGGGAACTTGACAAGTTCCGTATCCCGGATGGCATGCAAGGTACCGGAACGAGAAGTTTCGGTTAAGACCTCAAGTTCTCCGATGCTCTCGCCTTGACCATACTCGGCCTTAACGTTCATCCCGCCGTCTTTCCTGTCCTCAACTAACCTCAGGCGGCCATTCAGCACAATGTATATGGCTTCGCTCTCGTCTCCCTCGTGGAAGATGACCTGGCCGGCATTGACTTGGAGCCACTCCAAAGCGAAGTCGATGTGCAGAATCAAGCGGGGGAGCAGGTTCGTGAGCCGCTTCGCCATGGTAAGGAGCACGATGGGATACCGGTCGACGATTCTCTCGATCGACGTGAGTGGGAGGAAACCGACATAGACATCCGTCTTTGCAACGACTTCAATGAACGACCGGTACGACGAGATGGTCCCAACGTAACCGGCGAGCCCGCCGGGCTTGATCAAGGCTACGCTCCGGCGGTTGGGCTTGGATTTGATCTCAGCATCATCGACCTTGTTTCCTGAGCGCATGGATTCTGCAAATGGTTGTGGCGAGCGCTGCGGAGAGCGGATCGACTGGGCGCTATCCATCGCATGCAGTGATGTCCTACTCGTAGGGTGAACAACATCAGATGCTGCGGCATCCTCCTGAGTACAGATATCCAGAAAGCCGTCAACGACATAGTATAGACCTGGGTTTCTCTCACCCTGCTCTACCAACACAGATCCCTTCGGGAAAAAGACGATCTCCATCTCGTCTCTCATCTCCTGCGCCAGAAACTGAGGGTTCGGGGACGCAGGCAGAGATAGCCCCGCGGACGTGATGGATTCCGTGTCTCCATCGGCCGATCCGTCGAGTCCGTCCATAAATCCGAAGGCGTGATTTGTGTAGAGGGCCTTTTGTCGCCGCTGATCAAAGGATATGAGCCGGGGAGAGGCTTGGTTGGAGTCTGCGTCTTTATTTGAGCCTCCGCTACCGGTCAGGCCGATGGATCTGAACATGCACTCCAGAATCGACTCCCGGAACAGGTTATCTTCGTCCAGCGTCTCCCTCTTTTCGAGCGCTACATGGATGCTCCTCGGAGTCACGAACGGGTCGAAGGTGCGCTGGGCCAGCGGGGAGACCGCCTCCCTCTCTACGTCGAGATGCGGTGAAGGTCCATCGGTGAAAGCCACGCTCTGCGCCCTGTTGCCACCGCCTCTTGACTGCTGCAAATGTGTGACAAGGTCTCCAGCGTTGGGGATGGCGAGAGACGAGCCCGACATTGATGAGATATTGCGCTGCTTGGAGAAGGCCTGCAAAGCTGCCTCTTTCCGAAGGGTTGCTGTTGAGCGGCGCCTACGGCCAGCACGAGCATTGTGAAGCGCTATCCCTTTGCTGACATCATCCTCCTCCCCCATCCTCTCCACCTCTCGTTTGAACTTCTCCTTCAGTCTATCCAGCGCATCCCCCCGGAGATGGTTGGGAAGTTGTTGCGTAGTGTATTTGAGCATCTGGCGCTCAATCTGGAGGACCTCGTTGGTCAGCCCAAGGTAATTGTATGCAGTTGCGAGTGTGACTCTTTGGAACCTGGACAGAATGACGTGGACAATGTGTGCCGTAGCCTTCGGGTATATTTTTATCAGGCGTCGGAAAGCACTGGCGGGAATGATGGCGACAGTTGTGTCGACCGTTGCCCTCGCGATGATATCCGGATGGGCCGAGGTGGTGTTGCTCCTCTTAGGGACTGGCCTTTGAGGTTTGGAGAAACCAGTGCCGTCGAGTGAGATGGGCGGAACATGGGGCAGACCACGGTCGAGCTGCCCGGGTAGATTATTCGCCGAACTTGATGCGGACGCATCCATTTGAGGGGTATTCGGGACAGAATCCATTCTGACACGGGATTTCCGAAAGTCTGCGCTCGCAGGATAGTTGGGGAAGAGACCACTGTGGGTGGTGGTGCCGGGTTCCGAGTTGTCTTCGTCGGCGTGCCGCAGTGGCACGTCCTCAGTGAAGAGCGACATGATGGAGAACAAAGATGACATGGGCGCGCCGTTCCGGACCTCGGTCAATAGTTGGTACCGTTGCTGCCCCGGCGCGGGATGCTCGTCATCGCTCGAGGGGGCCTCGCTGTTGGGGCTGAAATAGGGGCCGTGAGGGTAGCGGCGGTTGTAACTGGACGACTTCACAAATATCTCGACCAGACCATCCACGACAAGACAGAATCCCTTCTCTTCCTCGAGGTTGAACGACTCGCCGGCGATTAGCTTCCGGGTCTGCATGCTGCGGGTCAGCTCGTGGAAGACGGGCCGCTCAAGGTAGCCGAAGATTTTGATGGCGCTGAGAAACTCGTCGAAGTAGTTTGACAAGCCTGATTTGATGCCCTCCTCGTGCGTATCCGGGAAGAGATCGACGTCCGGCTCCTTGCGCTGTGGCTCGGGGGGCAACCGTGAGTACATGTTGAGGTAGCGGTACCTCACCACCCAGCTGATGGCGCCTATCATGGCCGCAACGATGAGCATCCTAGGCTATGTTAGAACGCAGTGCAGTACCTGAATACTTGAGCTTGACTTACAGAGTAGTCGCGTTCATGGTGACGGTGAGGCTCGTTGAAAAGAGGGTATACAACAAGGTAGGGACCGAAATAGTGGCCAGTTTGATGGCATAGTAGAGCACCATTGACACGAACTGGAGGAGCCAGAGAACGACTCTCGCAAACAAGCCGAGCCAGGAGGAAGAGCCATGGGCGTTGGCAACATCGCTTGCGGCAGCTACAGCCGAGGATAGCGGATTGGGATGTCGGTCTCCGGTCCCTGTCACTGCCGTCACTGCTGTCGCTGACGTGACCGCCGCTCGGGCGGTCGAGTTTACTACATCCATCACCGCGTGTATTTAATCTCGAAGCCGGTCGATATCATGGGCGCGAGAGTAAACTTGTTTTTTTTTTTTGCGATGTGGTGATTTGCGTTTGTTTTGCACTGCGATGATTGCGCTGTCGACTGGAACCCGTCTGTTTGGTCTGTTTGGCCTGTTTCTCGATTTTCGGGTCTTCTCTGCGCTGTGTTGAACTAGGCGAGTGACCTGGAAAATAAGAGATGGCTCGGCGCAAAAACTAGGAATTTATGTCGCGTATAATATGTACTTGACCAGGCATGGCATCCCTTGCCCTCCTGATAGATTCCAGATTTGTCAAGAGGCTTCCGTGAGACAGGGCCCGGCCGATGCCGAGAGCTCCCTTGCAAGGTGCAAAAGAACCGATAGACCGGGGCTCCAATGACCTCGCTGACGTCGGTCAGTCTCGAATTCTGGCATGTGGTGGGGCATCCCGGTCACATTGGCCCCCCTGGGGCAGGCAAGGGTGCCCGCTGGTTGCCGAACCATTTCAATTGGCTTCCAATCACGGCCATTCACCCCGCCAAAAATGCACCAGCCACATCCCACTTTCTTGCTCGTGCACGCGGCTGAATTTCTGGCCGGCTTCTGAAAATACTGCGGGCCCGATCGATGACTGTTCTTCGAGCTCAACTTCGACACATCCCGCATTCGAACCGATACCACGAAACCCCGAAGCCCACCGAGGATTCGACTTTGCTGTATTCCTACCCTCACAACCTTCAACCTCCCCATACTTTTACACACGATCCTCGCTCGGCGCACCTGCCTGATACCAACGAAACCACGCCCACATCCCACTTTTGCCCCGCCTGGGAACGGCACCCTCAAACAAGATGTCACTTTCAAACTGCCGGTTTTACGAGGAGAAATACCCTGAGATTGACTCCTTTGTGATGGTGAACGTAAAACAGGTTAGCATTTCTGCAGGACCATCGATACCCCCCACGGCGCTGACTGTCGCTAGATTGCGGACATGGGAGCCTACGTCAAGCTCCTCGAATACGATAACATCGACGGCATGATCCTGCTTTCCGAGCTTTCGAGGCGTCGTATCAGAAGTATCCAGAAGTTGATCCGTGTCGGTCGCAACGAGGTAGTCGTCGTGCTGCGTGTCGACAAGGAGAAAGGTTGGACCTCGCCGTCATCCACCTCGCGTTCCGCGCCATTGCTAAAGCGGGGTTAGGATACATCGATCTGTCGAAGCGCCGTGTTTCGCCCGAGGATATCGTACGCTGTGAGGAGCGGTACAACAAGAGCAAGATTGTGCACTCGATCATGAGGCACGTCGCCGAGAAGACGCAGACCCCGATTGAGACCCTCTATGAAACAATAGGGTGGCCGCTCAACAAGAAATACGGTCACGCGCTCGATGCTTTCAAGCTCTCAATAACGTATGTCTTGAGCTAGACCGTCGGAAAAGGCGTTTCACTAAGTTTTATGAATAGCAACCCTGACATCTGGACCGACATCAAGTTCCCAACCGACGCTGATGCCGAGGAGCTCAAATCCTATATCGGCAAGAAGCTCACTCCCCAGCCGACCAAGGTCCGCGCCGATATTGAAGTCACTTGCTTCGGCTACGAGGGCATCGATGCCATTAAGACCGCTTTGCGCACCGCTGAGGCCCGTAACACGGATGAGGCTCAGGTCAAGTGCCGGCTGGTTTCTCCCCCGCTCTATGTGTACGTGCTTGCCAATCGCCTCCCCGATGGTTCGACTGAGAGCTTAGTTGCTAATGTGCCCTAGTCTCACCAACACCTGCCTCGACAAGAACGCCGGAATTGCGCGGCTGGAAGAAGCCATCGTCGACGTCCGGACGAGCATCGAGTCGGCCGGCGGTAACCTTGTCGTCAAGATGGCGCCCAAGGCGGTCACCGAGTCGGATGATGCGGAACTCCAGGCCCTGATGGAGAAGCGCGAGCGCGAGAACGCCGAAGTCAGCGGCGACGAGAGTGTTAGCGAGAGCGACGACAACATCCCTGCAGCGGTTTAAGAATGCGCTGTTTTACAAGAATGGGCTGAGACAACAGGCGGTGATTCCGGTCCTGTTTCTCGTGGGACGACCAAATACCTCAACGAAAGAGGTTGCGGGACGGCGAGCGGGTATATCGGGACCATTGATTGATATGACTGGCGTCTTCGGATTTCAAAAGGTCAGATACGGTAGACATTACATCTAGCCAGGGCCGCGGGAAAGAAAAGGGAACGAAGTAATGCCTCTTACGAATATTCAGCCGCTTGATGTGATGTGTTCCTCGAATTATGTATCAATCGAGGTAGCCTCCCTCCTTATCGGCTTATCTTGACAGCCCCCTCCAAATTCACCACTTGCAATAATCCATCTCACCTTCAAATCACCACACCTCTCACATCACCACACAATTTCCATGGCGGCGCGATGGGCATGGGGATCCGTCGCCGGAGGAGGCGCGGCGCGGCGGTCTAAATTTCTCGGGCAAGTTTCAGACTACCTCATTCGCTATGCGACCTGGATCCCGCCGCTCATCTGGTTCAACGAATATGTGGCGCAGGTCACCTCCATTCACGGCCCATCCATGTATCCTTTTCTAAATTCACGATACCACGAATCACTGCGCCAGGATCTGTGTCTCGTTTGGAAGATGTATGCGCAGGAAGGGTTGAGAAGGGGGATGATAGTCACGTTCAAGTTAGTCTCACTCACTCTCCCCTTCCGGTTCATCCACCAGCTTGCGCACGCTATGATAGAACACACACGTATTAACCACCCCCCTCCCCCTCCCCAAGAAGCCCTCACGACCCCAACAAAACCACCGTCAAGCGCATCATCGGCCTACCCGGCGACGTCATCAAAACCAAGCCGCCGTACCACTACGAGCACGCCGTCGTGCCCGAGGGCCACATCTGGGTCGAGGGCGACGGCGACAAGAGCCTCGACAGCAACCACTACGGACCCATCTCGGCGAGGCTGGTCACCGGCCGTGTTACCCACATCCTGTCGCCGTGGGAGAGGGCGGGGCGCGTGAGGTGGTGGGAGCACCCTTTGAGGACGGGTGTGCATAGAGCGGCGTAGCCCGGTAGCCCGGGTGGGGGTGGGGTGTGTTATGAGAGTGCTGTTTTGCTTGCGTGTGGTGGGGTTGGTGAGAGTGGGGTTACGGATGAGTTGGGTTGGAAAGTGGCGGGGCAAAGGGATAGGGTTGTATGATAACTTTCAAGCTGTATGTACATATAAAGTTGGGAGTAGGGCTATACATTCGATGGGTAGCCGGCGCAATCATAAAATACCCGGTTTCTTGCTGGTTCGTACCCCTCGTTAACCTCATCGGCAAGACGATACGCAGATTGAAATTCGTAGTTGCCCGTCTAGGGTTGGTCTCAGGCACGTCAGGGTTATTGCTGGAACTTCAAAACGCCACGCACGGACCACAGACCTGCCGTAAAAACGCTTCGGACCGGCAAAGCCGCCCAGAAATTTAAACTTCGAATTATTTGCGCTGCGGTACGCCGGAAAATCCACACGGCGTGACGCCATAACCTGAAAAACTTTGGTTGCTGCCCGGGCGGCGCTACCCTCTTATTCTCTTCCCTCCGGGGCGATGGTGCTCGGCTTCGAGACGGCCACACGCACCCCGTCGACTGTCTTGCCCTCGCCCTCGCCCTCTTCGCACAGCGTCGTCAGCACCGTCCCCGTCCCGGACCTCGACGGTCGACATGAGGATCACGCGCATACCTTGTCGCAGCCCGTCGCCACCACCACCATCGGAACCGAATCGTCTCGCGCTCAGACTAATATGAGATCACAAGATGGAGAAGTCGAAGGGCGCCCGCCTTATCTGCACGTGGGTCAACCTGATTCCATGTCTGCCGCCGCCCCGCCCGGACTGCCCGCTGACCGCATACCGCAACTATAGTGCATGCTTGCTGGAGGGCTGGGTGGTTCTACCGGCGATATGCTCATGCATTCGCTCGACACAGTTAAGACACGGCAACAAGGCGACCCCCATATTCCGCCGAGATACACATCGCTAGGCTCGTCCTACCTCAAGATTTTTCGAGACGAGGGGATACGGCGAGGACTCTACGGAGGCTGGATACCGGCCCTCGCTGGTTCATTCCCGGCGACCTGCTTTTTCTTCGGCAGCTACGAGTGGAGCAAGCGGCAGATGCTCGAACGCGGCGTCCAGCCCCATCTGGCCTATCTGGTAGCTGGTTAGTAGCCAACCTCACAATCGGGATTTCGTTTTTTGACAGCATTTTGTCTAGGTTTCATCGGCGACCTGGCAGCGTCCACCGTGTACGTGCCATCAGAGGTGGTCAAGACACGCCTACAGCTGCAAGGGCGACACAACAACCCGTATTTTGCGTCGGGGTATAACTACAAAGGCACGACTCATGCCGTGAGGACAATCGTCCGAACTGAGGGTTTATCGGCGCTATTTTACGGCTACGGTGCTACTTTATGGCGCGACTTGCCATTCTCGGCACTTCAGTTTATGTTCTACGAACAAGCACAAAGTTGGGCACACCAATGGCAAGGGAGCCGCGATATTGGGTGGCACATGGAGCTCCTGACAGGGGCAGCGGCTGGTGGCCTCGCCGGCACAATAACATGCCCCCTTGACGTCGTCAAGACGAGACTTCAGACTCAAGTCCATCCGGAAGCCGGAGGGCTCAGCCCGGCGCCAGCCGATCCGCCAAGTTCAGGAACGGCCAAGGAAGGGCACTCCGCTAGGGCGGTCTCTGAGACGGCCCAGCAAAAGCTCCAAAAGCGGTTGATATCAACGTCTTCGCCCTCAACTCATACACCCAAACCAGGGGCCGTCACTCTTCAAACCTCGTCCATGATTATGGGCCTCAGATTAATTTACAGAACCGAAGGTGTTGCGGGGTGGTTTAGAGGCGTGGGGCCACGAGCTGCTTGGACAAGCATCCAGAGCGGGTGCATGCTATTCCTCTACCAGTCCATTCTGCGCAGGCTAGAGGCGTACATGCCCATGGAGCGGCGCGAGCTTGTCTAGTGATGCGAATCTAGCAAGACAGCGTCGATATATTGTGTATATAGACCATTTGTACTATTGTTGTGTTCGATATCGGGGCTTGGGGAGGCAATCTGGGAGGGCGTTGGGTGTCGGCTGGATAGATACATGCTAGAGCTAGATGTGTATATGTACGAATCTTCATTCCTCCATTTTTGTCTCAATGAGACCCAGATTTCGGGCGAAGACCATCAAACAGATCTAGATAGGAAATCTAGACTACCTTATGCATCTATCCCAAACATTGAAATTTGCTTTAATGCGGAGTCTAAGCCTTGGCTCTCCCGCCATCCCGACCCAAACCGCGATTGGCCCAAAGCTACTGTGGGGTTCCAGAGTTCCATGTGCTGCTTGCACCATCCCACTCGGCCCAGAAAATGGTAGTGGAGCTCAATCGAATGATTGATGCAATGGACGACTGACGGCCGATAACCTGACTACTAAATACACGCGACTAGGGAACCCCGCGACCCCGAAATGCCCTGACGAGATGGAACCGCAACAACAGGGCCGCCATGTCATCTTCGCTTCCTGTTCCCTCCAAAGCGGCCTTGACGGCCCTGCGAGGACTCCTCGTCGGCACCTCCTGCACCCTCGCCGTGCTCGCCGAGGACCGCCGACGAAAAATCAATAATGCGGTGCGCGCGATCGAGAATGGCGAGAGAATCAAGTCGGCCAGGGGATACCGCGCGGGGGCTGCCACGCTCGCCGTGGCCATGGAAGAGGAAGCCCTGTGGGATTCGCGGTTTGGGCCGGTAACCGACTTTGGGTTGGAGATGCATCGGCATGATCATATCGGGAAGGGATCAGGGGAAGGGGGGAGCCAACTATCTCGATGGTGGGATGGGGAAAATAGGGCTGGAGCTCCGGCAAAGCCGACGAAAACGGCCTCGGTGGAGGGCCAAGGGGTTGTGGCATCGGGGCAGAGCAACGCCAGCAAACCCACGAATAAAGTCTCGGATACGCAAGCTGGACAACTCGCCAACCCCCCGCAACGCGGTCAAATTCAGCCTCTTCCCAAGTTGACTGGGCCACTCAAATCTGCCCCAAGCTGGGCGGCGATGAGCACCGAGACGATCAAATCATACGTGTTCCCCAGCAATGACGACATTGTGGTCCAAATACACGAAGCTTGCAACACCAAAAATTCTCTCCAACTTGGCGCCGCATTGAGGATACTCCTCGAAGCGATGGACCACAAACTTGCCCCGGGAAATTTGAACCGGCCTTGGATCGAGGCCACCGCGCGACTTTGCCGGACATGTCAGGAGGAAGGGCGGCTGGACGATGCCGCGAGGCTTCTTGATCGAATAATCTCCCGGGGGCCGTTACAGGAGAGTGACTATGTTGACCATGAGCCCTTCCCGCTGATCGAGTCGTTGCTCGCACGGGCAGAACTGAACCAGCAAGCGCAAGATGCCTACGTGGCAGATATCGACACTGCTCTCAACTTGTTTGTCCCGAAATTCGTCGAAAGGCCAAGGGGTGCGAATCATCGGGTATACACCCTCGGGCGGACGCTCCTCGACCTGTGTTTCTCAAAAAAACGGCTCCAGAGGGTCTTCGGCGTTTATTGGCGATGCATCTTATCTGCGGATGGCAGTGAGAACGACCTGGGCGTCGTGGTTTCTTCACAATCTCTACGAGACTGGAGACTATGCGTCTGTTGTCAAGTTCTTTATCAAAACTTTCTTGCAGTCCTCTCCAACGAAAAGTTCGTTCAATGCCGTTGGGGATATCGTCGTCGAAAGCGTCGAACGCGCCCACGGACACAGGCCAGAAGAGGTCTTGGACACACTGCAGGGTGTTTGTGCCAGCTTCGAAAATACAAGGCTGTATCCGGACTGGGTCGCGAGACTTTTGTTATCACACTGGAAGAAGCACAAAAAGTTCGAAGAGATCGAGGCCATGTTTGAAAAACTTCAAACTCCTCGCTTGAGGGATTCCGTGTTCCGCTCACGCAACCTCTATCGCGTTATGGTTGAGCTGGCCTTTGAAACGGGTCAGGAGGCCAAGGCCAACTCGTATTTTACCCTCGCCATCTCGCAGCACCGTGCTCTGGCGTCGGATGTTAAGCTACTTGGCGTTATTGCCCGTTTTCATGCCGCAGACGGTGACTGGGAAGCTGTACGCGCTGATTTCGAAGCAATGGAGCAAAATAGGAAAGCAAGTCGGCAAGTCTACGGCCAGGTCTTTGTCCCAGTGCTCAAATCGTACGCCGAAACGCATACGGTCCGGGAGACGGAGGCGTTTCTCAGATTCTATATCGACGAGCTGGAGGTGCCGTTAACCAGCTTCATGGTTACCGTCATGGCCAAACAGTACGCGGCCATCCGCGACGTCAACTCGTTGATTGCCTGGCTCGACTACTGCAGTCAAGCAGATTTTCGCGTTGATGCTGCCTTCACCAACGCCATTCTGGTGAGGTGCCGAAGACAGTGGAACTTCCCGTTCCGGGATCTCCGCACGCTCTTCCGGAAACTCCAGGCCCTGAACCCGGACTGTATAGACAAGCACACGGAGCAAATCATGGCCGACGCTGCGTTGTCGGATTCCAAATACGGCGGCAAGGCGGCGAGAGGGCGGCTGCTCTCATTGCACATAGAACTCCCTACCCCGCCCAGCCGGAGCAAATATGTCCAGGTTGAGGATATCATATTCGCCATGAAGATGGCACTGCGAAACGGCGCACCCCGTCGCGCTACGCAAATCTACCAACGGGCTGTCCACTCCAATATGCCCTTCTCCCCACACGCTCTACAACTCGCCGTACAGGCACACCTAACCTGGGCACCCGCCGATTTCAGCGGTGCATACACCCTCCTCCGAAAGGCCCAAGCCAAAGGCGAAGACATCACCCAAACAATCAACTACCTCCTCGCCAAACAACTCACCAGCATCACCTCCCGCGCCGCCGGCCCGGAACAAGCCAACGCCCTCATCCAAGAAACCCTCACCCACTACCACCAAGCCAACATCCGCATTACCGAGACCTCCCTGCACCGCGCCGCCAGCCTCTGCCTCGCCGCCGGCCACCCCCGCGGCGCCATCCACTACGCCCTCAGCGCCGCCAGCGAGCGCCGCGCCGCGCCCTGCTTCAACCTGCAGAACTTCAAGCTCTTGCTCGCCGCCTACGCCGACCTGCTCGACGCCGACGCCCTGCGCGATACCATCTCCCGCGGGCTTGGTAGCTTCTATAGGGAAGATGGCGCGTGTCGTACGGCGCTGAGGCAGGCGCGTGCGAGGGTGGGGCGGTCGCAGGCTGCTGCCATTGGTGGTAGTAGTAGTAGTAGTGGTGGTGGTGGTGGTGTGGGGGGGGCGTCTTCCCTGGAGGAGAGGAAGATGCGGGCGAGGGCAGTGGTGGATGAGGGGATCAGGCGGGTTGTGCAAGCGAGGCGGGAACTGAGGGAGGAAGGGAAGCTGCTGGAGGCGGAGGCGGTGAGGATTATGAGGAGGGCTGCGCTGGATGCGGGGAGGGAGGAGGTGGATTTTGCGGAGGTGCCGTGGTTGGGTGGGAGGAAGAAGATGGAGGGTGCTCCTGCTGCCGGTGGTGGTGGAGGTCATGGTCATGGTGAAAGGGGCAGGGTTGAGGGGGTGGAAGATGGCGTTGATGATTTTTACGGGGATTTGGAACGGATATTGCTAGAGGCTCCCCCTCAGACGGCGGTTGAAGCTTTCTAGGTGGGCGGGCGGTATGGAATCAGGGGTACGAAATGCTTAGACCAAAAGGAATGTGCCTGGGACGGCATTGGACAATTCTCACAAGACCAGATCCCGGCCATTGACAATGTAAAAAGTACTTACCATGTATTATTTGTACACAAAAAAAGTTTATTCCAATGGGGTACGTAAGGTTGGTTTTCTGCAGTCGTCAACAGCAACAGGCCACCGCTGTTCTCCCACGCTTGGCCATCGCCTGACATGTGAATTTTACAGCCAGAATCTCAGGGGTAGTTCCCACAAAAGCCCCTGCGCAGCGCCCTTGATTGGCTTTGACAAGGGTCCGCGCCAACGCGGTGCCTGCCGCATGGGACGATTCTTGGGGGACACTGGCCTCAAATAATTTCAGTCTCGAGAACGGGGACACGCAATCGAACCGGAAGGATCCCATTTTGCATCGTAAGTCGATTTGGTGGCCTGCTAAAAGGGCAGGAGATCCACAGCGATTGGCTTTTTGGTCTTATACCCTTCGTTTGTCAGGAATCGAGGAAGAGGTCTCGTCTCACTCAGCAATTAACTTTCTTCAACGAACACACGGCACGAATAACGACGACGAGTTCTTGCTGGCCTCCTCCTACACATCCCCGCAAAACTTGACCTCGAAACCTCGCGAAACGCCGACGTAATCAAACCCGAACAAACACAGACCCGTATCCACACACTCACACTTGCACAACCATGGCGGGCGTGGCCGATTCCGAGGCCGCCCGCAACGTCGAGCGGCGCGAGCAACACCACGAAGCCGACATCGTCGTGGTCGGCGCGGGAATCTTTGGGTGTGCGGCGGCCTTCGCCCTTGCTAACCAGGGCCGCAGTGTCATCCTGCTCGAGCGCTGGATGCACGAGCCGGACCGCATCGTCGGCGAGCTGCTACAACCCGGCGGCGTCGACGCGCTGCGGAAACTGGGGCTAGAACACTGCCTCGAGGACATCGATGCCGTACCGTGCCAAGGGTACCATGTTATCTTGAGGGGGCAGGAGACATCGTTCTTATACCCGCCGCTCACGGGGGATGGGGAGGTGATTGTGGGGGCCGGGCAGAGGAAGGAGGTGAATGAATATGCGAATGGGGATGTTAAGGAGCCCGTCAGGCCCGAGGGCAAATGTTTTCACCACGGGAGGTTCATCATGCAGCTGCGCAAGGCGTGCATAGCGCACCCGAATATCAGCGTCTTCGAGACCGAGGTCACGGCGACCATCAAGGGCGAACACAGCGATGCCGTGCTTGGGGTACGTACCCGGACGAAGGACCCAGCAACGGGCAACAAGACTCCCGACTGCTTTTTTGGGCAGCTCACCATCATCGCGGACGGCTATAACTCCATCTTCCGCGAGGAACTCCTCGGCACGACCCCTCGCGTCCGCAGCAAATTCTACGCCCTCGAACTCATCGACTGCCCCTTCCCACCCGCCTACCACGGTCACGTCGTGATCGGCGAGCAATCCCTCGCCCTCCTCTACCAAATCGGCACACACGAAACCCGCGCCCTCATCGACATCCCCACAAACCACCCCGCCGCTACCCCCAAAGCCGGCGGAGCACGCGGCTTCATCGAGAACATCGTCCTCCCCTCGCTCCCTCCCCACGTGCAACCCAGCGTGCGCGCCGCCCTCGCCGACGGCAAGATCCCCAAAAGCATGCCCAACTCGTGGCTGCCCTCCACCAAACAAACGCACCACGACGGCGTGATCATCCTCGGCGACGCCCACAACATGCGGCACCCCCTCACCGGCGGCGGCATGACGGTCGCCTTCAACGACGCGGTCCTGCTCTCCAGCTTACTCTCCCCGACCCAGATCCCCACGCTCACGCACCACGCCGCCGTGCACCGCGCCATGGCGACCTTCTACTGGCGGCGCAAGAGCCTGACGGGCATCATCAACGTGCTGGCGCAGGCGCTGTACAGCCTGTTCGCGGCCGACGACTGGCAGCTGCGCGCCCTGCAGCGCGGCTGCTTCCGGTACTTCCAGGACGGCGTCACCGACGAGCCGGTGGCCATGCTGGGCGGGGTGCTGCGCCGGCCGCTGACGCTCGCCCGGCATTTCTTCACCGTCGCCTTCTTGTCCATCCGCCTGCATACCGTGGCGTTGTGTGGGGGGTCGGTGCTGGGGTGGCTGAAGTTGCCGCTGGCGATGGTGCACGCGGTGATGATTCTGTGGACGGCGTGCGTGGTGTTTTTGCCGGTTCTATGGGCTGAGTCGTTGTGAAAGGGGGGGGATGGAATTAGGGGATGGGGGATGAGAGATGATGATGGGGTGGTGGAGGAAGGTGTAAAAGGGGGGGCGGTGGGTTTAAAATTCGCTGTATCATGCTGTTGTTTCGCTCGGACTCTGTCGGGGTTCGGTTATGCGTAGTAGATCTTTGGTAATGGTAATGAGAGACGGTTGCATACGATGAGAATGAACTTGGCATTGATGTGTTGTATATGCTGTTGCCGTGGACACACACAGAAAGAATGAAAGGGAGAGAGAGAGAGCAGCCAGTTAGCAGTTTCTAACTCATCTTACTATTCTATCCTATCTTCCCGACAAACTGCTTAGACGACCCCCTCCACCCTCCAACCCATCATGTCAACCGCCTCCGATAGACCCCCAACATCCAGCTCGCCCTCAGCACAGCCAACCCAATGGCCATGCGCACGCTGTCCTGCACCAAACTCATCTTGCTCCCGTCGACCTCGTGCCAGCCGACGGGTACCTCGGCGACCTTGATGCCGTAGCTGGTGCCGATGACGGAGCCGTCGCTGGCCAGGACGGGGGTGGCCGGGGCCGACTCGGCGAGCATGAGCATCTCGATGTCGAAAATCCAACCCTCGGCGTGCATGTAGGGCACGATGTGCGGCAGGGCGGCCCGCGAGAAGAGTTTGAAGCCGCACTGCGTGTCGCGGATGCGTGATGTTGCGGGAGGGGTGAGGATCGTGAGCACGAAGTGGAAAGACCGCATTAGGAAATTGCGGATGGCGGAGCGCTGTTCCAGGGGGTTAGTACCTAGGTAATCAAGAGTAAACAAAGGGGCCGGAGGGGGGGGGAACATGCCTTGACGACGGCCTCGCTGCCGACCAAATGCGCCCTGCTCCCGATCGCCACCCCACGGTTGGACCCGTCCACTACATCCTCGCACCCCTCAATCAACTTGCCCAGGTCGCTAAACCGGCTCGCGCCGTCGGCATCGGCAAACACGGCGTACTTCCCCCGCACGTGGCGCAAGCCGTGGGTGACGGCGCCGCCCTTGCCGCGGTTCTTTGCGAGCTTGACCACCCGCAGGATGTCGTGCAGCCCGTGCTTGCGGGCGAAAGAGAGCGCGACTTCGACGGTGCGGTCGCGGCTGCCGTCGTCGACGATCAGAATCTCGTAGCCTGAAGGCTGCGGCGGCTCGGATGGTCCTCGGGCGGTGCCGGGAGGGGATGTGGAGGTCGAGGTGTCAGGCTTGAAGACCAAGCGGTGCGGCGTCGTGGCGCGTTTGCCCTTCTTGCCGCCCTTCTCGGCGGATCGCTCCTGACGCTCGGGTTGGAGGAATTGGTTGTTGGGGCGGCCGAATTGTTGGTCTAGATATTCGACCATTTCTTCCAGGGCGGCGGTGATGCGGGCTTCTTCGTTGTAGGCTGGGACCACCACGCTCATTTCCACCTCGGCCGGCTCGATCGCCCCTTGGTCGGGGACGGGAAAGCCGGCAGGGATTGTTGAGTACTCTTCACTGAGCTTCCCCTCGGCATGCCAGCGATCGTACCAACAGGCGAGCGGGCGTGGGGAGCTGGCAGTGCCATCGGGGTTCGTGGTGATGTAGGTTTTCTCGGAGGGGTAGGAGAGTCGCGGTTTCGGGGCAACAAGGTGGAGGAGAATGTAGACCTGGCAAGAGCCGGTTAGCCGATAGAACCGAGTGCTTTGCCATGAGTAACTTACGCAAAAAATGCCCAATCCAAAAAGCGGGAGAACCACAGCCAACAAAAAGTAAAAGGGCCTTTCCGAGGCGGTTGCCCACAAGAGCCAGACCAGCTGCTCCAGCGATTCAACTACGCCATCGGCCGCCATGGCTGGCGCGTGGGGGAGAAAAGGCAGCGGTAATACCGCATGCAAATGTGAGCTTCAGGGCGGGAGCGTGGACGTCATGGGAGACTTGGGGCGATCTAGGCGCATGTCGATGTCAAGTTGATAGTAGTTCCCACAATTCGCGAGGCTGCAGCTTTCGATGATGCCACGAAAGCGTTGAACATGTGGCTTGCAAGGCTGGCGAATCAAATGGAGCTACCCCTGTCGATCTTGGCAGCTCTCCACCCCAGCTCGAAAGGTGGGTCCATCTTTCATTCCCATCGCAAGGCGCATCTCAATTCAAGCCAAGGAAGCTGCCTGAGACAATTCTATCTAAGTTTCTACTTCTTCTTGTGCATAGAGTAAATACATATTTTGGTAGCCCTCCTCCCTAAAAGCAGTTCAGTTTCACGTCCTCTATCAAGCTAAGAGCAGATAAGGAAATCAATGCCTGCAGTCAGTCGGTGAGAATTACAACTTGCTGCTTGCCATCAGTTAGCGCGCCCAGCATTTCGTATAGCACCGTCTCTTCTATTTTTACCTTTGCGTTTTTCTCTCATCCTTCTCCGGTACAGCTTCACACACACCCAACACGGTATCCCCCGAGCCGGGCCGAGACCGAGCCACGCCGGCCTTGTTGCTGTTGACCCCAAACTCGTGCCTCCCAGCTGGCTCCAGGTCAGCCTCCAAGGCGCCGATGCAGAAGGAGGCGTAAAGTGCCCAATCCGACCTCGTCCCCTCAGATGCAGGCCGGGCAGCATGCAGCTTCTGGGTATTGACGGTGACCGTGAAGTGCATGCGGGGAAGAGGCAGAAGAATGCGACCCTATCCTATCATTTATTCATTATTGCAACGTGGAAACCGCTGTCAGCTGAGCCATGTTCAATGGTACTGTTCCCTTCTGTGGCGCTTCCCTGACGGACCTTCAAGGGTCTGAGATCATGGTGTAACCCAAGATTGCGGAGGTCGTGTCGAGCGTTTGCTGTATCCCGGTTGTCGATCGACACGAGCTGCCCGCGTGTCAAGGTTGGGGTATCACGATGGGAAAATGCTCACAAGCTCTGTTTCGGAATATGAAATGCAAACTCGAGACCTCCAACAAGTCCACCAGCCCTTCTTCCACTCATGAGGCTCCATCGGCGGCCACGCAATGCGACAATGCAACTGGGCCCACGCAATGCATCTCTCGTCCGGTTCGGGTAGCCCTTCGCGAGTGGCTAGCCGTTCTGAGGCAGATGCCAACGCCGTGGCAGGAGGACCGGTCCAGGCCCCAATCTTCAACGTTGGAGGGCGGGGAGCTCAACCCTCAATGTCCGGAGTGGTTCCATTCGGGTCGTGATGCTACTGTGCCCACAGCAAGCCGTCCGCGATACATCGGCGATAATCCCGAGCGGGCGGCTGAGAGGGAGCGCACCTCCCACGATTTGCATGATCTGATGATGTTGAGAAGTGGAGACAGAACCGCGTTCAGAAGGTTACGGTTTCGAGAACTTCTCCCAGCCACCCATCCCTTGCGTCGATCCTTTATGTCCCCGCCCATGAACCACCACCCTCTTTCCGTTTGTCAGAAATCTCTCTCTACACCAAAAAGACGGGATAGGAATCCACAGACGGCATGTCCGGGCCCGTCTCCTGTAATTTCACCACTCTCCCGTCACCAGGTTATCCTAGCCGGCGCCCGGGTCCCTAAAACCGAGTGATCACTTGTGGGGGCGTATCATGCACCACATATGTATGATGAAGTACCAGAGATCAATCACTCCGAGAGCGCCATGGCGTCCAAACCTCAAGTGGGCCCCTACCATCAAGCAGTGAGCTGTCAGGTCCAAGGCCCCAAAAACCTGCATGCTTGGCTCCTTAGCGGACCACAGCTCCCCAAACACTGGACCTGCCTCAGCCCTGAAACAAGCCCATCCCCTCCCCGCCTCTGAACCAGCACGCGGTCCAAGCACAGGGGAACCGGCGGCACAGGGACGGCGAGCAGCCTCCGTCCGGGTCCCGGAGCACTCGTTCAGATGGATGTGCTTGCTTGGAAGTATGTACTGAACCAAGATGCCGACGTCCCAAGAACAAACACCCAAAGAGATGTGGAAACCCGCCCCCACCCGAACACGAGCAGACGGGGAGAGGAGACCCAATCCCGCACTATTGCTTTCTTTCCACCAGCCCGAGGAGAAAATAAATCCTTCAAGCAGCGAGGGCACAACCAACAGCCAACGCACGCATCCGTCATCACTGGAGTAATTGGTCCGTCCTCGGGCACGGAACCCGGCATCAATTTCAAAAAGTAAGCAGCGGTGACGACTTTGGGGGCCATGGACGGATGACTGCAGTGAAAAAAAAAAAAAAAAAAGCAACACTCGAACTTGGTTGTCGTGATTGACTCTGGAGAAATGAACCAGGTAGATACTATGTAGGTATCTTCGACTTTGCCATGATGCCTCCATCCAAAGGCGATCGAGTGAACGTGTTCAAAGATCCGACAAACTTCCACAATGCCCAGACAAATCACCCCAAGATGTGTGCCAGCCCAGTTCTATTGCATACCATCCGCTGAGCCCCCGCTTCCCGGAGCAAGAAAAACATTCCCAGGGCCAACCTAAGTTTTAAATGCCATCGTCATCAGAAGCCAAAATACAAACGCTTTATGACCCAAAAATTACCCCAACGCCGAATGATACTAGTAATAAACAAGCGCAGAATGCTCCCCTGCGCGGGTGTGCTCATGATGGCTGATGTCGCTGGAAAACAAATGAGATGAAATGGTAGCCAAGTATATGCATCCAAATATTGATGCCAGCTTCAAACAAAATGGCCGAGAGCCAACAGCCTTACACGGCCACCGCTGTGCTCTTGCTGCTCCGCAGTGACCAGCGGTTCTTCTTTACCAGTTTCCCGGAAGGAGCCGGGCTCTTGGAGAGCTTGCCCGGTTTCGACGACGGTGCGGTCGCGGGGACAGCGATCTCCTTTGGCGCGGCGAAAGCGGCTTCGTCAAAGCTCGTCGGGAGAGCGGCCACGTTCACGACCGGGCGGTCTTTTTCTTCCCTCACTTTCTTGGGCTCCGCCGTAGGTTTCGGGCTGGGCTCCGTGGCCACGGTGGTGTTGGACTGGATTGGCTCGAGCTCGGTGAACCTAGTCATTTTAGATGTCCTTCGTCCCTTCTTCGTGGGGGAGTCGGAAGCGGCTGTCGGGGCCGCAGGAATCTCTGTTGGGGTTTTGACAATGGCGGTCTTCTCTTCGCTGGTGGATTCGGCTCTGCCAATCTCGGCATATTGGGGCGCCGCCAGCCCCTCGACCTTTAGCACCGTCGGAACCGTGGCTGTCTTGGTGGAGAGCGATGCGCTAGATGCGACAGGAACCATTGTAACTGAGCTGGCGCTCGACGCCGCCGATGAGAACACCTCCGGCGTTGTGATGGCAGTGCCAAACTGCATGGGCGGAAGTGCAGGGACAGGAGGGACACCCTGCGCGAGAGAGCTTGTGCGCGGCGCATGGGGGCTTCGAGAAACGGACTGGTTCGGGTCCGAGATTCTGCGTGACCGGCCGGGGTGCAGCCTGTGAATGGATTCGGTATCGCTTGTAGGCCTACTCGGCTTGGGGATATTCGCTACAACGCTGGTTGGAGGGGGGATCGGAACGCTGTGCCGGTCTACCGGCTTCATCTCCAAGTCGTCCTGGGAGCTGGTTGAGCCGCCGGAGCTCTCAACAGGCGACGGCGCAGCATCCCTCACCCCGAGTGTGCCCGCAGGCGGAAGCGGGGTTCGGCCGGTCGACATCTTGCTCGATGACCGGCTCGTCCGGGACGAATCGACGATCCTCTCGACCTCCTTGCCTTTGGGCGAAATGCTCCCCGCGTCGATTAGGCTGTAGGTCATCTCCCGTCCATGCGGGGTCCAGCCGGCGGGCATGCTGCTGTAACTGTAGCCTCGTGGTAGCTGGACGACCGGGCTCGCGTAGGCGGATGGGTACGAGACGTGCGAGAGCGAGCTATGAACGCGAGGCATGCCCGCATGGACGGGGGTGATCATGCCACTCATGCCCACACCGCTGGCGGTCATGGCGCTGCGCCGCCGGTTTTGCTCGACGATCTTGGCCCTGTCATTTTCTCTCCAACCCCCTGGCCCGCCCGACATAGCATCAATGGCGGCATGTTTCGGTACGTGCTTGTAAGGTGGCTTTTGCGCCTCCTCCTTCTCCTTCTTAGCCTGCTCTGCGCGGTGTTCCTTGGCAGCCTGCCTGCCCCGCTTGATCATCGAAAACATCGACATCGTGTGTGGCCCAGTGTTGTTTGTCGTTGCCGGGGTAGGGTGGTGCCGTTACCGGGCAGTCGCGGATTCACCCAACGGCGGGATCCGATCGAGGTTGTGGTCGACGTCAGACCTGGCGTGAGGGTGCCTGACCGAACTTGATGAGAAATGGGTCGCGGGGTGCAGGGTGCGGAGGCAGTAATATATTAGGTCGAGTCGGGGTGCATAGACAAGCGGGATGTAGCGAGTGATGTGAGGCTGCCTATATTAGGTCCTTGGAGAGAGCCAGGGGTCAAGCTGAAGACACCTCCGGGCTGAAAGCGACCAAAACGACAGGTGACAGGCAGCAAATGATGGGTAGAAGCGGTGAAACCTGATCCGCAAGAAGCCTTGTGACGAGAAAGTTGGGGAGGGATGTGTGAGAATGTTTGTTGAAAGTTGGTGGTTTGCAAGGTTGGAATCTCCAAGCACCGAGACAACTAATCACCAACCAATCGAGGGCCTGGTGGATGGGTGATGAGAACGGTATTGACCTGGGAGGACAAAACCACCCCACCAAAAGGTATCGTTGTGGTGTGTAACGCACACGGAGAGATGGCGGGGGTTGATGCCACTTGAAGACAACTCAACTCTCGAAAGGAATGGAAAGCAGTGTTGCGGGCGATCAAAAGGCTCGGGTTCGGCGAGAATTGGGCTTTCCTTCGCGAGGGAGAAGGGCTGTGGCAGCGCCAGGCATTTTAAGAGCCGCCAAGCAGAAGGGAAGGGGCACCCACCAAGCCAATGCAGCTTTCAGCCCTCAATTCACTGGAACATGGCATCTGCGGCAAGGAGCAGGGGTAAGAAGCAGCCACGCGGGGGTTCTCCGATACCACATCCATGTTGGGAGGGTGGTGCAGCCTGGGCCATGGCACACGGCTGATTGACACCGAACGGAAAGACGGATGTGCCAGGCTGCTAGTGCGCGGGGCCACTGCACACCAAAATGGAAGCAGCGGGACGGGTTCTTTCTCGCCCTTCGATAGGTCTTGTCTCCGAACCCGAATGAATCCCCTGCAAACTCTTCTTGTTCCAGGCAAGCGCGTCCTTTAACTGAACACCAACGATGGATATCTTACCAAAGCCACTCTCGCCAATGCGGTCAACCAATACCGGTCTAATTAGGAATGTGCTTGGTACCGCACTGGCACCAGATAAACCCGAGCTTGTGGTGGCAGCACGCGCTCCCCGCTGAAATGTGTAGTTGTGGATGTAACTAGAGTTGCGCAAAATCCGAGGCGTGAGGCCTGTCCCATCGAAGACGAGGAATTACTCGATCACAGACCCGCATACTCGGGCAGTCCATTCCCTGCCCTGCCTGGAGCCACGCACGCACATCTCCAACCACCAGTGGAAAAGCGGGCCCTCGTATTGCTAGGAGGTGCCAGGTACCTCCAGATAACGCGCCTTACCGCCAGAATGGCTCGCAATGGACCAGGGCCCTGGAACGATCGCCGCCGGGTGCGTCGAACCGCCGTATCAGCCGCAGATGGCTACCGATAGGTAGCTTGATATCGCAAAGCAATTACCACGCAGTGAAGGGAGGAAGATTTGGGTGTTGGAAACTGAAAGTGACCAAGGCAGTGTAGAGCTACATTAGAGTCACGATAGGTACTGGAGGAGACTGCTTGGCGGGCGAAGACCGAAATCAGCCAGGCGCGAACCCAGCACCCCCTTGGCAGGGACAGGGCCACGAACGACAAGGACCGTGCCGGCCGCCGCCATCAAGAGGGGCGATGCGGATCGAAGATCATTGGAGGCACAGCCGTTTCCCAAACGCCTCCCGAAAAGGTTGTTGTGCCTATCTACACAGTAGCGTCAGTTGTCGTGGAGCTATCGCAAATTTCCACCTTTTCTCCATATTACCTAGGTATACGTGTATAAAACGCAGGACCCAAACTGAAATAGCTAACAAAAAAAAAAAAATAGGTCAATTACATCAGGATCCTTTTTTATTCCCCAACGAATTCATGGCTTCGGTTTCGCAACCTCCAGTCAACTGGGAGTCTGCCGGGTTTGCTCAAACATGGCTCGAAAGTGAGACAACTGGGCCGAGGACTGGTGGCACTTTTGGCAAGTCGGAACTTTCTTTGTCCTCTCCTCTCGCCCCTCCGATCTCCACCGACCAACCCCTTGGAATGAGAACATCTCCGGGCAAATTGATTGGGGCACTTGGGGGCCGCTTGATGCCCAAGTCCATAACTTCGTCCAAACCCCGCCGTTATCTGGACGTGACGGTCGCTGCTGCTTGCAGCCAGTCCTCCATGGCGAATTCGATAGCGCCGGTTGGTCAGCCTTCTGAGTTCTGACATGGCTCCTATCGAGGCTGGGATGGAATGAAAACCGTGAAGGGCGCTAATCTGAATCAGGCGGCTCTGCTCAAGCTTAAGAGGGCCAGAGAAGTCCAAAGCGCCACACCAAGCCCAACTGGGAACTCCCGATGGGTCCTATCTCTTTTCTCTTTCGCCTCATAACATCCCGTTGGTCGCGTTACTTGTGGTTAGTCGCAGATGATCGCCGCGCCCAGGGTCTCGTTGTCTCCCGAGACCTGTGAGTTGAATACCTGCAGCACTGGCGCGGATGCTCGCACCCGCGCGGGTTTAAAAAAAGAAGTTTAAAAGAAAAGCGGCAATATTGGGAATGCCGCCCTGCCGATCATGCGGCTCTTGGCCGATAAACCCCTGTCTCACTGGTTCGGACGAGATTGGGTGGACCCACTGATATTGATCCTCGAGATGAACCTCGTCTCTTTCGAGTGAGATATCTTTATCTCGACAACTTCCCCAAGATGACACGATGGGGTCCCGACAGCCAGCCCCTTATCGATGCGGCGTGATTGTTATCAGGAAATGCGGTGTGAAAGACGACTCGGTCGGGCTTCTTCTAGATGACTCAATCGGATTAGCCACAGCTGAGCTGAACTGACAAGCGCCGGTTTAGGTATGGCGGGCTGCTGGTCTCAGCTGCATTTTGGCTTCGGGCAAACCGCCGACGATGCCGACTTCCTCTTCAAAGTGGTATGAGGCTGGCTATTCCAAGCGCCTTGCATTAAAACGGCTGTAAGAGCTTCTGGGAGATTCCCGACCTTAAACACCTCGCTAAAGTTGTCTCACGTCGCAACTACCCGAAACCTGAGACCGAAACAAATGGTTTGACATGATGAGCAGGCGGCGAGTTACTCCCGGCGTGAGATAATGGGGTATAAATCAGCCAATTTTGAGGACTGTGATTGAGTGACGTACGCATCAACCAGGTTGCATACCTGGTAGTATTGGAGAAATATTGCATCCAAGCAAGGTGAACATGTGTAATATATGACCACGCATGAACCCTGGCGCCCCATTTGATAGTTACCAGCTAATTTTTGGGCCCAGCCGCGTGGTGTGGCGCCCACGCCTGCCCTCCTCGGGCATCAATATAACGGCGTTTATTTTCTGCGTCCCGCCCGGGCCATACGTTGCCCTTGGTGGTCCCCGGCATCCCCAAGACAAGCGCGCACGTGGCGGGCTCGGGTCTGGCCACAAAATGGACTGCGACCTGCTCCCGTTGCCTTGGTGGTTTACCCTTCTGATGATAACCATGTGCATGTTTGTGATGTGTTCGTGCCGTGATGAAGACAAGACCGTCTTACTTATTGTTCACAATTGGCCGAGTCCCGTCCATTTCCTCCCTCGCCCACGAACTTCATAGATCGTGTTGATGATATCTCGTAGCGCCAAGAAAAAGAAGAGTAAAGGTCCTGTGAGACTCTTCGACCCTGTTATAAAATATCTCAAGGCGTAATGATAAATGGATAATGGAAAAGGAGTCGGCGAACGAGGTGGAATATATTTAAACAATTGACAACTCCATTATGCTCACGTAGCATTACAACCGAGAGGCTGAAGATTGTTTCGGAGAAAACTATGGGAAACTATGAAACGTCGTGTCTAGAGTGGGACTATGTTTTTTGGGCTCGGCCTTGGACCCTGCGCCCCGGGTCTTGACTGCCGGAGAAAGCCGGGGCCGTGGTGAAGAAGCCGGTAGTTCGCTCGAGACAAGTTTGTAGCCGCACAATGTTTAAAAGCGCGGACCGGGCCGTTGAGGAGCGGATGTGAATCAGGTCATGCGGCGCCGGGATCCGGCGTGTCCGGGCCGGTGAAATGTCGAAAGCAGGTTCGAGGTCTCCCCAATCTGTGCCACAAAAAAAGGCAGGAGTGGGGGTCCCGAGGGGGCCTCGAGGGTGTTCCCGACCTCGGCGGGGTGGCGTTGTGACATCAGGAGCGCTTATTTCTGGTTTAGCGCCTGAAAAAGCCGGGGCATGGCTTGCCGCTAGCCTGATTCTGGACCCGCCGCGGCCAGCGATCACGCACTCCGCCCGCTCTCTTCCATCGCAACCTTGCGTCCCTGCAGCAAAGCGTCGGGCCCAAGAATTTCATCGCACGACTCATCGTCCGAAAACAGCCATCGCGAGCCCGCGTTGCGCCGCCCATCTCCACGCGCCAAACAGCCGGTTACAGATTATTTTAACTTGGGCGGGCAAATTCGTGTAGGTGGGGCCGATGTTTTTGCCGTTTTTTGCCTTTGTGCCCCGTTTCTTCGGCCTTTTGGTCCTTTGCCCCCCCCCCCTTTTTGAAACCCTAAGACCCCCCCCCCCCCCCCCCCCCCCCTAGCCCCGACCACGTCGGATTTTTTTATCCATCCTCAACGTCGCACGGCGATCGAGCAATAGTAGTCAAACCCACATCTCCGTCGCATCATCTACACATCCGAGCGCCTTTTTGCCGAAAACGCGCTCCCATCCGGGAACGCGCGTCATCCTCCCGAGACACTGGCGGCCCTTGTTCTCCTCAGCCCGGCTGAACCTGATCTGTCGCTTTCCCCCCATCAACTCGACGCCGCGCCGTTGCCTCATCTGGCCGACGAGGACAGTGTCGTCCCCGAGGCGGCGCCCGAACCGTTGATGATGGCACAGTCGGTGCCTCATCAAACGCCGGACAAGAGGCGTGTCAAGGTCTATGAGCTACGTCACAATGACTGGTTCGATCGCGGGACCGGATTTTGCTATGCTTGCTGGGCGGCGGTACGTCTCTCTCCGTCCTGCGCATTTTCGCATGTGGTATCTCGCATGTGATATGTTTTGCGCGTCGATATTACCGCCAGTTTGCTGACCCATGCGGCCTACGTATCATGTAGGCGGACGAATGCCCAACCGAAAGAGCCTCACGTAGTGGTCGAGTCGGAAGACCAGCCCAACCGCCGGCTGCTGGAAACCAGGATAGTCAAAGATGATGGCTTTCAGAAACAACAAGGCATGCCAAGTCCTGCGCTTTCATACTCACGTGCGTCTAGTCTAATATAGACCTTACAGAAACCCTCATAGTATGGACGGACAATGGCGTTGATATGGCGCTGAGCTTTCAAGAAGCCGATGGCTGCACCGCAATATGGTTGGTCATTATCTACTCGAACAAGGGTTCCCTGTGTCGCAATCTAACCCCCCGCTCTCTAGGAAATTCATCGACCAAGTTCAGCAGACCTTCCAACCCGGCATGTCCGGCCCGGACGACAGTTATTCAGATGACTTGACCATGGAGCTGCCCCCTTCCGTTCAGCTTCCGCCGGCTGATCTAGGGTCGCTGCCCGAGTTGGATATGGCGATCCGAAACTTGTCGCAATCGCCCGCCGGTCGCGACGCACTTGCGAAAACCATCATGAGCGAGGACTATATCAGCAAACTCATCCCGTTGGTAGAGATGGCCGAGGATCTCGAGAGCCTAACTGACCTTCATCGGTTATGCAACATCATGAAGACGGTGCTGCTCTTGAATGATACCAGCATAATCGAGCACGCAGTTTCGGATGAGTGTGTCTTGGGGGTGGTGGGCGCGTTGGAATACGACCCCGATTTCCCGAGCCATAAGGCAAACCATCGGCAGTGGCTGAACAACCAGGGCCGGTACAAGGAGGTGGTAAGGATCCAGGACGAGCACGTCCGTCGTAAGATCCACATAACATACCGACTGCAGTATCTGAAGGACGTTGTGCTGGCAAGGATACTCGACGACCCGACCTTCTCGGTTCTCAACTCCCTCATCTTCTTCAATCAGGTCGACATTGTTCAGCACCTCCATACCACTCCCGGCTTCATGCATGACCTCTTCGCTATATTCCACGACCCTCACCAGCAGCCGCTCCGGAAGAAGGAGGCGGTTCTGTTTATTCAGCAATGCTGTGCCATCGCCAAAAACCTACAACCGCCTGCCCGCCAGGGCTTGTACGTGCACTTCCTTAAGGAGGGCCTTCTCCCCGCCATTAACTTTGGCATGCGCCATCGTGACGTATCGGTGAGAGTGGGCGCAACGGACATCCTGGTTTCCATGATCGACCACGACCCCTCGCTGGTTCGACAAACAATATACGAGCAAATCCAAAAGCGCCTACAACCACTAACAGACACTCTGATCGACCTTCTTCTCGTCGAAGTGGATCTCGGTGTCAAGTCCCAAATCTCGGAAGCGCTCAAGGTCCTTTTAGATCCGTGTCCACCGCCAGTGCAGCAGCAGCAACAGCAACAGCAACAACAACAACAACAACAAGAGTCGCGTGGAGAGTTCGCGGGCCAGCCGAGGCTCCGAGTGCACCCCGGCATCGACTCACAACAAGACGTGTTCCTGACGCATTTTTACGAGCACTCGGCCGTTAGGCTGTTTAAGCCCCTTCTCGAGCTCGAGAAAAGGGCCGAGATGAAGTTCAGCCCGTCAGAGGAGGGCGTGTTCAGCTACCTGAACGACATTCTCTGCTTCTACATTCAGCGCCACCATCACCGTAGCAAGTTTTTCGTATTCACTTATAACATGGCCTCCCGGCTCGTGCAGTTGCTTGCTTGCAAGGAAAAGCACTTGCAGCTCGGTAAGTGACGTCTTCTCCAGCGTCTCGCAATATTTGTTAACCCAAGGCTTAGTTGCGGTCCGCTTCTTCCGCCACCTTGTGATAATGCAAGACGAGTTCTACGTCAAACATATGGTCGACAAGCAGGTCCTGGGCCCCATCCTCGATGTCCTGCTCCGAACCCTACCGCGAGACAACCTCCTCTCGTCCGCCTGCCTTGAGCTCTTCATGCTTGTTAGTAAGGAAAACATCAAGGAGCTGATCAAACAGATGGTTGAGAACTACCGCGAGAAGGTCATGGCTCTCGCATACATCCCCACCTTCCACGAAATTCTCCACCGTTACGACCAGACCCAAGGCTTCACCATCAACATTGATCCCTATTTCGAATCCGAGGACGAGCTCGGAAGGGGGCGCCCGCCCAACGGCGCCCCGCGGGGGATGATGGAACATCTCTCCGTCGACCAGGCGCAGGAGGACTACTGGAACACATCAGACGACGAAGAGGATTTTACCTCACAACAACCCAGTGCGGAGGAGCTCCAGCGATCGCTGGACATGATGGCGGACAGGAGCCCGTCAAAACCGCTGGTTGAGTATACCTCGGACGAAGAGCTAGACGAGAACGACGCCGTTATGACCACCCTCCCCGCGGGAATAACAGCAACCCAAACCTCAGGCGACGAGTCCACGCCGCCGCCAACAACCGGCAGTCCCACCGCTGCATCGACGAACGGCACATCCCCATCCGCATCTGCCACAGCAGCTGCCGCTGCCGCTGCCGCAGCGGCAGCCCCACCACCCGAGCGTCTCTCAGAGAAACGCCGCCGCGAAGAAGACGAAGACGACGACGTCCTCGACAAGCTGACGCAACACAAACGGCGGAACAGCAGTAGCGCTGCATCGAATGCTTCCCTGCCGGTATCTGCGACAGCCATTCTTCGGAAAAAGAGGAGTTTCTCGGGGCAGGGGCACGGCGCGTCAGGGACACCAACAACAACAGGCGGTAGTCCAAAAGGGGGCGGCGCAGGCGGAGGACCATTGAAAAAAATCGCCATCAGCATCTCACAAGCGGCCAAGGCTGCTATGGTGAAGGCTGACGAGAGCGGCGGTGGTGATGGGAGTGGACGGGAGTAGATGGCTGTTTGCTTATCGTGCTAGTGCAACGCGCGGAACGCCTTGCTAGTCATTCACCCATCATGGGGCCTAGCGGGCAACATACTTTTTCTCTCGCCCTCTCGCCCCCTCGTACCCCTCCCTACCTTGTCGGCCTTGCGTCTAACACTTCAAATCCTGCACGGCTTATATGACGGATAATGTCCCCATCACAGTCCCATTCCCAATTCGCATTCCGGTTCTCATGGGCGGTGTCAAACTAACGAGACGGCGTTGTTTACTTGGCGTGGGAGGGACGGCGTTTTTTTTATCCCCCCCCCCCGACCATCGGTTGTTGGTTCTTTTTTTTTTTCTCGGTTTGCCGGTTTCTGGCTGGCCCCGTCTGGGACGCACGGGGCCGAACGGACGGATTGGAATGGAATGGTTTGGACGGGTCGGTTGGCGGCGACGGTGGATGATGGATGGATGGATGGGTGGCGGATGGGTGGATGGCGGGCGACGGGAGCGCGCCGGGGGTTTATCATATCCATATCCATACCTACCTACCTATCCATATCCCTGAGATTTCTGCCTACCTTTTACTCTTCGCTCTCTTGTCGTTTTCTTTTTGTTTTATCCACCCACTTTCTCTCTAGCCTTTTTCTTTTTTCTTTTTCTTTTTCCTTCTCTCCGAACATCCGGCCGCCGTCCGCCTGGTTGTCTGCCTGATTTAATGCCGGTCCTGGTCCCGGTTGTGAAGGGTCGGGGATAGATAATGGTTTGCATGGCGGGCTGGATAGGGTTGATATCAAAGGGGGTTTCCCACACGGGGAGGGCAAAGATGAGCTGTCGTGGGACATGGGCTGTGTGATGGAGAGTGATAGTGGGCCACGCAAGAGGCAAGGGGGATCTCGAGGATGATTGAGGGGTGGTCAAGGGATAGTAGCGCGGTGCTGGTTTCGGTTGGTTAGGGAGTAACGGCATACCCCATGCATGTATAACAAACATATCGGCCCTACCTCACTCCCTTTACTTCCTAGCAGGTTAGCTGCTTGGGATGAGGTCTTTCTTGAATGGAAGTGGCCTTGAGCGACAAGCAAGATCTATATTTGACGATGGACGAACGAACGAACGAACCCAACTTCAACTCCGTGAACAAACCAACAATGTGCTTTTGATTTTGAGCTTTCCCCATGTACAGACAAACAGCCCCCGCGATTCTCACCCCGCTGCCATCCCCTCCCCTTAAAAAGCAACAACACTAAACTTCCTAAACTGCCTCTCCCAAGCCTCAAACCCCCTCAACATATCCTCCGTAATCTGCCTCTTCTGTCCTCTAAGCGCCCTCTCCAAATCCTGCATCATAATCGCCGGCTCCCCGCCCCCGACCCAGCGATCATACGCCGCCACCCCCGCAGCCGCACAAATTCCCTTAATCTCAGCACCTGAGTACCCCTCCGACTCGCGCGCGAGCCGGTCGACATCGGCGTCGGCGTGCCACATGCGCCGCGCCGCCACCTGCGCGAATATCGCCCGCCGCGCCGCCTCGTCCGGCGGGCTGACGTAGATCAGCTCGTCGAACCGGCCCGGCCGGAGGAGAGCCGGGTCGAGCGCCTGCGGCCGGTTGGTGGCGGCCAGGACGACCACGCCGTGCAGGGCCTCGAAGCCGTCCATCTCGTTGAGGAGGGTCGTGAGCACGTTGATGCCGCCGTGGCCGCTGCTACTACTGTTGTTGTTGGTGCTGGAAGAGGAGGAGGAGAAGCCGGCGCGCTGGCCGGCGATGCTGTCGATCTCGTCGAAGAAGATCATGCTGGGGCTGACTTCGCGGGCGCGTTGGAAGAGGCGGCGCACGGCGCGCTCGGATTCTCCCACGTACATGTTGAGCAGCTCGGCGCCCTTGACGGCGAAGAAGTTGAGCCCGGACTCGGTTGCCATCGCTTGTGCTGCCATCGTCTTGGAGCAGCCGGGTGGGCCGTACAACAGGAATCCCTTGGGGGGACGGTCGAAGTACCGTGATAGTGTCTCGGGGGGCTCGACGGAGAGCCGGACCGCCCGCCGGAGGGAAAGCTTGACGGTTTCTTGGCCGCCGATGTCGTCCCAGCGGATGGGCGGCGGTTTGAGGTTGATGTCGTGCATTGCTGAGGGACGGATCAGGCGGAGGGCCTCGTGGTAGTCGGTGGGGAGGTGGTAGACGGGTGCTGGGGGAGGGGCGGTCTCGGTTCGGTTTTCTGCTTCGTCTGAAGCAGGGGTAGGGTAGTCGGATGCATCGGGCTGCGCTGGGGATATCTGACAGTGGCGGACCCGTGCGATCAAGTCTGCCTCGTCTACCAGCCGGGAAAGGTCCTTGCCATTATAGGCGTGGGTGCGTTCGCTCAAATCGCGCAGTAGGTCTTGCTCCTGGTCGGGAGCGACGTCGAGGTCGAGGGCCGCCAGGATCTCTTTCCGACCCTCGACATCTGGCAGAGCGAGGTAGATCTCGCTGGTGAAACGACGGGGTTCCTTCAAATCATCAGGTATATCCGTGGTGTAGTCGAGACATGTGGCAATGACAACCACCTTGGGGAGTTCCCCCTTAGTGGCGGCATCTGCGGCGAGAGTGTCGAGTGCCTCACAAAGGGCAAGGATGACAGCGGCGCGGTTGCTGCGCTCCTTGTCAATCAGGCGCTCGAGCTGGTCGATGAGTACGATACTGGGTTGTTGCAACCTCGCCTTCTGAAACACCTCTTGGATCTCAGAGAGCTTGTCCTTGTACTGGATGCGGAAGACGGTACCCCAACCGGTGCCGGCGATGTTGTTCAACAGCATCGTCTTGCCCGTGCCGTGACCACCATGTATGACAATACCACGGTAAGACGGCTTTTTCCTGAAGGGAATGTCTGCGTCAAAGCAGCCCAAGACGTTGTTGAGCTGACGGATTTGCGGGTCTAGCCCCCGAATGCCTGTCACTTCGAGTTTCCGCGCCGACACCCGGTCTGGTTGGCTGCTTGTAGGCGCGGTAGTGGCAAGCTTGATGGCTGTTTTCCGGTCATGGTAGCGAGCGTTTCCCGTATTCCTGCCATTTACAGATGTCACCAGGAAAGACCTCTCGGGCCCCCTGGCGAAGAGATTCTTCAAAAGGAGGCCAGCAAAGACATGCTCGACCTGGGATAGACGGCCGGCCAGAACAAACTCCCAGCCAGAAATATCCTCAGGGGCAAGTGGGCTAGGAGGAGAGCCATCCTGGTTGGGGGGTTGTTCTATGACGACCTCATCGGCGTCGGGGAGCGGGCCTCCTAGTGAAGTGATGCGGACCTGCTCGCCCAGTTTGTAACCACAAGCATCCCGGAAGGCATCGTACATTTGCGTAACCGTCTTGTCCAACTTTTCGGGTGCTTTCCAGAGGGTGGCCTCTCGGCGAATTGGGGGTTCATCTGGTGAGGCCGAAACCTTCTCTAAGCAAACGACCCTGCCGCCATCTCTTGTGCCCGTCAACTCAATGAGGGCTTCCTCATTCACATAAACCCGAGACGGTTGCTTTTTCTGCAGCCTCTTGTCGGTGTCAGTGTTGACGTGCAGTTTTCGAATGCGGAACTCGAGTGACTTCATGGCGTTTCCGCTTTGGGGAGGCGTGATCTTTTCTTGGTGGTTTTTATCCAGGCAAATGAACAGGGTATGTGGTTGGGTGATGCCCCGGTCAAAATATCGTTGATCAAATTCGGACTTGGTTTTAGTGTCTCATAACTAGGATCAGGGGGTCAATGAACCTAATACAGGGCCGTACTGTATTTCAGGCCAACAGGTTCAAGGTTCCAGGTTTCTTCCACGGAGATTTTTTGAGAGACGAATAACTAGCCCTAAAGTTTTAGAATTACGGCGTTTGATATCCAGAATCTGCGCTGGAACAGGCCAAGATTTGATCCGAGTGGGGCCTAGCCTCCCGCAGTTTGGCACTGACTGCCAGGCCCGAGCCAGTGAGGAACCAGCCCCACATGCCCCGGGCAGTCACTCCATCCTGAACTGGTGAGTTTATGTAACTCCCATCTAACGGCCTGTTCTTTTCAGTGTAAGAGAATGAGATTTCACACCAGCCGGACTCATGTTTACAAGGCGAATACAGCTGCAGCAGTCCATAACGAGGCAATGTTGCTCCCACAGGGACTCGATCGCCTGGATTTCGACTAAAAGCAACAAGAAAAAATCAAAATCGAGATCGTCATCGAAGTCGAAATCGAAATCGGCATCGTCGTCGTCGACTTCTTCATCACCAGACGACGGTCCCCAACCATCCCTCTACTACAAGTTATTCGGCCCCAAGCCCAAGACTCCAAAGGCAAGGCCACCGCTACCACTGCCCCGTCCCCCCAGACCAGAGTATAAAAGGCCATCCCGTCCAATACAGCCCAAAGAGGACACCCAAGCCCAAGCCGAGGACGACCGGAGAATAGACGTCTCCCACATCGGTCATGAGCTCAGGGCCTGGCTTAAGGATGCTGGGGCCGTCTGCAGCAGCCCAGGTTGCCCGTGAGGAGCCCAAGCCCGAGCCCGAGCTCGAGCCCGAATTACCCAGCGGGAAGCCCGTCCTCGTTCTGAGTTCCATGTCCCGCTCACTCGTCGCCTCCGACTTTTACCGCTGGGCACCCCAGGGTCGTCACGTCGCCGGTTGGGCGGGCGGCATTTCCAAAGTTGTGCAGTCGGTTTCTCCCGTCACCAGAGAGCCCCGCGGCCAGTACTTCCTCTTCTTCGACACGTGGGACGCCGCCTACCGCTGCAGGGACCAGTTTAGAAAAGCCTACCAGCTCACAAACAAGAACGAATCTCCAGGCCAGCTCAAGACACCACCTGCGCTGAAAGGCCCGACAAGGTGGGAAAGGGAGGCGTCTGCAGGCGACAAGCTTCCCTTTTCTACC